GGATTAGTTTGCGCTATACTTGTTTGGTGACATAATCCACTCTTTGCACCAATTGTTAATTTTATCTAGATCTTCCTGAAGCTGGTTATTATTTTGCACACAAGTTACTTTGTTATGGATGACGCAGTCGTCGGCGAAAAAGCGTTTTTTTTTTAAGAAATCCTAATGGGAATGTCATTAATAAATATTAAAAAGAGTAAGGGCCCAAGTACGAACCTCAGGGGAACACCAGGAGATACATTTATTAAGGAAGATTCATGATCATCATGGACGTGACCTGTACACGGGAAAAAAGAAAGTCACGAATCCATGCAAACGGTTATTGGTCGAGGCAAAAAGATGATAGCTTAGAAAGAAGGCGTTGATGGAAAACACGGCCGAACGCCTTGGAAAAAAAAAAAAAAAAAAAAAAAAAAAACTGCGTCAGTTTGGACGTGACATTCAAGGTTAGTGTGCAAGTCATGGATGAAGTCGCAGAGTTGCGTTTCGCAGGAGGAGGAGAACATTTTATTGCACAAGGATGGCTCTATGGCCTAATGCTGGGGATGTGGAAGGGTAAAGGGTAAGGAACAGGGCATCATATCCTTCCGGTTATCCCGGCTTCGCGGACAAACTCCCAGAGCGAGAGTAAAGTCTGACGGGCGTCGGTCTGTGGGGTAGTCCACGCCTCGAGGGAGTCAATGGTGGGACCTCTGTGCTTCGCCCTTATCGGTTCTAGACCGGGGCAGTTCCACAGTAAATGCTGGATCGTAGGGCGGGCTCCAATGTCGCACGTGCGGCATGTCACAATACAAGGGTTGGGGTCCGCAGAGGGCTCTTCCAGTTCGTCGTTCACCGGTGACTGGTTTTGGCGCTTCTTAGTGTAAGCGCGCCATTTGGCCAAGACGTCCTCGGTTAGGGCGGCACCCGTCCTGGCCTTGTGGATGACCACCTGCGCGCCTCGAGGGAGCCCCTGGGGTAGGGGATGCTCATTCTGTGGTATTTGTGCTCGGAGCTCTCTGCGCCGTTCCAACTTGCGTCGGAGCTTTTCGGCCTCGGGGTCTGGTCGCGGTCTGGCGAGGCGAGGCGTGGCGGTGTCCTGCGAGCGGTTGGAAGTGATCTCGCTCGCCAGGTCGTGCGCAGCCTCGTTGCCTTGGTTGCCAGAGTGGCCCGGAACCCAAAGCACCTGGGTTTTTATATTCCTTGTGTCTTGTAGTTGCTTGCAAAGCATCTTGACGTCGTAGGCCGCAGTTCCTCTTCGTGGTGCCCTGGACAACGCCTTAAGTGCTTCCAGCGAGTCCGTGTATATTGTAATCTTGTGAGTGTCATCTTTGAGTTCTGCCGCCCACGCGATGCCGTGGTAGACGGCGAGCGTCTCTAGCTCGGCCACTGAGGGGTCGGTCTCGTATCGGAGGTGCAGCGTCTGCGGTGGGTGGTGGAGGTCCGTCACCGCCAGGGCCGCTCGTCTGTTCTCGGGATTCCAGGATGCATCGGTGTAACCTGTAATTTCGTATGGATCGTCTGATGGTTTGGCATTATCTGTAACTGTCTGGCGTTGCCTATTGTGGCGGAACTTGCTGGTCTTTCGAGGTACTGGTTTGGGGGCCAGAACGAGCACGTCTTCCCACGGCGCAAGGCGAGGTGGGATATCTACTGCAGGCGAAGTCTGCCCGTCATAGTCGAGCAACCTACGGCCTTGTTGAGTGAGTTCGCGGCGTTCGGCCGCACCCTTCTTCCGGTCTCGGATGATGCTGTCCAGTGTTGGCAGTTCTGCATAACGGTATAGTTCTTCCACCCGTGTATGTCTGGGAAGCCCCGTGACAACTCTGAGCGCTTCGCGATAGAGGCTTTCCAGTTTGGCCCGTTGTGCTTTCGTCAAGTCGAAACAAGTCGCGCCGTAGCAGGCTCGCGATGTGAGCACAGACATTACGAGTGTTCGTTTCGCAGGAAAGTACCTTTTGAAAACCGTGCTGCTGTTTAAAGAAAAGAAATGGGATGATAGGTGCCTCATGATATTGGAGTAGAGGATATGCTCAAGTAGTTTGCAAGAAATTGAAGTCAATGAATTAGGGCGATAATTAGATGCGGAAGAGCGGATGCCCTGTTTAAAGACTGGGAATTACCCTTCCCACCTTTTGGTCAGATGGAAGGCAGCTTTGAGATGAGGACTGAATGAAGATGAGTTTCAAATACTCACTAGAAATAACACGGGTGTTTCTTTTACATTTTAGGGTTTATGTTGTCGGTTCCAGCGGACGAAGTAAGTTTTAGTTTATCAATCAATGTTTTAATACCAGCGGAGTTAACGTTAATGGGATGCATGCGCTCGTAAAGCTCTTCAGGGAGAGTGGGGACGAAGTCCAAGCACTCGTTAGTAAACACTGATGAAAAGTATTCGTTAAACACAGAGCTATCATGCTCGACGTTGCACATCCGACATTCCTAACTCTCCCCATCTTCCTAAACGTCCGTGTGTGTCCTAACACCAGAAACCGGAATTTTAAAGGTTAAAAACGGCACGTTGCGAATATGGAACGCGCACTTTCATGCAAAGCTGACGTCAAGTGACTCAAATCGAAAAACATGCATATTTAGAGAATTGTTATCTCTTCTAATGAAGGCTAAACAACCGTTGCATCCGTTTTCGCGCACGAAACGGTGACTCCCAGAGAAAGTAAGAACGCAGTGATTGTCTTTATTTTAACAATGTAAACACCCTTGCAGGCGTGCGCTGATGAAGTCTCAAAATCAAAACTCTCGTAGTGTGATTCGTGACTGCTCCGGCTACTACCCAACCTCGTTGTCACGCCACTTTCTGCAAGCAAACACTAAAATTGCCAGTAAACACACAAAAGCGACATCGATACAATTATCTAGTAGAATATCACCTTATTTAATCATAACTGTTTCAATAGGCACTACAAGTTGTATTTATTTTAAGAAGAAGAAGCAAAAATTTTTTCGTGAGAAAAAACAAAATATCAATGTTAAGTCTGGTAACGTTGTAATTTTGCCGAATCATTGCCACATCTTTAGAAAACTTCGACAAAAGTTGCGCCGAATTTTCGATTAGGGGGGGGGGGGGGGGAAGAGGGTCGGGTTTGCCCCCCCCCCACTCAAAAACAAGTTGGTACGCCACTGGCTGGCTTATTACCAACCTACTTAATTGCACTTGACGTTTGAGCGCGGCTCGCCTAATTGTATTTGGTCAACAGATTGCACACGACCATATCGGCCGCGCTTCAAAGATTTTCATTCTCGCCGTCTTGTACTTTTGCTTTCGAAAACCCCCCTGGCTCCACAACGTTGCCCTATTCGTGCTCCCACGGAATCTATTATTGTAGATTTGGGACATAGCCATGGTTAAAGGAGCAATGCAACAATTTTTGTACTTTGCACAAATACCGCGTAAAACAGATCCCTAACGTTAATGACCTATGAAACACGCGTTCGTTTTTCACCTCACGCAATAGAAGTCCCAGAAAAAAATTTAAGAAAAACGAGCAGCATTCACCCCCTCAACTCGCAGCCAGAACAAGCGGCCACGTGATCTGGAGCCGATTATATGCCGCCAATGTTGATCACAGCCACGCGCTGGGGTTGGCAAAGCGCAGGACACGCGCTGAGTCCCAGACATTGTTATGGCTCGGCTATTGTCGTCGTTGCAGCGATTGGACACGGGTTACAACCCGAATGCTCCTCGAGATAGCAATTGTCACGAGCCCAAGTCGAGTGCCCACGCAATGCTCGGGTCCAATCTATGAGCCGCATTCAAATATCGTCACTTGGGTGTACTGCGATCCCCGAGTTACGTCATCGAATTTTGCGAAGGAGAGATTGAATGAAAATGATCGCTTTTGTCCTTGAAATTACACCGCAATAAAGAAGTTTCTTGGCCAGTGGCGTTGCGTGTGAGTATCCTTGAGTCCCAGGTGTGCCAGTAAGCTCGTGTAGAGAGAAAAACATTCCAATTGAATATCGTTGCACAGCTCCTTTAATATAGTACGTAAGAACACGTACAGATCTCCCCCTTTTATTGATAGCAACTCACCGGAACAGCTGGACGATCCAGAACTCCGTGGCCGATATATATAAATGATCTAAAGGCATCTACGCGCGACACACGTTCAGAACTTTGGCGCGGCGTCAATTCTTGACCAGTATCCAAGCGTGCGAAGGCACAAAGATGCATCACTCGGCGTGCCAAGGAAGCTTTGATCACGCCGCGACACCGGCGACACGTTTTCGACGAGTTGTACCTTTTGATACGGCTTCACGCACATTGCACTCGCTAAACACATTCACACGGCGTCGGTTCTTGGTCGGTATCCAAGCGCGCGAAGGCACAGAGACACGGCACTTCGGCGTGCCAAGGAAGCTTTGAACACGCCGCCAGCCCTTCCTTTCGACGCGTTGTGCCTTCTTCTTGCGACACTGCACTTTCGTAAAATTTTCCACGTGTTCACAACGGCAAGTCTCAACAATACACGGAGTCCCAAAAAACTTCCTCGGCGAATGACGACGAACGAGTAGAAAACGTGTCTACAGCACGCTGAAAAGCCGCAGCAAAAGGCTAGCAAAACGGAAAATCGTATCCCAGCGGGGTTGCGTCCGGTGGCTTCACTTGCGGGAGCGGCAAGCGCGATCCAGCAATTGTCAGTGCTTCGCTCCATGCATTGGTGATAGGGACGCCACCTCCTGTCCTTGGAAGAGAACCACTGATCTCTATTGTAGTGATTGTAGTAGGAGAACACGACGCTGAATGGCTAATGGTGATGTTGGCTTTTAACTGAAGCGAGCACATTTCGCGAAACTGTTGCGCGCCTAAACGGTGCATCGTGTGAACAGACCTTTAGTGAGCCCAAAGATACTATCGTGGGGTGAGGAATAACGTTGGGGTGAGGTGACAAGCCACGTCTTACGACGTTTGCATACGTACCCACAATATCCGGCATGTTGAAAACGAAGAAAAGTACCCTTGTCTTTTATCTATATCACTCGAGAATGCTTAGAATATTGTATATTCGTGGGAAGTTGGACAATAGAAAACACAAGCAGCGCATACGGTCACGGCGTGATAGCGTGAATTGAAGCTGCTCAATCGAAACCGAAACTGAGCGGTCAACTAGTTCCCAGAGTTCACTGCGTGGCACTCTCGTGCTAAGGAGACTCAATAGAAGACAATCCAATCCAAGTTGCTAGAAGATAGCTACTCGGCGACTCAGCGACTCAGCTGACTTGATCCGATACACCGGTGCGCCTTTGCTGGAAGTGGAAGGTGGCGATGCTGTGGCACGTCCGGTCCCCAAGAGCGGCCCTCCTGCTGGCGGGCTGTGCCCTGCTGGCCCTGGGGTTCTTCTACCGGAGCAGCCTGTCCCCGTGGGACGCGCGCGACGCGTCGCACGTGAGCCTGCGGCGGCTGCTCCTGGCTGCCGTCTCGGCTGCCGAGAGCGGCGGCGCCCAGGTGCGCCTGGTGAGGCTCAGCAACGCCCTCGACCAGAAGTCCAAAGGAAAGACCCAGGAAGGCGCCAACGACCCCCTGACCGCCGGGGACCTCCGCTCCCACAGGGCCATCTACTACGGGCTCCGGAGGGCCTTCCCGGGAGTCGCAGTACGTGACACGACCCTAACCGAAACTAGCCGAACATCAGAAACTTGGGTAGGCTAAAGCTGAAGCGACTTTAGCACAGAGGGGACCTGGTCACCAGACAGTGATTAAGCTAATCTATACAGAGCTTTCCCGCTCTTATCAGCCAGTCGGACAATGACGAGTTCGGCATGTGAACGGCATCTGATACTGCGCGTACACAAACCTCGTTAAACAGCCCAGTAGACAAAGATAGTGCATATAGAAGGCGATTATCGGAAAGGTCTGCAGCTGTTGAAAACTTTTCCTGCGTGACGTTGTCAAGGCTAGCGTAGTTATCAGTGAGAGTGGTGGGTAAATCTGCGGCGCCAATAACCATATCCTTATAGTGCAAAGATAATCCGGCGAAAGCTTTGCTGTCAGCATGTGCTCAGCAGCCATGCACAAACTATGGCCTCTAGGGAATTCGTACATAGCATACCACACAGTAAAAGCTACTTACAAAAACTCGTGTTTTTTTTTTGTTTTTTTTTTTTTGTGCAACAGTGCATGCAGAAATGCAAGGTGAAGCCACATTCTTGCAGAGCAGTGCATGGCTCCAGTACTGTGGAAACTATGCTAGCCTCGACGATGTTGCACAGAAAAGTTGACATTGAGTATGAGCTTTGAAGTGGGGCTCATTGAGTATGATGCAAGCTGAAGTATTCAAGCTAGTCATTTTGTAGCAATACCACTAAAGGTCTATTCACACAATGCATCTTGGTGAATCTTGTTTCACAAAACTAGTTTTTGGGGAAACCAATGCCCTGAGTGAAAGCAATCGAAAAAGTTGCGCTTGCTCCTCGCTTTTGGAGGGAAATTTTGCTGAAATGTCGCCGACGCCTGTAATCACCTGAAGGAGGATCGCAAATGCTGCCAATGAACTCTCGACATCGCTATAACGTCTGACCTACGAGGTGGAGCGAGCTTTTGGAGGAGCCCCGATTTTTGGCCGATCCTGTATCCGAGTCAACGGGACTAAAGCTGAAAAGAGAAAACAAACATGGTGGCGAGCAACAGCCGGAGAAACGGTGCATACAAATAGTACAAGTTGGTGCAGTTTGTGGCGCTGTGCATATCCCTCCAGTTTCGACAAGACTGCACATAAGCATGATGACTGGGTATAACTGATGTTTTAGCAATTCTAAAATGTCTGAAATACTTCCAGATCATCTGCCTGTTCTTTGCGCTGTCTTTCCCCGGTTTGGCAGGCCTAGTAAACCGAGTGAGCCAAATCCAACAAAGTTTATTGAGTGATATTATTAAAGTAGACTTTCCCTTCACAATGTGCATACTTCATATCATTTTGATGCGAAACGCTTGACATTTTTGGTGCAGAGGACAAGGTTTGGCCAAATTCTCGTGAGTCAGTATGTCGCAGGTTTTGCGCGTCAAGCTCTGTGTGAACAGGCTGATTTAGTGAAATCTCAGCTTTGCTATACCGTTCCGCGTTGAAAAGATGCATTGTGTGAATAAACCTCAAGTGCGGAGCTATTGGTACGCTGTGCTTACACCTCTGCTTAATGATTACCAGCTGAACGTTAGGAAAAGCGACGAAGAGAGAAAGAAACACACTGCTGGTGTTTCTTTCTCTCTTCGTCGCTTTTCCTAACGTTCAGCTGGTAATCAGTAAGCATGGATAACCAACCGGCTCAGCTACAGGCCATCACTGCTGACACCTCTTCTTGGTTGCTTTTGTTGACACGTCTGTTCACAGCGATGGACGTGCACAATTTCCGTCCAGTATGTGCGGCATGAGAGTGTGCGTTTAACCAGGTCCCTAGGCTCGTAAGATTTTCTTGCACTTGGACAGTCGATCCAGAGCCCAAACTGAAGCACTGAGCGGCATAGCACCGTGCCATGCCCAGGTTCGAGCCAAAGGGAACACACTTTTTGTGTGAGAAATGTCAACATACCGTAAAATATTAAGCAAGCACCCGCACAAAAGTTGAAGATAATTAGGGATGCCGCGAACTTTTTTCGAATCGAAGTTTTGATGATCGAATCAAGCGGTTCGAAAGTTTCGAAATATTTCGATTGTTCGAATTGCCTACATCATAAAGTTCGACAAAAGTCGAAATTTCGAACTAGTTAAGCTAAGAAGTTCGACGTTCTTCGAACCGTCAAACTTATTACGCTAAAAATTTCGATCTTTTACGACCTTTCGAACTTATTGCGCTGCAAAGTTCGATGCTTGTCGAACTTCCGAACTTGACTGACCAAAAAATTCAATGAATTTCGAACTTTCGAACTTATTTATCAAGAGAATTCGAAAATATTCGAACTTTCGATCCTGAAAAGTCAGAAGTTCGACGAACTTCGAACTTTTAGGGTAAAAGTCCGACGTTCGTCGAACTTCGAATGTCCGGCGGACTGTTTCATTTGAATTCAAGTAGTGAGGTATATTAATAATATTTTTTTCTCGAACTTTTACACACGGTGCTGCGTTCCTTACGAAAGACAATGCCGTTTGTTCCAATGTTCTGGCATGCTTAGTTTTAAAGAAATAAATTCCCGAAGGGGCGAGGAAGGACAACAGGTTTTTGACAATTATCGTTTGTGCCAGGTTTGAAGCGCGCTGTAGCCGAAGCTATTCATGGTAGAGATGTTATACTTTTTTAAGAATGATCTATGTATAGCCTAGGTAAGTGCCGTCTTAAGATGTGATTATTGTTATTCAACGTGAGTTTCGAAGAAACGTCCAAACATGTATCTACATGCAATTATGCCCTAAACTTGATATTTATTTTCGTCTAAGTTGTTTGAGGTATCGCATTTAAATTAACACCGCATACAGTACATATCATTGCAATCTGCAGAATATAAAATAATGTTTTTATTGTTTTTTCACGTTAAGGAATAAATTAACTTATGGGAGAAGATTTCTAATAGTGTTCAAGTTCAGCACGTCATTAAAAGAAAACATTTTTTTTTTTCGCTTCACGTTCCTGGGACTACTTTGTGATGCACGTTAATGACCACCCCGGGCTGGCGTTCACAATTACTGATCTATGGTCACACGTCACTCTGCCCTGGCAAATATTCCAGCACATCCGGGACACTCGTCGTCTCATTTAATTGCCTGACCAACTTTGCGCAGTCTAAATATCACACCCGAACTTTTCTGAACTTGATTTTGTGAAAACCAGTGAGTCGTGAAAACGTTATTTGAAACAAACTGTGGAGGAACTTGAAAACCGGACTTCGAACTTCGAAAACTTGGACTAGAAAGAAATTCAAAATCTTCAAAGTTTTTTTTTTTTTTTTTTTTTTTTTTTTTTTTTTTTTCGAATTTCGCGTTAAAAGAAAATTGAAACCTTCAAACTTTTCGAACATTATGCAGAAAGAAATTCGAAATCTTCGATTTGTTCGAACTTCATGTCTATAAAAATTCGAAGCGTTCGAAGTTTTCGAATTTTATTTCCAAAGAATTTCGAAATCTTCGAATTTATCGAACCTGAAGTAAAAAAATATTTGAAATATTCGAATCCGAAATTTTAGAAACCGTGAAAGCTTCTAACTTTTCGAATTCGAAACTCCACTGTGATCGAAAGTTGCGAATTTTTCGAATTCGAACCTTGGTCGGTACGAAGATATCGAAATTTTTCGAAATCGAACCTCAGTTCGCTTCGCAAATATCAAAACCTTTCGAAATCGAACCTGGGGTGGTTTGCGACAACCCTAAAGATAATCCCCGAAAAATGGGGATGGGTGCTTGTTAGGTCCAAGAGCAGAAAAGCAGAAGGGGCATATGAAGGGATAGGTCCTTGTTTGAACCGGCAAAAAGGTGTAGAAGCTGTCAAGACCCTCAACTTTTCAAGCAGCCACACCACTCTTGTCAAGGCCTTCCATCGGCGCTCTTGCGTCGGTGTTTTTCACTTCGCACCAATGCATGCGCATAAAGCTTCACCAGCCGCCTCGCGTAATCTTTCAGGGGAACACCTCAGCTAGTTTGATGGGTGTGGTGGGTACCTGATTTGTTCTTTGTTTACATTTGAAGTGCTTCAAAAGTAGGTGGAGAGCACTTTTTGCAACATGGGTGTATGCTCTGTTTGTTATATTGGTGGCAGAATATCTTGAGCGATGCTCACACGAGTATGCACAAAAAGTCTGTGGAATACAATGAGCAAAATGTTGTTGGGTTAAGATTTGCAGATGTCCAGTCCCGCAGTAATACGATTGCTGCGCCAAAGTACTTACCCTACTACATTCTGCTACATTTCGACAAAACATGCTGAATTTGCGCCAGCATTGCACCGAAACATAATTTTTGCTTTATTAATAGTCAAAAAATTTGAGCCCCGCTACATGACTGAAACGTTATAGTAGGATTTCTGAATTTTCAGAACTTTCGAATATTTGCCTTAAATATTGTGCTACTCAATGCAATCTTTGTATCGGGCATTGTCGGTACTCTGAAGTCGCACAATATTTTCATGTTCGTGGTCTGTTCTGGTAGGTTAGGTAGCCTAGTTGAGTGCGCTTCTCACCACGTGGTGGTGCACCGCAGTGAAGCAAAAACTGCGGAGTGGACATTGCGATCGTTTCGCTGCAGCGCAGCCATGCACTAAGGAAAAAGCACTTCTCCAGAGCAAGGTGTTGCACACACAAGCGTGAAGCATATTAAAAAAAAGAGCTTGGTAAGGGCTGATGTAACAACTGTACCCTCCAGTAAAAAATTATTAAAAAAACTGCTGCTAGTGCACAAGATAGGTTACAATATTCCAACACTGTCTTATTTGAATTCGAGATTTAGCAAGGCACGTTTATATGAATCTCTCTGTAAACTTGTTTTTTTTATGTCAGCTCCCTGGTTTAGATGTTACCTTTACATAGGTTCCATCTGTGCAATGGCACAGTGAACGGAGTAAATTAAAACTCAATTAGCTAAAGATGTAAACTTGGCAAATAACCTTATTCAGCTCAACTGGTTTGTTTCTAAGGCTTATTTATTGTTTGTGAGTCGATATTTGTTACGAAGTCCTACACAAAAATTTTAATTGGTGTTAATCAAATGGCAACAGCTTTGTTTTTATCTGAATTAATAATTGCTGTTTTATTTCAATCTTTAGGAGTTTGATGAATCATCAACTTGGGTGCTCAATATTATTCTATTCTAACAAGATTTCCCTGGAATATGCTATTTGGCTTACCTTTGGGTCTGTACCTAAAATGACAGTTTGTGGCAGTTCATACTGTCCTTCATCATTCAGCATATTGTTGTCATGCCTGGTACTTATACACACAAGTTCTGTGTTTTAGGGAATCAAACCTGCCATGAAAGTGATGCTAACAGAAAGGTGCACAGAAGTGGGAAGGCAAAGAATGCATCAATCTTAACGTAAAATATTTGCAGTGACTAGAACAAAAAAGTGAAAGCCGTTTACAACTTCCAGTAACGCCGAATTATAGCGCAGCTCTCGAGGAGGAGGAGGGAACGGTACTGGGGGGGGGGGGGGGGGGGGGGGGGGGGGGTCACATGACGATGACAATGCCGATGATGTCATCAGTGACCATGACGATCCGGATACCGATGACGTCATTAGTGACGTCACTGATGACGTCATCAGTGATGATGACGTCATCAGTGATGATGACGATGCGGATGTCGGTGACGTCATCAGTGACGTCATTAGTGATGATGACGATGCGGATACCGGTGATGTCATCAGTGACGTCACTGATGACGTCATCAGTGATGATGACGATGCGGATGTCGTTGACGTCATCAGTGACGATGACGTCATGGGGGAGATCACGTGACCGCGGCAGGGGGGTCACGTGACCTGGGGGGGGAGTGAAGTCACATGACCCCGGGGAAGGCTCGCGCAATGCATTATGGGACATTTTCCATAATGCACCGCGCGGTTACGCCGACGCCGCTCAAGGCCGGAAACGGGCGCCTAAGAGCTGCGCTCTAAAATGAAGTGTAAACTTAAGCTCCAAACGCTCCTTTTTCTGCTCCAAAATTGACTTCTAGCTGCTCCAAGAGGTGCTCCAAAATTACATGGACTGGTCACATCACTAAGTTCTGTCTTTGTTGCTTGTTGAGCCATGTCTGCTATCTAACATGCTCCTTGTCGGTCTAAATGAGTGATGTCATGAGTGCAAGTGTTGCAGTATTTGAAACAGGAAAAAAGTTATAAACTAGGAAGCAAATCAGCTTATTATAAACAATATGTATTAAGGAGAGAGCAAAGCAATGAACACCATAAATGGCTGCAGCTCTACCGCAAGAGTTGCCACTCTGGGACAGAAGGTACCAAAGACGTTTCAATCGGTGCTGGTTCAAAGCTGCCCATTTTTTACGTCCATTAACATTCCTGAACCACGGAACAAATAGGAACCCACAAGATATGGTTGTGGGGATTACATACTGTCACGTCTCGGAGCCAGTGCCTAAAGGATGCCGGTCCCATTGCGCGGTCGACGGCCCGTTGCACCAAGTTCGCCAGTGCCATGTTGGCAATGCCCAGTATCCAACAGCGTTTATTGGGAAGCACGGGTCACCAACAAGGCACTGCAGTTGAGCGAACCATGGATACAAGGGCCTGCCACGCTCGACAATCTGAGAGCCAAGGGTATCACAAGCGAAGTCATTGTCGGTCGTTCGAGCTTACGTCGCTACCCGTCCTCGCGGGAACTCAATCCAGCACTCTTTGTAGACGGACGTCCACTCAGAGGGGGGGCACCTACCGTACCCGCAATCTCCCATGGTTCTCCCAAAACAAGAGACGTGCAGGGGAGCGCAAGAGGGTGTAGGCCAGCAAGGTGGCAAACTATCCCCAACACAATGCAAAACATATGCAGGCTGAATGCCAGGCGACTCCGGCCGTCATGTCTGTGGCTTGTGCCTGCTCGGGGGAGGGAAGCCAGTGGCTCCTACAACTTCCAAGCCTCGACTGATTTGACAAAGCTATTTACCTTGCCTTTCTAGATTAGCCCTCTTTTGTATGAATACAAATTTCTGGGGTTTAGTTAGCTCTTGTCATTCTTTATTTTTGATCTTTTTATTGTAACAAACATCATAATAGCTTATGCTCAATGAGCACCGGTTATAATATTGGTGAAAATGTTCATGTGCCATAACTGATTTTAAATGAAACAGCCACAATAATACGAGGGAGAAAAAAATTGCGGCTGTATATTGATTTTTTTTATTAATTAATCCATTATGCAGAATTGTGGTTATGAGAAGCACAGCTGATGTCCAATCTCCGCCTTTCTGGCACATACCATTGTCTTCTATTTTGTAACGTACTAATGTTTTTTTTCTTGTTGTTTCCAAAGCTTGGCAACTAGCAAAGCCTTTTTAAAGCGTCCAGGTGTCCTCTCTCTTGTCTCTTCTGTTTTCCTTTTTTGTTGTCCCAAACACTTCCCAGCTGGCCAACTCTCACCGTGGCATGCAACACTTGCGATGCGAAGCCCCAAGATCTTAGTTAGCTTCCGTATTAAGAAAGCAACTCTGCATTAATAAAAGATTGTGGTGCACTAAAAAGGAAGGCATCTTTCCCACACGGAACATTGAAATTGTTTGTGCACCGCCTGCTTCCTTGGTGGATCACTCCATTTTGCTTTTTGCCCTATATCTCCCAGTTTATTTCATGAGCCATGGTTTTTCGATAATCTAATATGGAATGGTGTGTCGCTTCATACACTATAATTAGACAAAGGTGGAGTGCAGAAAGTGCCGCTGGTGAATAACAACTGCAGACGTGGCCACCTGTCATCTCTGTTTTAGCTTGAAACGTTTTGGATTTTGTTCTTACTTTATATAGGAGCGGAGCTGCCCTTTGGTACTTAGAAGGTAAAACTGACCTTCAAAATGCACCTCGGCAACAATCCCAGTTTGTCTTGTACCGATTTCCCAGCACACCTGAGTGTGTCCAAAGTGTTGGAGTGGCAGTATTGGTATGGAGCGTGAAACTAGTCCCCGACCTGAGTGTTTACTGCATCCTCATTTGTGGTCTCTCCTACCGGTTGACTTCAAATTCAAGTCGGGCAGTTGCCCGACGCAGTTTTGTCAGGGCACAGCAGCGGAAGTGCACAGGCAGATACTGCTGTATGCCACTTTGGAGCTTTACAGTTCAAGGAAATTTGGGCAGCCAGGACTGTTGGGACGACAGCAGCTACAAACGCGTTTGCTTGTTTTTTTTGTTTTTCTTGCCGGGACTTGAACTACCCACTGTCAAAATCGCAATATTTGGCAGTGCGACACACTGGCTCCCAGGGTGTTTGGTAGTTCTTCGAGACCACTTTCGATGCACTGGTGGTACAGGACACTAAGCACACTAGTCATAGACATGTTCCAGGTACTGTGGTTTGTCTGTCGTGCCGTGAAACCCCCCTTCAATGTGTCGATCCCGTTAGAGCCACTAAATAAACTAAGCTTTGGAACAGCAACACTTATGCTAGCTTATTAATCTACATTTCTCGGAAATTGCCAATCCAAGGTGTTCGGTGCGATACAATGTAATATATGATGCATGATATATTTATTTTAGCTCGGGAGGGCCGCAGCGTCACAGAAAGGCAAATGAAGGCCTGCGGCGCTGCTTGTAATGATGATGAAATGGTATTGTAAGAATGAATTGTGTGGATGATGATGATGGGAGGGGTGAAGAGCATCGGGCCTAGCAGTGGCCTTCGCGACGGTGGTCTTCGCTGGGTCTCCATGGGCTGCTGACTTCTAGCAGGCCAGTCTCGAGCGCCTGGCGAGGGCTCTCTACGTCCCAGCTTGCTGACAAGCCGGCTGAACATCCGCCGCCCGGTGCATACCACGAATGCCGGCACGAGCCTCTTGCTTGAAAGCCTATAACGGTCTCTCACGAGTTGGTGGAATGTGATGGTGCATTTTCATATCAAAACGTCCGGAAATCTGATTTCAAAAAGGGGGATTCCGACCATTGTTGCTGTTTGCCAGAGCTTTTTCTGAAATCGCAGAAAACGCCTTTCCGTCCTTCAGACACATAGAATTGGTCCGCAACAGAGGAAAATGACGTCACCCCCTCTTCCCAACACCGCATCTAAAGCTCAGGAATTCCTATCTTTTGGTCTTGGCTGTCATCAATTACTCCTGCCCTGCACCAAGCAACAAAACAATGACGCTCGCGAGATGTTCCGAGGAACGGAGTGTCGACGTACCAAGCATAGTCTATTTGGTGACTCCAGCTCCCGCGTTTCCGATTGCAGATCATCTCTGAGGAGCACGATGCGGCCGGGGACCCGGAATCCCCTGACATGGTGCAGTCCGCTTCCCTCCGCGGGGTCACGCTGGACGACGTGGCCGTGCCCCGCAGCAGGGTGGCCGTCTGGATCGACCCTCTCGACGCGACGCAGGAATACACCGGTAAAGGCTGCACTCTCATCGTCTTAAGGACGACTTACCACTCGCTGATCGGGCAACTTTGCTGGTTTCCCCCACCTAATTACCGACAGTATGTTCCCGCTTTCTGCTTCTTCCATTTGTTCTTTGCCATCCTTATTGGCTAATGCTCTTCCTGGCTGTGGAGTAATAAGATCATGTTTGGGACATGTCCTGAGTTTCTTCAGTTGTCAGGGACATGGTAAAGTTTGTTGCCACAAGTGGTCACGTAAACTCCCCCCCCCCCCAAAATAAAATAATAAAAATTGACAAATTTTTATATTTTTTTTAAAGATGCATAGCACCCTTCATATGGCATTTCAATTACTCCGAAATTATCTGACCCCTATGTCTCCAGTGTAGACGGCGTTTGCAATCTTACGTCTTTTCGGTGGGTCCGTGTACATTACGGAAAGAGTAGATCCGTCCGACAACTTTCTTCGCATTGTCTTCGTCAAACCCGTTTCCATCCTTTAGGTCGGTAGTTCTCAAACTGGGGTCTACAAACCCTTTGGGGTTCCTGAAGGCCTTCTTAGGGTCCTGAAGCCCTCGACCATCAGTCAACCCGAGCAATAAACCTTTATTTTAATTGATGCTAGCTGTCCTTCAAAGCTAGACAGACCAGACCGTGTGCACCGAGTGAGTGAATTCATTACTTTTCGTTTAAGGGCTTCAAAGTTGGTTTGCACGCATTTATTTTTCTTCATTCACCATTTCGTCATTGTAATTGTCCAAACCCCCCCCACCCTGCCTTCCTCCGATGATAGGGTCCCCCCGTCACTTCTGCTGATCACAAAGGGGTCTGGCCCGGACATCAATGGCTGAGAACCTCTTCTTTAGGTTCTTTGAGCAATCCGATCGGTTGACTTCTAGCATTGCCAGCGCACCTCTGGGGCTTCAGTTCGTCCCTAGGGAAACTTTTCCCTTGAGGAGATGACCGGACCGGGCAATCTAAGGCATTGTTGCAGAGTTGCCACGATTCTGGAATCATTCCGTACTTATGCAAACTTGGAATGCAATGGTGACAGCGCTGGGAGGAATGAAATGAGATTGGAATTAGATCAGCTAGAACTTGCTGGAGCAACACTGGCATACAGTCGAAGTGACTCTTGAAGTATTGCCGCACTTAAAGGGCCGCTGCTATCCCCAGCGTGAATATTTTTTATTGTTGCGAACAATTGAATATGATTTCCAGGGATCGTACATTGCGAAATGGTGCACTCCTTGCCTTTTTGGATCGCTTCCAACAGGAAGTGTCGTTTAACTTTCCCTTCTGCCCTCTCATCAATCACGAACGCTCTCGTCTGCCAACCGGTCAATAGACCGATGTCGCCAAGCGTTCGGCGTATGCGTGATGCCACCATAACTTGAATTCGCAGGAAGCAAGCAAAGTCACTGAGTTACTTGAGAAGCAGGCGGCAGTGCACGAGACGGCTCCTGCCGCCTCAGGTTCTGCATGCAGAGCTCCAGCTTGGTTGTCGCACGTGCAGATAGACTACCATTGATGCATTGCGGCAGCGATGGCATAGCCAAACTACCTGGTGACATTGGTCGACTGTGTGCCTGCTTTGCTGTGCACTTGGCACATGACCTTTCTCCAGATGCAGCAGACACATCCCATTTGAGCTTGATTTTTCTTTTCTTAGCAGTGTTCTACTTAGTGGGTCTTAAGCACTTTCTAGATAGGTAAAGAGTAGAATGACGTGTTGCAGAATTTATGCACCTCATGCCTGGACGCCTGTTGTGAACAAGCCACAGAGTTTAGGGCAGCAAGCACGAGGCTGCACGATTATCATTGAAATGTTTTATTTATGTAAAACTGAAATGAGCCGCTGTGTCGCTCAACTGCAGCCATCTGAAGCGGTGGCACGGCGAGCGAGGGAGAGATAGATGGGTGCAAGGGAAGGTTCGCTGCCTGCACGAAAGCAAGCAGCGAGTTGAAATTGTGTTTTGGCAGAATGGAGAATAAACATCAAGCTGATTTAAATTGTGATATTGCATCACAAAAAAAAAACTGTAGTGTAAGGTGGTCAGTCAGGCGAGTTGGTACTGATTAAGCATGGTTGAAGATGCGCACAGAAAGGCAGAGACAGGGAAGAGAAACACGTTGACAACATACAAGTGCACGCTCACAACTCGCATGTATTTGAACGAAGAAGGAAAGAAGGAAGCACAGGCAGTGGAATCGTCTCGAGCGAAGGCCACACAGGAACAAGGGCACACAAGCTTGAAGGGGCCACTCCGATTCAACCATAATAATAGAATTGTAGAAAAGCCATTTCCTTCACTGTTAAGGGCACAGACAGTTCGCTGACACAATGCTTGCCCATGCAACAGATGTTAAATGCTTCAAAGCTTTCTTTGGTGCATTTGTCACGGTATTTACCTATTATTTTCGTTTTTTTTGTAAGGATGGCGTACTCTCACGATCAATACGAGTGTGAACACCGTATTGCGTGGCCCGTGGTACTATCAGTGCCCCCTGTCGAATGCTCCGTAATGCTTAGGTGAAAGGGAGATTGAGGCAAGTAGACTCCTCCGCTCGTTGAGATTTCCTTCACTTCCGGGTCGTCTGGATGAACCGACCATGGCCTCCGCAATTTGTTGTACGCACGCACACCATTTTATGCGTGCTTGACGGTGCAAACATTCGTAATAGTCTTTTGAGCGGTGAAGTGGTTCATTGGTTGTCACATGATAATGACTCTTGAGTGACTTTGAACTCACTGCAGTAAAGTTTGCGATTGATTTATGTTGTGCCATGTTGCTTTTACGGTTCCAAGGAGCGAAAGATGGTCTACGCTTGCTCTGCACTAGAGTGCGGATTTGCAGCCCTTTGTTCTCGCAAAACTCGCGCAAAGTAAATATTAGGCAGATTTAGTAGTTTGTTCCGACACCTCCGATAACAACATGATGGATGCGCAAAGGCGTCGGTGGAGTATGCGGTATCATTATCAGAATCATAAAAATAATCCTGAAAATTCCTAACAAAAATGTTACCCTACAAAAGAAAATATGTAAGCTATTTTTGCCAGCACACACTCCTAGCGAAAGATGCTCTCGCTCATGGGTCAACAGTATCGCTGTTCCGCCGACCGTTCTTCGCTAGCAGACGATCCAGAAGTGCAGAGAAATGCAACGATTGCTGGAGACGAAGTGCCTTCATACACACGCGTGCTTTTGCTTGAGTGGTGACATCTCAGCCATTTTTCCGCCCAATCGTTTTTTTACGCATTTTGAAGTGCGCGCAAACCAGTGTCACTCAGCTCGAGCACGTAGCTTTCGCTAATGCATAGACGCCATTTTACCACCCAAGTCGCACATCGAGTGCGCAAGAGCGTCACGCGCTGGCACATTCAGGGCAACAATGGATGTCTTCACCCTCAGACAGACAGACATGTAGGCTCCCTATGGAGACGTTCTGTCTCGTCCGCAAAGCCCCTTTATCGACCGGGGGCACTGATAGTACTGGGGGCCGCGCGTAGCTGTGTTCACTCTAATATTGATTGTGATAGTACATGAGCAGGCTTGATAGTGCAGGGTAAGTGACCCCCACCGTGGATTTTAGAGAGAGACTGTGTTCTCGTAGCCGATCGTTAACAAACCGTCCCGTCTGTCCTACGTGGCATCTAGCACATGAAAGTGGGATACTATAGGTGACATGGAAGGAACAGGGACATTGGGGTAGACATGGTTTTTGTGGCAAATGGTATGTTTTCTGATATATTCTGCCTTAGGTTGAACTTTGCTCAAATTTGACCCATTTTTTTGGAAGCTGACATCATCTAACAGGTGTGGTGTCTCCTTACTGTTGTCAGCACCCCCCCCCCCCCCCCCCCCAAAAAATGGATAAACTTGTGCAAAAGTCCAACTTAAGGCAGATACCTAATATCAGAAAACATATTTGCCACAAGAAATATCATGTCCACCCCATGTACTCTGTTCCCTCATTGTCATATATAGTATCCCACTTTCATGTGGTAGATGCCACATAGGACAAACAATATGGTGTGTTAACAACCGGCTACGAGAACACAACCTCTAAAATCTACGGGGGGGGGGGGTTACCTACCCCTGCACTGTAAAGCCTGCTCTTGTACACCATCCTTAGAAAAAACCAAGGTAATAGGTAAATACCATGACAAACACACCAGGGAAATCTTTGAAGCATTTAACATCCATAGCATGGGCAAGAGATGTATCAGCCAGCCGTCCGTGTCTTTAGCAGAAAAGGAAATGGCTTTTCTGCAATCCTTTTTGCATGGCTGAATCCCAGTGCCTCCCTCGAGCTCGTGTGCCCTTGTTCCTGTGTGGCCTTCGCTTGAGTCGATTCCGCTGTTTGTACTTCTTTCTTTCCTTCTTCCTTCAAATACATGCGAGTTGTGTGTGCTTGTCTGTTGTCTCCCTGTTTCTCTTCTCTGGCGCTGTCTTTTTGTGCGCATCTTTAGCCATGTTTAAATTGCATCGATTTGACTACTGTAAAATCCCGAGAGATAACCCACCTAACATCAAGAGCAAATCGGGTGAAAATATGGAGTGGCCTAACTTTCGGTGTACAATGAAGAAAATTTTAAAACATTACTATTTTTAGGTCATGTTTCTTTCAAGCTTGTCATGGTGGCGAGGGGCAACGAAGCAAAGATAACTGTGCTTCCCAGCTAGCGTTTGCTTATATTCCGCCACAGCTAACTAGCCGCATTTACACCAAGGTCGTCATTGACCCCAATACTACTATTATTAGGAGTCTAAGGGTATGTTTCGGTGTTTAAAAAAAATGGCAAATCAAGCCAAACATAGAGGTGGGTATCTTTTGGGGGTGGGCCATCTCCCGGAATTTTACGGTACAATGATTTAAGTCTAACACTCCCACAAAGCAATCCCGGAAAAATTTATTTTTACTATTTACCATTTGTGTATTATTTTATGGTTTCCATTTTCATTTATTGTGCATTTAAAGCGGAGAATAATCGAGCAAGGATTTATATTAGGCAGCCATATTTAAAAACATGTTTATTGACAAAAAATCACTCTGGTCTAGCAGAAGTCGTTTAAATCATATAAATCTTATTTATATTAAATAAATCTTGTTTGAATCCAATATACCTCAGTTTTTTTTTTTTCTTTTTTTTTTGTAAAGAAAACATTTTTCTCTTTTTTTTGAATGAAGTAGGTACTGATTTTTTTGTTAAATTTTGGGGAGATTTTAGTTATCTTTGTGAATTGGCATGAAGGGTTGTCCAGAGGCTTTGGAATTGAAGGAGGCTTTGGCATTTGGACTGTTTAGAGGTTGTCCCTTTGTGTAGGTTGTGGGTGATTGGAGGGTTTGGCATTTTAACTATTTAGAGGTTGCCCCTTTTGTGTTGGTGGTGGCTGATTGCGGGCTATATAAGGAGGCGGACTAAATAAACCTGGTAGCTGAGTTTCAGACGTCGTCCTGTCCTTTTCTGTTCCTTCGACTTGTTTGTTCACTTCTGCCCCAGTCTCAGGTTATTCAACATGGGTATACCTCATTTATTTTATTAAAAAAAAAATTGTTTTTTTTTATTTTTGTGGGCTGCATGGGGCCTGGACGGCTATCCAAAAGCCATCTGTTGTTTCAAAATCGCACCTAACGAGGGTGGGGTTTCACTTTAAAGGCAACTAACAGTTCACTATTTCTGTTTTCAGGGGGAGGGAATGAAAAACTTTTCTTTTACCAGTGTCTTTGGTACTCGCTAACTAGTAAAACTCGGCCTCGCCTGAACCTGCCAGTCTGACTTGCATTTGTCCGGCGTGCAGAGAACCTGCTGGACTATGTGACCACCATGGTGTGTGTCGCAGTCGACGGCTCTCCGGTCATTGGGGTCATCCACCAGCCTTTCCACAACCGAACTGGTGAGTGCAACCCAACCTTTCTCACGAAATCACTACCGCAGCCAACGTAATTGTACTACGTTCACCCTTAAGTTGACAGTGCAGTGGCAGCCCCACTCTCACCGGACCCACCATTCGCCTCCCTTTTATCAGCCGACACCAGTCTCTGATCGTGGGTGCGGGCAGGAGCGTGATCTTGTGGCAAAAGATAGACGTACGAGTGGTCTAACGGGCACAGATTGCTTGACTTGTGGCACTTCCCGTAGACTCTGCACAACCGAGAACATTCGAAACAGTGTCTGACATTTTGTAGCAGTGGTGTGGCCGGCACATCACACATGTGTCATCTGCTAGGTATAAGTTTTGGACAAGGAATGTGTATCGGCAGCTCTGTTTTTTTAGATTATGGTGAAAGGCATAAGGAAGTTTTTTTGTCAGTGACTCCGTGAATATAGGCAAATCTATCCCAAAATTTATCGCGCGTGCAGCGACGCTTTTCTTTTTGCAACTTTAGCAGACAAAGGTTCTAAATACGCCAAAAATGCGTTATTATTGAGACGAGCAATTGTTTCAAACATACTAGGGCGAATACAGCTTCATACATTTTGAAAATAGTTTGTCACTCAAAAGCACAAAAAAGCGAAGCTAATGATGATAATGTCTCCTAATGCAAAGTGTGCACCCTCGCACACAATACGCAAAGGACCAAAGCGGAGTTCCACACCCGAGTTTACAACGATGGCTGTAGCTACGGAGAGCGAGTCTGCCTCAGTGCCTTTATTATCTGAAGTTTCACCGCATTTAATTTTGTTTACTACTACGGTGTAAATGCTCGGGTAAAATTCGTTCCTCCTACATTAAGTGGAGATTCTGTCATGTTGCTTAGACACACCCACGGGTCCTTAATTCAAGGAGGACACTTTCCTTTCTCAAGTACTTCGAAGCTTGTTTATTCTGTTCTTGTGCCAATTTACCGTATTTACTCGATTCTAAGCCAGCATCGATTCTAGGCCGACCCCGCAAAAACGGCAGGGCCGAAAAATAAAAAAAAAAAAATTCTCGATTCTAGGCCGATTAAAAAGTATAGGAAAAGCGCCATAAATTAAACACAGCACGGAATTTATCCGCAATGTACAGCACTATTTCGGTCACGATTCCGACGGTATGCTCATGGTTAATGTCCGCATTTTTCCAGATCATTCGTCGTCCTCACTGGTATCTTTGTCACTGTCCACTTACCACAACGCATGGTCATCTGTACCGTCCAGGGCATTCGAGATGCAACACTTTCGGAACGACTTTACTACCAGTTCCGCCGGGATGTCGTCCCATGCGGCCGCGATCCAGCAGCCACCTGACCCAATGTCTCCGACGACGTTCGTCGTCGGAGACTGAATCCAAATCTCTTCACGAATCTTTGCAGCCAGCCTCTGCTTGCTTTGAACTGCGTCCGAGGCACACCTCGTTCTTTTGCAACTTCTCTTGCTTTTGCCTGAATGATTTCTGTTGTTACGGGATGTGCTGCTGCTCTTTGGGCCCTGATGAAGTTTGCGACCTCGATCTCCACCTCATGGTGACTTCCCTTCCGCGGTCCTGAGAACGCCATTCTTGTTGCCGCACATGCAAAGAGCTGACCACGCTGCTTTCTCCAGTGACGCACATTTTTTTCGTCCACGCCGAAGGCACGCTGGGCTTGCAGGTTGGACGAGTGTTCAGCAGCCAAGACAACTTTCCTCTTAAAAGCCGCGGAGTAGTGGCATCGACTGGTCGATGCCATAGCGTCGAGTAGAGACGAACGTTCCGTGCGTTCCATGGTACACAGCGTATCTTCCCGAAGCGATGCAGACAAGATGGCGTCCCGCGGTCATGGCGGAGCCGGATCCTCGTATCTAGGCCGACCCCCGAGGTTCGGATTTAATTTTTTTGGAAAAACTATCGGCCTAGATTCGAGTGAATACGGTATGCTAAGACTTGACAACCCCTTTGGATGCATGCTCCTCAGGTTTCTTTCAGTGTGGCGTTCTGTTTCTTGGGCCTCTTTAACTTTTTAGCCTGCAGCCCAATAATGCTGGGTGAATTCTGCTTCGTGAAAACTTAGCTACTTCTGTCTATACCGGGTGACCAGAAAAAAATACACGGACAAACATTTTTTATTATATTTATATTAAACGAGGAAATTTTACAAAATTATTTTTTAATAACAATTTTATGGTACGTTAGCATTTGCATTCTTAGCAGGTTTTGAAGCGGCGGCCCTCAGCGCCAATGCAGAGCCTCGGGGGCTTCTCGAAATTTTTGCCGACGGGCCGGAGCTTCTTCGGCATGATTCGGTCCCACTTTGGTGCAGTGATTGCCTCAGCGACTCCAAACTTTTGTGGCACTTAGCACAAGCCTTGGCTTCCAAAACTGACCACATGCTGTAATAAGTTGGGTTGAGATCCGCGTCGTTACATGTCCTTGTTGATTTTGACTCCTTGTCCCACGAAAACCAGTGGTTTCTCGCCGCTGGCAGAAATCCCACCTAAGACCATGACGGACTGCAGATTTTAACGGTATTCGACAATGGCCGAGGTGCCGGGGGCCTCTGCGAACCTGTTCCTGTTGTTTTGGCAGTTGTGGGCCTGCTCGACCATAAAGATTTTCGTCTGTGAAGAGGGTACATTCCCAGCACGTTACATACCTGTGGCCCGGCGTTTAGGTTGGTGGCATCTTTCAAGCTAGACTAGGTTATTTTCGTTCATGAGTAGTTGAAATTTTTTAGGCTGGTAGGGCTTGAGTTTCAGCTCCTTTTTCAACCGCTTGTTGCATCGATTCACATTTGATTCCAGTCTCGTGAGCGATTTTCGCTCAGGAAGACACTTGGATTTTGCTCGACTTGCTTTCGGATGTTCTGACTGTTGGCGTTTGCAGTGCGCTTTCTTCTTTTGGGGCAGTCGCCTTCATGGCCAAGCTCAGGGAAACTCCTAATGGCATCGGACATGATTGGGCGAGAATCCTTGAGCGATCAGACAATTTCACATTGACAAAAACCTTGTTGAAACGGCTCCAAAACATTAGCACGTTGGCTTGGCATTCTGAAAAACGTAAAAGTTAAGAGATCAGTAAAAAAAATTTTAATGTTTCTAGTACAGTGGTTCTCAACCATTGATGTTACGCGGACCCCTTGGGAATCGGTGGAGGTTATGGAGGACCCCATTTGCGGGGAGAGGAGAGGAAAGGTATAGATTAAATATAATAATGATTAAAAAAATTATATAACTAAGGGCTAGTCTGAAGTAGATCTCTCTTATTGAAATACACACTAGAAAACGCGCCAGAAAACTGAAACATTTCATCTCGACCTGAAGAAAGACAACTTTTGTTGCCGGACTTGACTAATGAGGCAGGGTCTCGCGGACCCCTAGACTGCCTTCGCGGACCCTAAAGGGTCTGCGGACCCCCTTTTGAGAACCACTGTTCTAGTACAAAGAAGTATGCCGCATTTAAATTCGTTAATAGTTTTTACAAATATAGATGATTCTTGCTAGGAGGCTCTAAAATTTGTTTAGGTTTTTCCTGGTCACCTTGTGTAGGCAGGATTAAAACTTCCGAAGTCTATATTCAAAGGGTTCTATCTCGATAGAGTGCATTAGCCAGCAGTATGAATGAGAATGCAACCTAACATTACAACATTCTTCTTTTCTGAGGTGTCTCGGAAAACGTGTCATGCACACTTTGGATACATTAAGTGAATATTAAATTCGGCTCCTTCCTGCATACGAAAGTTGCCTTACGAAACATGCCCACATCCCCAACTTTAATTTGCATTTGCCATTTAGAATGCGTCGCAGGCATGCCTATTGCGTAAAATTTGTGCAAAATAGGGCACTTCCTTTCGTAACATCGCCATACTCTTACACCGTCAGCATGTCGGCACTTAAAGCTCCATTCAGTATTCCCTCCCTGCAAATTTATTGATCGGAAACAAGGAGCATTGACAAAACCAATACACCTTCCTACTGTTCTAAAACTGTTCAATTCGAGCAAAGAGTTTTGTTGAAAACTTAATTTGCTTAAAATGTCAGCTGTATCATGCGTCAGTCGCGCCACGGGTCAGTCGCGCCACGCGCCACGGGCGAGTCGCGCCAGTTGAAAATTCCCATTAAGTTCCAATTGGAATTTTCTTATTGGTACCAATTGGTTACTTATTGGTACCAATTGGGTTTTTGGACAACCAATTGGTCACTGCCAATGGGAACCAACGGGAACCAATGGGAATCGTTGGGAACCCATTCAGGTTCCAACTGGAAAAATAATTCCAATTGGTGAGACCCATTGGCCAGAGCGGTTCTAGCTGGAACCCACTAAAACCAATTGGTTCCAGTTAAAACCAGTTGGAATTCCAATTGGATTTAATGGGAATTTTCAGCTGGGGCGCCACGGGTGAGTCGCGCCACGGGTGAGTCGCGCCACGGGTGAGTCGCGCCACGGGTGAGTCGCGCCACGGGTCAGTCGCGCCACGGGTCAGTCGCGCCACGGGTCAGTCGCGCCACGGGTGAGTCGCGCCACGGGTGAGTCGCGCCACGGGTGAGTCGCGCCACGGGTGAGTCGCGCCACGGGTGAGTCGCGCCACGGGTGAGTCGCGCCACGGGTGAGTCGCGCCACGGGTGAGTCGCGCCACGGGTGAGTCGCGCCACGGTTGAGTCGCGCCACGGGTGAGTCGCGCCACGGGTGAGTCGCGCCACGGGTCAGTCGCGCCACGGGTCAGTCGCGCCACGGGTCAGTCGCGCCACGGGTCAGTCGCGCCACGGGTGAGTCGCGCCACGGGTGAGTCGCGCCACGGGTGAGTCGCGCCACGGGTGAGTCGCGCCACGGGTGAGTCGCGCCACGGGTGAGTCGCGCCACGGGTGAGTCGCGCCACGGTTGAGTCGCGCCACGGGTGAGTCGCGCCACGGGTGAGTCGCGCCACGGGTCAGTCGCGCCACGGGTCAGTCGCGCCACGGGTCAGTCGCGCCACGGGTCAGTCGCGCCACGGGTCAGTCCCTTTACGGGTCAGTCCCGTCACGGGTCAGTTGCTTCACATTTCAGCCGCCTCGCGTGTCAGTTGCGTTATATGGTAAAATTATAAGTATCGATCATCAATATATGGTAAAAGTTTGAGAATCAATCATCATAAACATTAATAAAATGCCATGACATGCACAGAGCCGTTTTTTGTTTCTTATTTTTCAACTCTTGTCTTTTTTTAAATGATTTTCAGAATCTCTCTGCGAGATCGGCCTTTCAGCTTGCCACTTCAGATTTTTCTTTCATGATGGGAGCCATCCAATACAATGGTTGACATTCTTCCTGCCACCCCCTTCCACAAAAAGAAACAAAACAAAGAACAAGGAATAGGCAAGGTTTTATAGAGATGTGAAAAAAAATTACAAGAGGACACTTAAAGGGAAGCTGAAGAGCTTTTTTAGAAAAAAAATGAGTTAATAGTTGATTCTGACATGTTTGTGCCTGCCGAGTCCAAAATATCACAACCATTTGACCCCCACTAATTCTTAAAACGTGCAAAAAAAGTGAAGAAAACAGAAGTGATTACCGCAGCAGAACACCATTGGCTAGTCGCTCGTGATGTGCCACTACGTCATAAAAAGACCATCTTGTTCCTCGCGCGCTCCTTCGCTTGCAAAAGTAGTCGGGCGCCGTGGCTTCTGCTCTTGTAGTTAGGCTTCTGATTTTTCGAAACCTTTCGGTGGATTTGTAAGGGGAAGGTTGTCCAGAGGTCCCTCGACGTGACAGAGTACGTGTTCCAGCCATTGGCAAATCAGAAAAGTGACTCCCCCACAGTAATTTAGGCAGACACGAGGCACCGTCTGCGCCGACAGGACATGGCCGGCTTCATATGTTCAGGAACATACTGAGTGCTACTTATTGTAAGGTAAAATGTTGACAGTAAACAAAGTGCTGTTGATGGGACGCGTCAGGCCGGATTAGTGTAACCCTCCCCAAAACAGTCATAAGAGGACAAGAATTCGGCAGACGTCTGCCTTCATGCTTGGCAGCTGCTGGACATGTGAGCGTGCAGGCTGCATTGTTCAGCAAGGCTGAAGTGGTTTGAAGGGACAGTATAATTGGTTTCGGGGGACAAGGGAGCACAATGAGACGGGTGATGAGACAGAGTCGCCGTTCTGCCACCGCAATGCCCTTGCGTACTTCGCGAATACCTAACTGCAGAAAAAGGTCCATCCCTGTGATAGTGTTACCCTCTGCTGCGTTTTATTTGTTTGCCACCAGTTATTGCACAATTACAGCTCGAGAAAAAGCGGAGATGTGTGCCCGGCAGCCCTTAATTTGATGTTGAATCCGTGAAAGCTTCCTGGGCCTCTACATTCGCATATTTCTCCAAAGATTTGTTGACCGCGTTAGACCACCACCAAGCATTATCATCGTCCGATCACATTTCCACGGCCCAAAGAACCATTGCATGACATACAATACTGTATATGGAAAGCATTGCATAATTTGTAAAAAAAAGAACTCTATTCACAACAGAATGTCGCATGCTTTGTATCTCCAAAAAGTGCTCCTGAGGAGAATATGTACCTATGGAAGGAAAATTTAACAAAATTTATGTTTACATTTAAAAAATATTTGACCTTAAGTAGTATTAGCAACTGTAAAAGAAAAAGTCCATGCTAAAACAAGTTGCACCCTGAAAGATGCATCATGAATTGCATGACCAGGTATTACAACAGTCCATCCTCTCCCAAGAGACTGGGTAGCGGAGTAGATTAAAAAAAACAGAAGAAAACAATCTTGGGCAGCGGTGTCGGTCCGGGACATACGGTCACTTCAGCAATATAAAAAGAAACCAAAACTAGAACACTAACAAAAGGCGGTTTGAACAAAAGAGCCAGTGGAGCCAGCGTAATAGCTTTTTTCTAAAACGGTCTTTTTGTCTTTTCTTTGCATGTGCCTTTTAATGCGTTGAACTGCCCTCCTACCTTCAAAGATGGTCGGCAGAGCGTCGGGTTCAGGCGAGCCTTTTTCGGATGCAAACCGATTCATATATTTTGTGAGCGTGGGGAATACTAGGGTATAACAGTACTGCAGCAAGTAATATCATCGGAGAAAACGAGACAATATTTTTAAATCCTACTGATACTGTGGAAGTGCTTTCTATATTTATGAGCATGAAAAAAAGTCACAATCATGACTGTGAGGACCTTCCAATGGGAGCAGTGAAGTTTGTAATTGACTTACTATAACTCATCTCTACAACCAGGGCCGTAACCAGGGGGGGGATAGGGGGTTCTGACCCCCCCCCCCGAAATTTTTTTCTGGGTACGGCCCTGGTCGGTGCACTTGCAGCCAGCCGATTTTAATCTCCACCTCTGCGCACGCGCAGTGGCGGCGGTCGGCTACCGGATACCAAACCGGGACCGGTTCTCCGGTTTGCTGCAACTCTCCATTATATACCACCGATGCACATGATTCATAGGCGAAAATAAGACAATAGACACTTTCAAAATGGCCGCCGTTGTCCCCGAAAACCCCCCCCCGAAATTTTTTTCTGGGTACGGCCCTGTCTACAACCTTATATTTTCATCCAGTACATTTCCTAAAAAAATACAAACTGCTAAGGTGTTGATTTTGTATAAAGGTGGGAATCAAAACTATATGTGCAATTATCATCCCATTTCTATCCTTCCTTTTTTCTCAAAGCTAATTGAAAAAATTGTGCATTCTCGACTTTCAAGTTTTTTTTTTACAAGTTTTCCTCATTGACTGAGTCACAGATGGATCTAAAGAAACAAGTCTATTTGTACAAAAAAAAAAATAGAAACTTTTGAGAATAAACTTTTGACATTAGGGATATTCATAGCCTTTAGTTAAGTGTTTGATCGTATAGATCACAAAAGTCTCCTAGATAAACTCAAATGTTATAGAATTCAAGGTTAGTGTTACTGCTCATAACATATTTACAGAACTGATTCCAATATGTTTAAATTAGTAGTTATTAATCCATTATGGGATGCATTTACACTTGGGTTCCTCAGGGTAGTATCCTGGGACCACTGTAGTTGTCCTGGAATGCTCACGTAACGTATATTCATAAAAACTTTGTAAAGTTGTGGGAATAATGAATAATTAGACATATTCTTCCAGCAAACAATAAACAGCTAATTTATAATGCACTTTTTATTCACTTATCTGTTACACCCATGTAGTGTGGAGAACGACCACAAAGAGTAACTTAGACAACTTGTGACCACAAAGAAAGCTCTTAGAATAATTTAAAATGTCCTCGTGATCATCTCTTTTTCTCTTTTTGAAAAACAGAATCATTGATACTACATGAAATATTTATTTTTATAGGTTAATTTGCAACTATCAACAATCTAAAAGAAAATATTATAATTATTTTAGATCTTGCTAAACTAGATAAAAAGTAATCCCTGTGCCCATCTTTGAGTACCAAAGAAAATTTTTATACTCAAAGATACCGTTTTAAATTATCGGCTTTATTAAACACTTTTTTTCTCATGATATTGAAGTATCCTCGGTAAATTGTCATACCACCCAAGAAATATTGCAATAGCATTATTTATGTATATTGTAATATTACAAAAGGTGCATTTTTGAATGCATTTTTCATATATATATGTGTGTACAGAGGCTTCTTGCAAAGAAGGCTTGTAATCAAGATTTCGGTTGTACTACGTCAAAAGATCCCCGGGTGGTCAAAATTAATCTTCGGTCCTCCGCCAGGGCGAGCCAGGTGCCCTCAGTTGATTTGGCATATTAGCCCCCTAATTTGAGCCTCTCTTTGCAGTGTGGGCCTGGGTGGGCCACGGGACGTCCCCGGGCCTGGTGGTGGCCCCCGACGCGCACCGGGACCCCCCTGTGGTGTTGGTGTCACGCTCGCACGCCGGAGAAGTGCAGGACCTGGCCAGGAACGCCTTCGGCCCCAACGTCAAGCTGGTGCCTGCAGGAGGGGCAGGTAAGCAGCGCAGGGAGGGAACCGCACCGGCGGCTCTGTTTCGCCTGCTTTTTGCACAGAGAGTACTTTGGAATCGTTCGATTCGTTTGCACCAGCGTACACCAGCACAGAAGACCGCAGGGCAGTGTACTTCTTTTTTTAAGAAGGGCTGTGCTCGTAAGTCGAGTACAACAGTGTACGCCAAGCATAGACCTGAAGCTCAAGTTTTGAGTTGACGCCGTGGGCCGCCGACAGACACTACTTTATCCCCGTGGATTGTGCACGATGGGACTAGGACGCCGCTTCACGTCGGCATTACGTGGTCGCTCCTTGCGAACGTGCCTCTTTTGAGGTCACGTATCGTGGGCGCTATTGGCGACTCCAGCAAAATCAGCAGCACCTAGCGACTAGAACAGAAAGCCGTGGCAGCAAGTTCACTTGCCAGCCTTCTCAAGCGAATCAGATATTCCCAACACGTGGTCTAAATAGAAAACCGTCAAAGTAGCTTGGAAAAGCATGCAATGAAAATCGCCAATAGTGCCCCCTGGCCAACAAAAACAGGCCTATAGCCGGTGCAGTAGATGTAAGTAAATCAAACGTTGCAAGTAGTGTCGTAGCGCCAAGCCCTGACCCGAAGGATATACTAATGCGTAGCAAGAAAGGTGGAACTTCACAGATTCAAACTTTGGTTAGAGATTACTTAGTGAGTAGACAGGACGGCGGAATTTTGTTTGCTTCTTGCGCAGAGGGTACAGGGACATCACAGCAGGTAGGCACAGTGGCAGAACATCTCAGTGGTGAGCTTTGGTTGGAGGATATATAGTAGTAGGCAGACAGAATGGCGGAGGTGCTTCTGCTTTTTGCGCAGAGAATCGCAGCAGCCAGCCCTGACTGGAAGGATACAGTGGGTAGGCACAAAGGCGGAACATCGCAGCACCTCTATGTCCACTCGGACAGTAGGCAGACGCAAAAGCGGAGGTTTGTCATTGCTCTCCATGCAGGGGGCTACGACGTCTAAACACAGAGCCGTAGCAATGGCCGCTGTGTTTTGTCGGCTGACGAAAAACCCATGGCCGAGATGTTTGCTACCCACTCATAAAAATGGGACTCTGCATTGCATGCATGATCACTCTCTCACCTTTGTGCTCCCCTCGTCTCGTGTGTGGAGACACTCCTCACTGCCTAGCTCACCCCCTTGTGCGCAGAGGAATGCATCACTGCATGTGCTTGCACCCTCCGCCCAATAGACCGACAGGAAAAGAATGAGATTGTGTCAATCCTTCCCTCGACTTATGCCGCCTGTCAGATAGCCTCTGCTTGGGTATCTGCCCCCTTCCCAACCTCTATTTTTTACTCGCCGTTATTAAGCCCCAGTGCCTTTAACAAATCGCTCTCGACTTCGGAACTCAATAATGCGATTTCTGCGTTACTTTTGCCCAACTGCCTTACCCTGCTACACCCCTCTAAATTTCACCCAAATGCGAGGAATTTGCAAAAGAGTCACGCCAAAACTATTGAATAATAGATCAGGCACCACTACACAGCTGGATCATTATGGTAAACGTGCGAATTTTCAAAACTTTTGATTGTTGCCTTAAATAGCATCATATTCGATTTGATCTCTGTATTAAACAATGACAATTGTGGAAGTTTCGCAATGTTTCTCATGGCCATGATCTGTCCTGCCTGGTCGGTTGCCTTTGTTGATTGCACTTCTCACCACGCTCTGGTGTACTGCAGTGAAGCGACAGCCTCTGAGTAGGCATTGCTGTTGTGCACATCCCGCTTTGCCGCAGTGCACCCGCGTAGCAAGGGAAAAGCACTCCCCCTGAGCGGGACGTTACTCACATTTTTTTAATTAAAACTGCGGCTACTATATATGTGACTGTGATATTCTGACGATATCTTTTTCACATTTTATCTTCAAAGTCCAGCTCCCTTGCCTCTAAATGATGTGTCTCACCAATATACTCCCAGAGGGAGCCCTGTTGGACATTTTAGGAACTTGATGAGGCAGGCAAGATTTCGGTAGTGTTTGAAACAAATGTTTAGCCAGAAAACTGGGATGGGCGATTTTTTGAAAGGCGGGCGTTCATTCAGAATTTTATTCTCGAAGCATGCGCATGCATCACCCCATTCTAGAGGAATGCCTTTCCTCTAAGCACATGCATGCACTGCAATGAAGCGAAATAGCAACATCTTTCACTCTGTGGGTGTCGCTTTGCTACAGTGCACCTGTGCTCGCTCAAGAGCACTCTATTTAAAGCAGACTACCTCTCGACGATTTCCGCTATTGTAAAACTTCCCAAAGCCGGGTAAAAACAACACGTTCAATGTTGAAGGGAAAAGACACAAAAGAATCTTGCACCTCTTTCCACATCTTTTTCCTGGAACGTTAGAAGTTTTGCCAATTCTTTTTACCCCAGCCCGGGGTAGTTTTACTATCCAAGGTTATGTAATAAACTACGTGGCTAGTATCTTTTAACTGAAAAGCAGCCATAAGATGCTTGCTGTGTTTGACTACGTTGAGCATTGGAGGGTACAACAGGCATCATTGATTACAGTGAATGCTGCCATTGCTATACTGATCGTAGCTGCAGGGAATGCCGGAGTTTGACTGGATCACTTTATAATTTGTAAAATTAAGGACTACTATGTCACCCTGAATATGAGCCCATAAACGGCGGCGCAGTTACAAATTCTTCACTGAAAACTACCTCGAACCGTCACGTAAAACAGTGACATTTTTTTGTGGGTAAATGGACAAGTCTACATCAGCGATTGTTGTGCGTTGCATAGTATCCGTGTATGCACAACTTCGCATATCTCGTTATGGAGGTGAGGTGTTTGGCCTGGTCGTGTTTTATGGCAATACAACCACAGATTTCTTGGGAAGTCGGAGGTTACTAGAGCTGGCTGGAATCAAGCTATCAAGCTTGTGCTGCTACCGTAATTTGTGGGCCAGGCAACATTTTGCCCAGCACTGGTAGAGCAGCAACACTATTTGAAGCATGGTTTCAATAAAGAAAAAAAGATTGAAGTACACGTAAGCATTCCTTACGAGTTGTGAATGCGAAAGCATGCAAGCCACTTGTCTGCTGTGTACTTTTCGTCGCTGGTCAGCGTGTGTGCTCCCCTGGGCACTGTGACCTTGGACGCTCCGTGTTAACAGCGCGCTGATGGACACGCAGCGCCATTGGGTGAGCGGTCATGGAAACTGACAAGTGCAGCGGCCAATGGGAGCCCCGTCGACGCGCGCCAGCTAATGGAACTGAAGGAAACTTCCCGATGTCTTCGCGCTTTAGACTGATGACGTCAGCTCGCTTTACGAGACAGTTAATGCTTTCGCATTAATAAAAAAAAGTATGCCAACACTCATTTTCAACACCCCTCTAATGTAGTGCGTGACCTCAAACAAGAAATATATCGAAACCCCCCAGTGATGTCGGCGTTTCATGCAAAGGTCTAAACTTTATAGTAGTTTGTTAGTCTAAGCAGCCATCAAAACCCTTTAAACATTTTCGCTAGCCTACCGTAATGATCCAGCCACCTACCAGGACCTCGGCTACTAGCTTTGGTACCGAGAGAAGAGTTTAAGAGCTTTCTGGGCAGGAGGTTGCCATACTGTTCTTCACCCGCAACACACCGTAACAGAGGCTCGCTTCCCGGCGTCGCAGGCTACAAGGTGCTGGAGGTGGTGTCCGGCCGTGCGGACGCGTACCTGCACAGCAGCCTCATCAAGAAGTGGGACGTGTGCGCGGGGGACGCCCTCCTGAGGGCGTTGGGGGGCCGCCTGAGCGCCCTGGATGGCAGCGACCTGCAATACGGTCCCCAGGACGACCCCAAGGCCAAGGGGGGACTGCTGGCCACACTGCACGGGCACGCCGCGCATCTTGGCGCACTGCGTCGCCAGCGAGACGCCTAGCGGTCAATTCCGGCTTGCCGGGTGACCTTGGCCCGCCCTTCTGCCCAGTGATGCAAATCGTGCGTGACGCGAGTCGTGACCCGTCGGCCACCAGCGCGGACGCTACTTGTGTTCGACGTCGGCACTCTGCGCAACGTTGGAAAATCCTGGGCCAACCTTTGGAACTGCAAGCAGAAAGTCTGCAACCATTATAGTCGACGGCGGGATGTCTCTATCGAATACCCAGCCTGCAGCACACACTTTTCTCCTTTCGTGCTTCATCTGTGCGGGCACACTGGAGGCTTTCGAGACGCCAAAGCCTTCTCGAACGTACGAAGCTCGTGCTGGAGTTGGGACAACTGAGGACCCCTCTGCCATTCTTGCCGGCGACTACAGCCAGCGCCGTTCCAAAAGGTTTGCCGGTTGTGCCAGGGGGCATGCTCGAAACTCTTTTCACCGTTCGGCAAACCGCAAGGTGCAGGCCACATTTTGTCCGGACGTTCGTTTAACACTTGCGTGGTGGTTCTTTCGGGTTGCCTCTTGCAGGACCCAGAGGCTCTGCGAGCATTTTCTGACTGGCGAGTGCGACTCCATGTTGCTTCCTAGTCCCATTTTTAGTTTCAGATGTATGAAAACCAAAAAACGACGACGAATACCTACCAAAGATCGCCGCATATGCGTGTCGAGCGTTCCCCTCGCGATAACGGAGGAGGATGTCCCGAAGACCCGATTTGGTATTTTGCATTTTATAGATTACGTGCTCGGGTTGCGTGTGTTGAAAACCCCACGCGCTCCGAGAGTATTCCATAATTTGTCGAAGCTTATTGGGCTCTGTGGAGGAACGGTGCTATGCGTCGCCAACTGGTATGTTTGCCCAGACTCCATTTGTGGTTCATCGATTCCCACCTCGCGTCGCCGCAGGCACGCCTAGTCGCCGGTCACGATCGTAGTGGGGGCGGAGCAACAGAAGTAAATATGGTAGACACTCGTTCCGCAGGTCACTCCGCAGCCGACCGGTCGACGGTGGCAACAGTTCTGTCTCATCGCCTTCTTTGCGAGCACTTCTAAAACGCCAGGATCCCAGCAAGCGACCGAGTAGCCTGCTTCCGATTACTGCGACACTATGTACTCCGGGACTGCTTTGAATGCGTGGGCGGCAGGAATGCCCAAAGTTGAAGACGAGTTACAAACACCACACCCTTCAGCCTCGACCGAGCTACTACTCTTGGGTCCTCAAATAGTTTTTCGCTCGGCCCCGATTATTTAGCCTCTGGACAAGGAGCTAGAATCTGTGCCTGCAGTATTACAATTTTTGGGGGTTCTGGTATTTAGGTGTTAAATTTTTCACCGAAAATTCGGTGTTGTTTGAGTATGTTTACTCATCAAATGAAGTGACGCACAAAAACCATTCCAAATAAACTATAAAATGATTTTCTCCTTTTTACTAAATGGTTGACCTTGATGAAAGCTGAATGGGAGTACTCCGCACTTCCTATCAACTTTGTTTTGTGTTGTATGTGAGCACCGCAGTATCAACATTGGTAAGCATAGAAGAGACATACCAGGGGAGAGCTTTTCCGAGCGCATGCACATGGGAAGCTAGAAGACCGAGGCAATTGGGCCAAACTGACTGCTTCAGTTTTTGTGCTGGGTAGCGCTTGTGGAAAATGGAAACCACTGAACACCCTTTTTTTGTTCTGGGCAAAATAACCATCCAAAGAACCAGTGCGGCAAACGAGGAACCCAGTAACGAGCCAAAGAAATCCATACTTAGTGGGTCCCACTGAAATTGTTTGCATCTCTTGCAGAGCGGCGCAGGCCCTAGAATGCAGGTCCGCTCTGCCCACAGGCATACCTCGGCAAACCTCACTCACGAGGGCCCTCACTCACCCTCATCTTCACGGGTAAAGGTGAGGGTGAGCGAGTTTCTGAACCAGGAAAATTCATGAGTGTGAGGGTGAGTGAGGGTCGTGAGGGCTGTGAGGACCGTGAGTGGGTGGGGGCCATGAGTGCATGTGGGGCGTGAAGGGCGGTGAGTGGCGTGAGGGGTATGAAGGCCGTAAGGGCGGTGGTGCGTGAGGGCCATGAGTGCCTGAGGGCGGTGAGTGTCTGAGTGGCAGGAATGCGTGAGGGGTGCGAGGGCCGTGAGGGCAGTGAGTGGGTCAGGGGTGTGAGGGCCACGAGTGCGTGAGGGGCGAGAGGTTCCCTTCAGGCGGAGCAACTTTCTCAGCAATTTCGGTGTTGCTGGCGGGTTGTTCTCTAGCTTTCCCTAGATCGACATGAATTGCTGAGATCGGGTCCAGCTCGAAACAAGCGAGCAACTCTGAGCAATTGGGAGACGTTTGAAGCTGCTGCATCCAATCAGGGACGCAATATTTTCACGCAATACTTTGTGCCGGTGATGACCATAAAAGACTTGGTTCTGGTTTGAAATTGATCGTTTTTGGAAATAAACTGTTTATAAAAGGTACATTAGTATTTTCAACGAAATTTCAATGCATAAAACCATGTTTATAGTGCGTAATTGTGTCTAAATAGTGCAAGAAAAATAGAATTTTATTATGGCAAATTAAAGCAATTGGTTGCTGCGTGTAAACGCGGGCGGCCCGTGTGGCTGGTGTTGCGGCGTCAAGTTTCTGGGTGAAATTGCCCCATCTGAAGTGGGCCAGAGGGCGGTGAGTGCGTGAGGGACGTGAGGGCCATAAGTGAGTGAGGGAGGTGAGTGGCGTGAGGGCCATGAGTGAGTGAGGGGCTGCGAGTGGTGTGAGGGCCATGAGTGCGTGAGGGCCGGTGAGGTTCAGTGAGGGTGAGTGAAGGGCTGAATGTGACTGAGGATGAGGGTGAGCGAGGGGCTAAAAGGTGAGTGGCTGTGAGGGTGACCTAAAATGCCGACCTCTGCCCGCAGGACAGGGCAGACTTGTTGAAGGTTGTGGGTTTCAGGAGAAAAACAATGTTACGCTTGACCAACACAGGTCAAGGTCATATAAGCGTAATGACTATATGGCCTTGATGTTAGGGCGTCATGCGACGTTTCAATATCGTGCAGCACTGTGATGCCTATGCCCGGCTCATTCACAACACATTCTGTGTGTCACAGTTAATGTCTGCAACATTTAAGCATGTCGATCCAATATAATCGACAAGCTTAAATTTCTGTTGTGCCCTTTAAAACAATGAAAGCTGTTCTCAAAAGAAACCTTGTCTACTTCCACGTTTGTTCATGTGCTAGGAGTCCACACAGAAATTGAGTTATGGAGGTCTGCTTTAGCTGTTGAGGGTATGACTGGTTTCTGAACAAGGAATGCAAGCGGGCGTAAACCGATAAAACCTTCGCCGAAACCAGTTGTAGCTCCTGGCAGCTGCCAAATAAATGCGAGTCGGGTGGAAAAAGAAGCCGTCGTTTATTTCGGTAATGGCCAAACCGCGGGGAGCTACAGTTACTTCACTGGAGGCCGCCCGCACTACAGCCGGCGGCGCCTTCTGTACACCGAGCGGCTTTGTGAACCCCGAAAGAGAAACAAACGAAAACCGGGAAGGTTCGTGGTACCTTCTCTCGATGCACGCGACATGGCACTACACTCCCCCGGCACTGTCTGCAATGGCCACAGCCAGAACCTGTGGTACGCCTGGCTAGGGCAGGAGTGCCGCTCGCCACGCAACGGCACACACTTTGACTCGACGCAGGCTCGCGGTAGCCGTCTTGCTGGACGCCTGACCCGCGTTTCTTTGTTAGCAGACTCTAGATATTTGAGAAGACAGAAAATATCTATGTCTACTTTCTTGTCCCAGCCAGCATCGTGCTGAAAGCAAACTAGAGCTCCTTCCTTCACAGACCAGACAGACTGCATAGAACCAGTCACTGGGGGTCTACCGCAGAAGCTTGGAAAACGACATGCCAATTCTATCATGTGCGCTCGAGCACCGAGCACAAGGCTGATGCTCCCATTACAGGCTGGATTTCATGCAACCGTTAAACAAGAAGTGGTTTTGCTTTGGGCAATAGTACAACCCTACAGCGAGGGCCAAAAGGATCCAACCCACTTTAAATAAATCCCGAAAATCGGTCTCGCAAGCTCGGACACCGTGAATCACCACAAAAATGTGGCTAGGTGGTGCATTTTTTCGATGAAAATATTGAAATAAAAACTGGCCTCCCATCAAAAGTTAAATAAAAGTCAAAATTGTGCTATGGCTTGGTACGCAGTTACACCTTTTTAGATTAAAAGTGAGAGCATTCTTGTGTAGGACAAAACGAAGAACTAGTGGATTTTAATGCTCTTCTTTACCTTTTAGTTTTTAACTCGCGACGTCCTAAACACCTACAACATTTTATGTAGGCGCGAGACAACTCCACTTTGGTCTGTAAGAAAATTGTGATTTTTAGATAACTTTTTATTGTTTCAAGTTAACTGACTTTACAGAAAAAAAAGCAAATGCACCATTCAGTTATACCTTCCTGCTAAATCAAAATGTCTGAGCATGCGAACCTGGCCTTTGAGATGTGTTTAAGGCGTCTTGTAGATCCATTTGGCCCTTGCTATACACACACGAATCCCATAACACTCGGATTCTGCATTGATGCGACTCCCATCTTTAGAGCGAGGGCCCTCAAACTGTGTTCCCATGAACCAAGGTATTCCCTAAAGTACCCTCAAAGGTTCTCCCAAAATGTCATTTATGATCCCTTCCCCACAACTAAAGTGCTTTTCTCATTTAAACACTATTTTAGCAGATCTGAGCAACCCAGTGACGCATAACTACAGGGTGTCCCCCCCTCGGAAGAAATTTACAAGGTTTTTTTCACTGCAAAAATAAACTATGGATTGCCGAACACTCTTTCTCCACCCAAAGGTAACACTAGAGGTCCGAACCAATATTTTATTCGAAAGTTACGATTTTCTGAAAATTCCTATGAGAAAATGGCGGCCCGTTTTCGGCTACCGACGCCATAGAGCTCCATGTATTGCAGAGCAATGTCGGTCACCATTTTCTCACTGAAACTTTCAGCAAATCGCTTACAACTTTTGAATAAAATATCGGTTTGTACTGAAACTTCGGCATCTGGTGCAGACCTGTAGCGCTACCTTTGGGCGGAGAATGAGCATTTGGCGATGTATAGTTTATTTTTGCGGTGATAAAACTGTGAATTTTACGGGGACACCCTGGATAAGCCATACTTCCTAGAGGGTTCGATCGAGAAAATGAAGCCTGGTTTTTCAGTTTGCGTAAATAAATTATGCATCGCAGCAAGCCGAAACTCCGTGAAAATGTGACGCTAGTGGCGCTGATCAAATTCATAAGGAGCATACGACGTTACCTGGGTCAAAAGATATTAAACAAAAACAAAATTTCTCTGCGCCGACGTCCACCCGAGCCCAATTTGCATCGAACTGTGAAGAAACTTGTCAGCGTGAAAGAAAACAATGTGGTCTTCCTAAGTGGCCAGTTTTTTTTCATTGAGCTAAATTATCTTAAACACTCTTAAATTACGGCTCGACGAATATGAGGCTCGGGTTGACATAGGCTCATTCAGAAATTTTGTTTTACTATTGTATCTTTTGATCCAGGTAACGTCATGTGCTCGAACTTTTGCATTTTATTGCCACTGCAACAGCCACATTCTCACAAAGTTTCACCTCTCTGCAGAACGTAGTCCATTTATGCGGCGCAAAAAACCGGGTATCATCTTTTCGATCTTACCCGGGAGTATGTGCACCATCATTTACACAGTATACGTAGGCTTCTGGGCTGCTCTATCGTGTCTGCACCAACATCGGGGTGGGCTCCTCAGCCGTCAATCGAGATTATAAAGTGTCCAAGAACCCCTGCTTCGCTGTTCAAAGGGCCCATGCAACCGGGTGTACTCGAGTGTTTTTAAGGTAAATAGGTTGGAAGATTGCACGGTCTCGGTCATTCCCCAAGCTCCTCCGGCCGATCCTGACAACTGGCTCCTTCGAGGCTCGTCGCAGAAGACGCGCGAGAGGTGGCGCCCTGACGTCCCCTTGCGCGGCCACGGCAGACGCAGAGTCCCCGGCCGCGGCGGGTGCCCTCAGAGCGGCCGGTCGTAGTTGAGGTACTCCTTGAGCCGGGGCGGCAGGGGCAGCGCCACGATCCTCTGGCGCATGAGCGTCGAGTAGCTGAGCTCCGGCGGCGCTGGCGCCTCCTCTTCGGCGTTGCTGCCGCCGCTGCTGCCGCCGCTGGCGGCCTCGGCGGCCACCGGCGCTGCGTCGCTCTCGAGCCCCACCAGCTGCAGGTTGAGCTCGTCGAAGGCCACCCGCTTCCACACCACCGATGGGTTGCCCGACCGGTAGGCGACAGCACCGCCCCCAAATCTGGCCTCGGCGTCGCTGTCTTGGGCGGCCCGCTTGCGCGGGTCGCTCACCTCCATTGGGTCCTGCGGGCAGAGCGGAGCGTTGACCAACACCGGCATCCCTGACACTCCTTTTTCTCCTTTAACTCCTTTTTCGTTGCAAGAAATCGCTTGTAACAACAACCGCAGGGACTGTTTCGTAAGTTGCGATCTGGGCATCGCCTGTCAAACTCCAGTGAAATGTGGGGCTTGTTACATAGGACGAACGGCCAGGTGCATTATTGACAGGTTAACTGAACATGAGCGTGCAGTCAAAAACAAAGCTGAGTCTTCAGAACTGGCTAAACACCTTTTTTCATATAGAACAGTGCAATACACTTATAACGATACCACATATAGCGATGCACCGCTTATAACGATCAGTTTCTAGAGTTTCTAGACTGGAAATAATCAGTTTCTAGTCCAGATACAACGATAATCGGGTATAACGATTGAAATTTTGGGTTTTCTCATTATCGTTATAAGTGGGTTGCACTGTAAGTGCGTAGTTGTCTGGGAGAACACTAAGGTCCTTAACAAAGAAAAAGATTGTTACAATTGCCTAGCAAAGGATTGTTTTAGCAATATGTCCATTTCATTGGGAAATCTTATTAAAACAATCCTAAACCAGGATTTTTTTTTTTTTTAAGTTATTTTTTTTTTTTATTGTGTGGATTATCCCCCTAGCAGCTTCTTTTTCTGTTTGATCGTGGTTTGGCCCCTTTGCCCCGGTTCGAAGTATGAATTTGTTCCGATTGTTCAAGTGTCGCTCCCTCACCCAAGTTCAAGGTTGTTTCGCTTTGTCTGTCCGAGTCTTCCTGTTGCTTTTTGGTCTTTCAGTTTCTTTCTTCCTCTACGTACCTACATAAGGTCGTGAAGCGTGAAACAATCAATAGCTGTGTTTGGAGATTTGTGTCATGCTGTCCTCCTTGTCCCCACTCTCCAGGATAAAAATAATGTCTCTCCGTAACATATTGTGCCAAAAGGGCAAAACGGGTAAAGATGCAGATGCACTATGCATCTGTGTCACAAGAGCCCGTGATGGGCTCCTGTGGCAAATGCTGCATTTTAAGTGGGGTGAAACGCAGAAATTCTCTTCACACTGATTACTAATGGTAGAGTGGATCTAATCTAATGGGAGATTTCGTAAAACAGTGGTAATTGAAATATTTTTCGTCTTAAAGTTAGTTCTGGGGGACTCGCTAGCTGACGCAATTCAGAGAAGCTGTCGTAAAATGAGTACTTGTCGGAACAACTCAATCGTAAAGCTCTTTTTTGGACGCGTTCTAATTCTTTAGAAAGATAGTTTTGCCACAGAGACCATCAGGTGCTGAATATTCTAAATTGAAATAGGCAATGCGTTTAACATTGGGAGGGTCTATAGCAGGTGACAGCTAAAGCGTTTAAGGGAAACTCATCCCACTCCTTTCCACTTTAGCAGGACGAACGCTGGAGAGGAGGTCGTTGTAGAAAATCCAATGTGTTGTTTGGCTTACTGACGATAATATGACCAATGTGCATAATCCCCTGTCAAATCGCTCGTTATATGAAGAAAAAACGTATTTGTCGGATGAAGATGGTATCGTTAATACTGCAGACCAGTGGTTCTCAAGTATGGATGTGTCGGGGACCCATTGGGAACCCGCCAAAGTGATGGGGGAACCCCCAGCCAGTGGGGGAAGGGGGCATAAAATAAAGACAACTAATTGCGGTGTGAAAAGGGCATCCTTTACTGTTGTAGACAAACTACTGCACATTATAGTGTGCACTAGCTTGCGCTACCTAGCCATGGTCAACAAAAAACAATTTTTATTTTCACGAAAATGGGGGGGAAAAGGGGGGGTGGGTTTGAGGGGAGGGTTTTGCAGGCCCCAAAAATGGCTTTGAGGACTCCAGCGAGTCTGCAGAACCCCATTTGAGAACCACTGCGGTACACGAAAGATGGAAACGAAAGGTGAGAAAAGGTAAGCACCTTGCATTTGTTTATGTTCAAGGACATCCCCCACTATTCACACCCACGACCTATGGGTGATAAGTCGGTTTGCAAGGATAAGTGTAGTAGACATCTGCAACTGTGCGTAAAATTAAACAGTCATCCACGAAAAGGCAAAAACATTAAAAGATTGTTGGCTTTCATCAATGAACCAGTCGATAGTTGACTTTTATTACACTCACCAACAGCTCGAAAGCCTTTATGTACTGCATAAACATTGGTGATCAGTTTCTAAAATTGAAAATACAACCACCGTGTCTTTCCCCTAAATTTTGAATTATTTGCACAGAAGTTGGACAACATTATTCCAAGTTGGAAGTTTACTGAAGTTTGCAAAAGCGTTTAAGAGGACGGCAGACCGGTCGAAGCTCGAAATTCTACAATATAGTATGCGACATCCCCGCAGCGAAAGAGGCCAAAACAGTCTACCCTAGCTGGAAAGTGTCTCTTTGTCAGATGTTGTGATCCCGGCAGTTGGCCACCCCAACAAAGAGTAGAAGTAAATGCGGCTGTCATGGCGTCCTAACCCCCGAGTGCCAAAGCTTCCATGGACGGCTGGAAAACAACGGCAGCAGAAGGGGCCACATACACCTCTGCTGCCGTGCCATGGCCAGGAACTTTGCAGGCAGTAGCGGGACACTTCCGCAACGTCGTTGAGCGGAGATCGAGGAACCACATTTAAGGATGCGGTAAACGCACCAGTTGAAGCTGCATTCCAGGCATCATACTTCCGCGGAAAACATACTATCTTGCAACCGACCCGTGTGCCAAGCTCTGCGACCGAGCCCTGCCAAGGATGCCGGCAAGTCAATGGATGGATGGATGGATACGGTCGAACCCTTTTAATTGTACGGTGGCTCGCACCATCTAGCCCAAGCTTTTAATTTGAACAGTTAACTGACCACCGACTTACAAAACATTAAGATTAAGGCTCTCGGTAGTACTTTCCTAAAGATGACAATTCGCGCGAACGGCGACGTCTCTGCGAGCCGGCGGGTGCATCTCGTGCCCTACCTCGCCGTTGGGGGTGCCCTCCGTGGCTCCCGGGCGGCGCTCCTCGTCGTTGCTCTGGTCGTGGTGACTGCTGCTGTCGTCGCTCTCCTCGAAGATGGGAATGACGATGCGCTGCACCCTTCGCCGCAGCTGCTGCTTCTTCTTCTTGGCCGCAGGGGTGGCGCGCCGCACCTGCCCCAGCGAGGGGTGCTCCCGCTCCAGGAGCTGGCGCAGCACGCGCCGGATGCGGGTGCGGCTCAGGGCCTGCAGCGAGCCCGGCTGGTAGTCCGCTGCACGCGCCAAATTCGCGAGGTCACTTCGGGCTCTCAAACTCTTTGTGCTGGCGCAGCAGGGCGGTACGGGAGACCGCGGGCCTCGCAAACAATGACACACATTTTGGGAAGCTTTCTGTTCATGGTTAGGTAATAAGGGGTGGCTCAGATCCACTGATCTCAATGACAATTGCTGGATCACGTTTGCCCGCTCCTCGAATGCGCCCACTGGCGGCCATCTTTTTGCTAGAGTTATATTACCTCTAGCCAAGGTACAGCTGCTGCGGCCACTATCACCCATCCATGGCAGACAGCGTTGTGGCAGGCCGCCGGCAAAAATAAGGTGGGTGATATTTTGTGCTTGATTGAAATTGTTTGACGAAACAAGTTTTTAAAACCCGGCGTGATCGGTAAACCGATCTTTGAGGACCCGGTGAAAGTCTCACGAAATCGCAGCACCGGAGAAAAGCAGCACAGCACGCATCGAAAGTCGAATAAGAAAAAGCATCGAAAGCAGACGCCGATACGAAGCCTGCTTTCGATGCGAGCTGCGCTGCTTTCCCCCGGTGCTGCGATTTCGTAGAACTTTTGCCGGGTCCTCAAAGATGAGGCTAGCGTTCACGCCGAATTTCAAGAATCTGTTCCGTCGTACAACTTCAATCAAGCATGAAATGTCACCCACGGTACAGTGTACTAGATCTACGGCTATTTTATGGCAGACTGCCACCACTGCGCTGTCCGCCACATTACTATGATGGCTATACTTTGTCTCATCCTACGATGGACTAAAGGCCAAAGCCACGGGCCGCCAGGTCCAATCACGTTCCACGCTACACTATGATATGCCTTGCATTGATTAGGGGGGGACGAAAAATGCTCCGAAACCAAAAACGCTGCATAATTTCTAGAGCTTCGGCACTGTAAACAGCCTCTTTTTTGCAATGTAAAATTGTTGAGTCACTCAGTGCTATTATGATTCGAACCCCTGTCCGCCCATGCCCATCAGTGATCCGAGACGCGGGCACTGATACGTGCATCAAAGCGGAATACGCAATTTCTAAGTGGGTCATGATTGGATCTGGCGGTCCGTAGCTTTTGCCTTTAGTCCATCGTAGGGTGAGACGAAGTATAGAGACAATATAACTCTACCAAAAAGATAGCCGACCGTGGCCGCATTCCCATCCATAGGCAGAGACGGTCAAACGCGATCCAGCAAATAGACATAGAGATTAGTGCTCAGATCTGCTAAAATAGTGCTTAAACTGGAAGAACACTATACTTAGAGGACAGTCGAAGGGGTTCCCCTGCCTCCCTAGCAACCCAGCTCGAGACCTTGCGGCTTGGAGCACCGCCGTTTTGCTGCCTAGTGCAGGGCGGGCGCAACGGACAACGGTCACTTTTCGAAACTGCGACTTCCCGAGCTTTAGATGCCTTGTTGGGAAGCTCGGGCAATGTCGTTCTCCTCTGCCGCGGACTGTTTTGACATGTCCGGAGGACGGAAGCACGTTTGCTGCGATTTCGGGTGAAGCTTCAGTCAACTGGCAAGAACGACTAAGTAATGAGGCAAACGTTTTTCCGAACTGAGATTCGGAAAGCTTCAGATAACTGACTGAATCTCGTAGCAATTTGGACAATGGATGAATGAATGGACGGTAATGGCTATACCCTTTGTAATGGGCAGCGGCTTGCGCCACCTAGCCACTTGACCGAAGAACTCCAAATCTTCCAAATAATCGTTCTAAGTTGGGAAACTTCCAAAACTGTCCGAATCCGAATCTCTGGTGATTTACCCCATCATTAATTTTAAGCAACGAGATGGATGAAGTGTTACTCTAATGTGTAGCTTATTTAGCGGCTCTAGGTTTTGGCGCCATTTCTTAATGGCTGGGCATAGAGGCAGAGATCGGTGGTGCCAGTGAGCTCAGATCGCTGGGGAGGCTTTAATAAGTATGCTAGAGTGCCAAATACAGCTATAAATTTTTATTAGCTACAGAATTTGTGCGCCTCACTTTCTTTCCAGTTCAGTCAGCTCATAAGCGCAACTCTGCGTCAGAAAATCAACATCCCGATGTTTTAAAAAAAAAAAGTTTCACATTTTCCTAAAAACAAAAAAGATGATTCGTGAATAGAAAATTTTACACAGAATATGTAATACTGAATTTACGAGGTAAATAGTAAATTACACGGGGCAGCTTCTAAGTAACCCAGGGACAAGTTCTTCGCACGGCTGATTCTGCTCGCCGAGATCGTTGAATAGTGAAGAGCTATGTTTAGCTATCTTGCCTTTGAAAAGCAAACAAGTACAAGTAAGTAAAGTGTTTGGCTTGTGCTTGTTTCATGAGTATTACTATTCTTCTCTCGGGCAAGCATTGCTAACACCTACCCCATTACTGATCGGCACACGTCGACCATAAACAAAGCCTGCATCCCGTTCCGCAGCACAAATACATTCTATAATTCTGTTATTCCCAACAACTCATAGATTGGAATTACCTTCCCACACCACAGCCTGACATTGTTGATACGGACAGCTTTAGGATAGGCGTGACTAATCTCGCTTCCTAAAACAAGCCACAAAAATTGCTACAGAGTTTCCTTGTGCTGTTTGTTGTCATCTTTTTTTTACAGCGAAGCTGTTTATGGCTAAGGTTTCCGTGGATTTTTCGTGATCCAATGACGTGCTGCAATGCCGGAAAGTCTGGTGCGTGGAACTCCATTCCCTGCATCCTTCTTGATGCTTGGGTAATTTAGCAATAGGTCTATTCAGTAGATTAGTTATCAATAGGCACCATTTTCAAGATCAGTAGACCCTCAGGTAGATACTAAAGGTTTCTCAAAGGTTTGCCGCTGTGCGACTCACGTCGGCCATGCCTACGCTCGCACCGCCCTCTCTTTGTCGTTGTTCCAAGCGCTTGCATGCCTAGTTTCCTTTCCTTCCGCTCTCCCGAGGTGGCGGTCCGTTCGCGCTTGTTTACTTTCTGCCAAGCAACGGTCCCGCCATGCCATGTCCACTTTCCTTCGGCTCCACATGGCGGATTTGTGCCGCGTGCTAAAGAGCTTCGCTGACCATCCACCTTCACAGAGTAGAATGGCTCATGATTTTTTTTCTTATAACCCATTCCCCTCTGTAACACCGTGGCCCTGAAGGTAATAAAACAAATAAACATAAACACTCTCGCCACCAGCTCTCTCCCCGCTACTCTCTCCCCATGCGGTCCCCCCATACGAGGCTCAACAGCCACTCACGCAGAGTCACTTCCTGCACAGGGTCCCTGGAGGAAGGCTGCACCAGCATTGCAAAGGACACCGGCAGAATGTTCTTCTCCTGCCAGGAGCTCTCCCCAGTCCGCTTCACCTGCACCAGCTGCACAATGGGGGGCCGGCTCAGTGCCTAAAGCCGACACGGCACAAACCTGTTTGATACGTTCAGGAACTTCAAGGAGCACCCTCCAGCTGTCACTTCACAATGTAGGCATTTCAAGAGAACGAGATCTTCAGGAACCGGAGATTCCTTAGAGAACCAAAGGTTCCCAGGTGCCTAGGGGTTCTTTAGAAGCCCAGAGGTACCCCGGGGCCCAGAAGTTCCCAGGGGCCCAGAGGTTCCCTAGGGACCCACTGGTTCCCTATACCTGGAGACAACTTTCTTTGGCAATGAATTCAAAGGTTTGGGATGCTCTTGCAGCTGTAGCATTGATAAAAGCCATGCATGCCTGCTCTTGCCTTCTGAGATTCCACAGAAAGATGTCCCAGGCTATAGGAGACCAGGGAGCCCCTGGAAACCCAGAAGTTCCCTAAAAGCCCAGGGGTTCCCTAAAATTCCAGAGGTTCCCTAGGAGCCCAGGAGTTCCCTAGGTACCGAAATGTCTGACACATTGAGTTTTGAAGTTTGAATGAATGTGTGCCGATGTAACAAAGAACAGAAAAAAAGTCATGATATATTGCCACGAATGAAGGTGATGAGATGATGAATAATGAACTGAAGATAAAGGTTTAATCGGCAAACTTGTGCCAGAAACAAAAAGGGAAGAACACACATCATGAAAGCAGCAGCGAGCAACGGTTCGTCGGTGTGACAACTGGTTATCATGAGGGTGAATCGGTGAATGAATAGGCAATACGCGCTCAGCTCATCTACTATGCTCGTCATCTCAAATATTCGATCTTGAATGTTCGGGAAAGACCTAGGGCGAGACGGACTAGGCAAGGTCATTCTGGCCTCCTTATCGTTTACGCTCAGGGTAAGAATAAACACAAAACTTCTAGATGCATGGAGAAGCGTTTTTTCTTGGTCATGCACGCGGCAATATGCTATAAAATGAGTCCTGCAACCCGTGAAAGCCGTGAACAGCGACTGCACGCTGTCCAGCGGCCGACGCTCCCACAGTGAACACAGGCCCATGGCACTTACTGTCTCCGTGCAAACATTGAAAGGAGGCTTATCAGCAACAACAGCCTTGTCACACATGCTTCATTACATTAGAACAACCTCTGATTTACTTCGGACAGCATTAAGGCCTCGGATGTGTACAGTGCCATGTTTTTAGAAGTACATAGTTTGCAAGTTGCTTTCTGTACCTCTTATACCTCATTCACACGGCAGCATAAAGGTACCTTTAGCGTAGGTCCCTTTAGTAAAGGAAGCTGGAGATCTTTATTACAAGGTGCACAAAGGTTCCTTTAACTAAGGGAGGGCCAATGTTAAAGGGAGCTTGCCAACCTCCCTTTACAACTACAGGAAGTAGCTTCATACCCATAAACTCAAAATAAAAATGACAGATATATAAATTTATCTTTAATCTGTTATAACAAATTAAATATTTCCAAGTAGCAATTAATGGATTCTCAACACGAATGTGGTGTAATACGCTGGCAAGAAACATTACTCACGCTAGCAGTTCAGTCATCACACGTTTCGCTAAATCGGTCTTTCAAAATTATGCCCAACTTAAAATACAACCAACGGCATACACAGAGAACACCCTCGAGCATAAAAGTCTATATGTTATCATACTCACTTCCAAGCATTGGCATGTTTCGCAGTGCTGGAAGTTTATTTTCAAAGCTTTTGAAGGGAAGGACCTCATTTCAGAGTTAAAGGTACCTTTACTAAAGGTACCTTTAACTAAGGGAACTTGACTAAAGGTACCTTTACACCGCCGTGTGAATGGGGTATTACTGCGCTTGGGCATAGTCATTATTTTTCTTATTGAGAAATCTCGATAAGAGAAGTAGAATATAATAATTTCTAGGTTTATACTAAAAAAGAAACTGAAACACTCACCACAAATTTTACCAAAAGTGAACTGAGAAAACAGAGCCCAAGCTACAGCACATAAACATTTAGAGACTAATAAAGAATATGTTCACGCCTCACTGCCTCAAACCGAAATATAGATGCATATTTATACGGGGAATGATAAAAATGATTCCTTCGAGATGTCCCTATCGACTGCAACGGATGTCAGGGCAAAAGAGTCGGGGTAAGAACTATTGAATGAATAGACTATTCTTAAAAGTCCTTGATTTGTCTTTTTTTTACCAAAGGCAATTTTGAGGAGTGGGAATGGACCCCACAGAAAAATCCTTTCTAGGCTACCACGGCCTCAAATGACTCCTGGATGTCTTGACCACAGGGACTATGTCACACAGTGCACCTACATGAAGCCTTGGAAGGCTCGAGCAATTCGTTCGAGCAATAGACCCTTTCCGGAATTCAGTGCCATCTGGTGACCCAAATGGCAGTTTAACTTTTACCATACCAATGGCGGCAATGAATCTGTGACCTGCAGTGTTTTATGGGGCACTGTCACTTTTACAAGTCAACGGTAAACGAGAATAGGAGCTTCACTGTACAGTTCTTTTTCTAACTATCAGTGTCGATAGTGAAAAAAATACAACCAGTCAGAACGAAGTGTCCACCCACATAGACGCCTTGATAAAGTTCTATATCTCAAGGGGCTTTGAAGCCGAGCGTGTGCTACTAACATATTGACTGGGCTCGGGTTAGAAATGAACGCTTACGTAGTTCTTGCATCCAATTCCTGCTTCACATCGCGCTAACGTCCAGAATGTATAGGTCTCGAATTATCTGCTCAGGAGCATTTTTCACTTCTTTTTTCACCAGTTAACAGAAGGCCGCCATTAGTATAGCACATATGCCATTTTTCAGATGATGATAGTGATCAAAGTGGCCAGACTGAATTCCGGAAACGGTCTATTCCAAAACACGCTTCCATTTTGGGGTGAAGCTCTCCTCTTGTCCTCCATTACCATTTCATCTTTTATTTGTTGAGCGTGTTTAACTTATTTCTAGGCTTGTTTTCCTTTTCTGTATTTTTCTTTGCTCCCCCCCTCTGTAATGCCTCTGGCCTTGAGGAAAAAATAAATAAATAAATAAATAAATAAACAGCACCATACAGTTAAGGCGAGACGCTGGTTCTAAAATGGACTATTTTATTTTTGTAGCTATACTAATGAAAATTACTGTGCATATGTGTTTCTTCTTCCTGCTTTCAAATATAAAATTATTTTTTAAAATATCTCAATTAGTTTTCAAGTTATAAAATATAGCGGTGCCTAATTTGGTAATTTCTTACGAGTCGTTAGGGCCATTTCAAACAAAATTTTTTTTTTTTATTGATGTAGATGCATATTTAAAGGTCTGCCATGCATTATAAAGCTATTCATATTTTCACAAAATTACATTATTATATAAAAATATGCTAATTATGACAATTATGACACTAATGAGGTCACATTATTTATCATAAAATTTTCTTTGGCATTATAAACTGCAAAAAAATAGCTTTACTCTGTAGTCCAGTCCTTTCTGATTAAAACGGTATAAAAAGTTTCAAAATGTTATGATAAGAACTTTATGAAAACCCCCGTAAGGCTAAGCATGTTGACAAAAAACACGAAGATGAGAAAATCAAAGTTAAAGTTTTGACATTGAACATAGAAACGCTCAACGGTGTTTATTGGGCGCGGTGATCAATGTTGCCCGCCGAGCCTGGCGGCCACAGACGGGCGGACTGGAGGGGGGCGCTACATACTTGTTACAATAATAATTGCCGCCAAGGTGTAGTGTAAGTCTTCATGAACAACTTGACATAAAAAATGATGTAATCTATTCAAGGGAACATTAGAAAAAAAATATGAAAGAAGTAAAGAATGAGTGAAATGTTGATAAAATCACATTTTCCTGTTTTGACGCCGACTACAGTAAGTTATGTGAAAGCCCTTATGCAGTAATAGTTATCAAAATGCATTGTAGTGCAATCTGAACAAATGAATTTAAAAATTGCAATATTTTGTTTTCAAGAACATTGCAAAAATGGTGAAGAATTACTGATATATGCAAAAAATTGCTTCTAAAGTGACAAGCCGACAACTTTGGACAACGGGAGGGGCGAGCAAGAGTTTCAAGCTCCAAACGCAATTTTGTTTGGCCCTGAAAAGGGCCTTTGTTCCACATGGCACTGGAAAAAGCCATTACAGCTATCCGGGGCTGAAATCTCGTGATGCTCCCGCCTGGTGTCGCTTGGAGAACCTTTCCTTCATGCTACTGCTGCTCTGGTGCACCGCGTTTGCCTTACGCAAACGGAAACTGTCCTTTTCGATGCTTCGGCGGACAAGGCAGTCACCGGTGGCGTAGCCCAGGCTTGCGGCAATGGACTCGTTGGTCGCCCTCCTTCCCTGGTTGTAGACAGCAACAGCTTCAGCCGCAGCCCTCTTCACGCTGTCCAGGGAGGCATTCGCATTCTTTGAAGTCTGCGTCCAGATCACCGAATGCAGGCTTTCACTGGCATTCTGCGTCTTTCCCTCACTACACCATGCCAACAGGTCTTCATTGCTGAGCCTTTCAAACACTGGCTCAAGTGCAGCCCGAACACAATCCGGAAGAGGATTCTTGTGCGGCGGCGGAGGCTCACTGTTTGCCAAGGCCCTGTTGAACTTGTGCCAGGAATCCGATCCGTCGGGGCACTTGCTGTGGTCTGGGGCACTGTCTGTGGAGGTCATGTGCAGGAGTGTGGCTTCCACCGCCCTCTTCATCCCTGGAACGTCATGGCTGTTGCTCCTGAGAGCATAGCCATAATAGTTAGTGATCTTCTTGATCTTTTCCTGTGTCAGCTTTCCTCTCCTACCAAGTGACTCGCCTTGTGCCTTCTTCTTCTCAACAACGTTGCTCAAGGCAGCTCCCATCCGCTTGTGGACGTGGTTCACGCAGTCCTTCTTCTCTATCTTGATGAAGCCGTAAACATTCACTTCGGACAAGGCATGGAATGTCCGGCTGTCTCCATCCGAAAGGACGGTGGTGTAGCGGAGACCGTGCTTGGTCAGAGACCTCTGGAACATTGTGAGCGCAGCCTCCACCTCCATGCGGCCAGCATTGCACTCAATGTTCCTCTGGCAGTCGTGGGTTGCGTACCAGTCGCTGTAGCCATCGTCCTCGGGCTCCGGTCCCAAGGCACATCCAAGGCAGAAGTTAGAGTATACGACATGGTCAATGACGAGGCCAGAGTACAGCTCCACTACGCAGCCTACACCAATGCGGGACCTGCGTCCTCGGGTCATCCATGATCCGTCGAAGACGACATCGATGTTGCCAATGGGGTTCATGAAGCCTGTGTAGAGCTCCTTGACCACAGCAACACTGGCGGCTTCACTGTCGGTGGCCGCATTCTCACATGCCCGAACAAACGTTTTCAGGTGTCCCTGGTACTTCTTGTGGTGCAGGCCCCGATGAGAAATGTTCATGTAGGCACAGAAGTCTGCCAGGGCTGTCACTCCTTTGCCAAAGGATTGGATCCCCTTCATGGCCCTCATATTCACTTCAAATCTTTGCTGTTCCAGCAACTCTGGGAGAGGAGAACTGCTTCTTCTAGAGGTCGCAAGTGCTGCAGACGAGCACAAGCTTGATGGCCAAGCCGTACTCCTTGTCCGCGGCCTTGCTGAGCGTGAGGGATCCCACACCGCAGCTTCCACACCTCGCATGTGCAAAGAGGTCGTTGGGGACTTTCATGTCGACGATGACAAACTGGGTCCCGGCATCACTTGTCTGGCATGATCCGTTGACCTCAAGCAGGTTGAACTTCCGCTGGGTCGCTGACTTCCCCAATAAAACGCGCTTGCATTGCTCCGATCGCTCAACGCGCTGCGCTTGCTCGGCCGTAGAGTAGTACGTAGAGTCGACGCGAGTGGTGCCGGCAAAACTTGAGCCATCTGTACCAGAGCTTTTGGCCACAACATCGTCAACGGGAAGGCTAGCCGATGCTCCCGGCAGATCCAATGCATTCGGCAGTGGCGCAGATCGTAGCGGCGCACTTGCAGGTAATGTCTTCCGCTTGTTCCACGCACGTCGCGTCTTCCTCCCGAACGTCCGCCGCGTGCTCTCTTTCAATCGAGAGTCCCTCTTGACATTTCGATCGCTCGAAATAAAACTCCCGCAACTTCGTAGCGAGAAACCAACGATGTCCGACGCGAACGTAAACGAATTTCGAAACAACGTGCACTGAGCCGCGGAACTAACAAAGCAGACGGGCCAAGACGAAGCAGACGACACTTCTCCATGCTCCCCTTGCGCCGCTGGAGGCGCGAGCGCCGAGAGGAAGAAAGGAGCAAAAGTGGAAAGGGGCGCGTCTTGGCCCATGACAGGCGCGCGCGGCACGACGTACCTGTGACGTACGCGCGAGGGCCAATGAGCAATCGTTATTCCGGTCGTGAAAACACGCGGAATGCGGACGCTCTCCAAGGTTGTCGTGATAGTGAGTGGGATGAGGACGTAGGGAAGCGAAGCAGCTCTTCAACAAGACCAAGATGGCCGCGATCCAACGATCGGTCGTGAAGCGACGCGGGCGCACAGTTTGACTATTTTTTGCGTTGGATTCGCGATTTGAGCGTCGCAGAGGCATCGCATTTATCGTTTTTTTTTCATACTTAGACGTCGAATAGGACATTAAAACTTTGCAGGCAGGTACTTCAGACTATATTTTATCCAAACATGTGATTTTTGAAAAACCCCAAATTTTATGTTTTTTTACCATTTAAAGACCCGCGTATCGCCTTAAGAACTCCTCAATCGATAGATTAGATGGCCAGAAATTAGTAGTGAGAGCAACAAACACCTGAAGGCTAAACGAATGTCTCATATACTTTTCGTGCAAATTTCCAATTTTAACTAAAATTTTGTGGTATGTTTTATGCAGAATAAATTATCGTGCGATTACAAAGGCACCTTTAGCTAAGGGACCTTTATTGCCGGTAGCGAATCGGGTCAAGATCCTCAGTGTGTGGAGTGTGCTGGCGACCCAAGAGCGCGGGCCGATTGACCGATTAAAAATGGACCTACAATAAAAATACCCTTAAGCCGACCATGCGAATGGGCTCTTCAATGGGCTAAGAGTGGGCCGGCAAAGGACACGCCCGCTTGCCTGGTCGTTGAAGGGCATGACCAGGATGCCGCCGACCTTGACCAGGCCCTTGACGAAGGCGCAGTGCTCGGGGGGGCAGGAGGCGCCGCAGTAGACCCGGTCGTAGCGCCGCCCGGGGTCCAGCGCCAGGCAGTTGCCCACCACGAAGCGGGGCTCGCAGAACTCGTGCTCGTCCAGGGCCTCCGTGCCCCGCATGAACTCTCCCACCTTGCGCCGTGCATACAGCACCACGTCCTCATGCAGCTCCACCCCGTGGTTCACCCCATAGGGGCCTGCATGGGGGGGCGCCGCGTCAGCTCCTTCCTTCGCTCCAGACCGCCACGTTTTCGCACGAGTGCCTGGAACGTGGCTCCAATTGGTGCGTTTAAGGTCCTGTATTGCGGGTGCAATTAAAACAATCTCCAAGTGGCCACAAATGGCGTCGCACAAGTCGGCGTGCCACGGTGTCGGTTGTCGCCATCTCGGCAGTTGGTGCTAGAAGCTTCGGCTAAAAGCATGAGAGAACACGAGTACGGTCAAACCCAGATATATTAAATTCAAAGCAGATCGTAGAATAGTTCGATATATCGATAATTTGATATACAAAAGTATGTTAATTTAAGCTCCAGTTGTCAAGTGTATGTGCCGCTCGGTTTCACAGTTGATCACTTCCGCAACTACGCACTTGCAGCCATTACGAGGGCGGCTTGGCTTGGCTTGACTTGGCCAGACCGCTTGGCGGCAAAAGAAAATTGGTTTGGTGAGTTGGATGCAATTCGAGACTCACGGAGCCGAAAATTGCAAGTGTGTTCATTACGGAAGGGAAAAAAAATGTCCAAATATTGGTACCCGTTGTGAGGGGGTGCGTCCATTATGCAAGTAAATATCGTAGATACATGTTTCCAAGCGCCGTACCTGTACCAGGCAGGCATTCCAGAGTATCGGTTGCCGAGTGCATTAATGCGCTGCAACTCGGAACACGTAAGGTGAAAGCTCGCGCCGTAGGAGTGAGCATCCGGTGAGCATCGCACCAGCGCACGGTCGTTTACCACCGCTACATGATGCACGCTAAAATCGCCAAGATGGCAGCAATGCCACACTGGAAAAATTTCTCGTCTGCAATGTCTTAAAGGCAGACCGACTTTACGACGGCTAAGCGCCAACGTCCAGTTAGGTTTGGGCGAGCGCTCCCCGCCCCCACTCACCGAGGATGAGTCCAGCCACGGTGCTCAGGTAGCCCGTGCCACTGCCCAAGTTGAGGAAGGAGAGCCCCGGCTCGAGCAGCAGGGACTCTAGCACCTCCGAGTAGATGCAGGGCGCTGAGAGGTGCAGGTTGCCCTGTTTCCAGGCCAGGTCCCGGTAGGCGTTCTCCTTGCAGCCGTCGGCATAGTAGTCCGCCCTGTCCACCGCACGGAACACCCGTTCCACCAGGGGGCTCTTGATGTAGTCCGCCTCCACCAGGTTGTCAATGAGCTCATCGTTGTCCTCGCCCGCGCTCACCGCACCGCCCATGGTCTCTGCAAGCGGTCCAACCCACTGATAAGCCACGCATGGAGCGGCTACACATTGTTTCCACAAATGTCTTGTGGGTGCCACTGCCTGGTAAAGTTCCACTTATGGTCTCTAGAAGCAGCCAGGCGAGGCCACAAAGCCATCAAACAAGTCACGTGTGGAGTAACGACACCCTATTCCTCAATTACGTTGTGGGTGCCACCCTTCCATTGCCTGCTAGCCCAAAGCAGGCGCAGTTGGCGACAGTTACAATTGGAAAACTAGACTTCTCGAGCTTCAAGTACGGTGTCGGAAAACTCGGGCGATATTGTTTTGCTCCGTTTCCGGCTGTTTTAACATTCTTAGAAGATGAAAAAGCGTTACTTATGATTTCAGATAAATCTTTAGACAACCGACAACAGTGATTTTAATCGATGAGACGGATCGGCTCAGGTGTCGTTACTTCGAAGCGTGGTTTATTTAGCAACTCTATGAGGTCACGACAGGGGGAAGCGTGTAGGGCGGGGGAACTTTGGTTAGACGCCATCTCAGTGTTCACACCGCCCCATCGTGACCTCGGCAGCAAGCGCGGAGCACAAATTCTGGCCTCGGCAAGCGTGGCCAGAATTTGTGACCGTCTCGAATGCCTCGGAAACCATCGACAAAGTTTGCGCAAGCAGTGTCTTGTTTTCTGACAATGCAAAGCAAGAAGAGGCAAGCTGGCTTTCCTTTACAGTGTAGGGATCATCCGACATTAGTATTTGGTTCCAACTGCTATAGGTAAATGGGGGGACCACTGGATTTTCTGTCGCCTACCGGAAGTCAGCGTGGGTGACACAATGGACACAAGGTACTTCTGCGTTCGGCTGGGATTCGTATTCAATCATTGCAGGGTCCCAGCCCTTGCAGCACTTGCAAGTGCAGCACTTGCACTTGCAGCACACAGCACTTGCATCCAATGTGCGTTCTTTTCCGGTAGGTCATTAAGCAGCTTTAAAAGGTGTTGAACGCATTTCATGTAACAAAAGAGTTCTCAGCGTACAACAGGATGCTGTCGTACAGACTGAGCAACAGCCATGTCCAGGTACCGGCGATACCGAGAGCTCATTGGCAATAACTGTGGCATACTTTCTAACAACACGCAGTAACAAATCCATCGGTGGGGTTATGTACCGCTTAAGCAATTGCAGCTTGTTATGGGTGGAGTCTGGTGTGGCGACATGTTTCAATCAGTCGGAAAGTGAGCGAGTTGCTTGCTCGGCACAGGCTGTCTCGTCGGAGATGGGGGAGCCTCCTCTGACCGTAGCCAGTCGCAGGTTAAGAATAGTGGAGCTGGGGAGGGGGCGAGTGGATAGGAGGAAACCGCCAATCGCGGCAGGCAGGGAGCTTTTTGGAAGGGGCTTGCCCCGCTATTTCTAGTCTGCAACAGACCACATGAGTGTGCCCTCGGCTACACGCGCAATAGTTAAGGCCCGTTCACACACTCGCATCTGCTTAGAACCAGAGAAAAAGCTGGCGCCATCTACAAGGTGACTGTGCAACTCGATTGCACTAGAGCAAAGGTTTCCCAGTTTTGGTGAGATCAAATGTACATACTATTTATGAGAAATGATTGTTTATAGCATTGTCAAAATATTTTTAAGCCAAGAAAGAAGGAATGATGAGCGAAAATATGAAAATGCCGTGTGCTATGAACCAGCCTTTTGAAGGCTGAGAAGCTCGCGACAATACCTGGTGTCAGTGAATCTGGAGAAGAGATATCCCAGCCACTTCTCTCGATCTCTCAGAGCACTAACACAAGGTCGATCCAGTTTGTTTGGCTTTTGCCTCGGTTGTAGTCACTCGGGCAGAGTGTGGGGGGGATAAGGTCCATTGTGTGGCTGCACCTGGTGGATCAACTAACTCGGAAGGAAAGCAGCTGCTGGCTATTCCCGCAATGGAAGCTGGGCACAAAGATAATGTCTGATGAATGTGCCTTCAGAAGCATTTGTTACGAGCATAACGGGAAGAAGCCTCCACTATCTCACCTCCCTGCAGCATGTTTTACTCCGTCAACTTTCGTTGGCCTGGCATGCCCCTCAGGCGGAGAGGCTGGCTGTGCAAGTTGAGCTGTATTTTAGAGCTGCAAAGTCGTTAGTAAAGAACCTTCTCCCCACTGCTGGTCAAATTAATCTGAGCAGATTATATGGCTTCAGGTATTCTTTAATGGCGCCATCTAGGCACATTTCATCTTACAGTGACAGCACATAGACAGACGTTAGAGCAGATGCAGAGACTTCAACTGACAAACGTTTCAGGAAGTCTCTTCCCGACAAGTTTGTGCAATAAAACCTTTGCAGCTTTTCCGACTTTTCCCTGTGTTCATGGCCTTCCTGGTGAAGAACATTGATTGGCACATTTAATGACAATAAAGCCATCAGCTAGAAGTGTCGGTAGGTGCCACAACTAGAGTTGTATCCCCAAAATATATTATAAAGCAAGGAGCTCAGGCTTTTGGCCTTCACACTTACACTGAACTCCCCCAAACACTTCTTTTTTTTGTGCGGCTGGATAGGATTAGAGGTCGGCATTTTTGGCTGAACTCACTCACAGCTACCTCAAAATAAAAAGTAAAAAACTCACTCACCCTCACAGTCGCACTCACGTTCAAGACCTCACTCACGAACTCACCCTACTGATGAACTCGCAAAACTCACGCCCCTCACCAAACTCAGAAGCTCGCACCCCTCATCAAACTCGTGAACCCAATGAACACACAAATTCGCGCCCCTCGCTCGCTTACTCATCAACCTCACTCAGTAGTTCTCGCCCTCACCGCAGGCGCTCGTGTTCCGCACAGGTTGTGCGGCTTTCACAACTCTGCCATGATCGCTGCCGTTGTCCGCTGCTCCGGCGCTAGCCGTCGCGTCACCAAGTGTAGAAATGTTTTGTCTTTTTGTTTGTCTCGCTTCAACACCTTCCGCGCGCCGGCCGCGCACCGGCCTAGCGCTTGAGGAAGGCACACTTCGTTGGGATACAAGGGCGCATCATCGCGAGTTTAGTAAAGTACTCTTCACGATGTGCACCGTTTGTTTCAAGCATTTACAACAATTTTCTGCAAGTATGAAGTAGGTGTCTGCATCACTGTTTATTTAGGTGTGAATTATTATTATTCCAATACCACCTTAGGTGTATACTTTGTTTCTGTACAGCATATTGCAAACTTGTCGTTAATGGTAGGACGGATTGCTCAACAATTCGTTGTTGAGTAGAACTGTTTCTGAACGGTCCCTCCTCATATTTATCGTCGTTCACACAAATTATTTAATTTAAAATAACTGCCTGGTGGATATCTTTTTTTCTGGAAAAAGGAACGATTGAAGAACTTTGTGCGTACCATATTATTGTATATTAATTTTTTTATTGCATCTCGTTTTTTGTTTCACCACACATACTAATTAAAACCGGAACGTTCTAATTTACCGACTCTGTGCCTCATAAAATGCTATACTTTATGGATACTGACATAAGATTGTCATCGGTGTCAGATGCCTTCTGTATTCTTGTTGCTCAGACAATGTGTGCTTGCATTCAAACTTGTCAATATGCTGAATACAAATATTTACACACTACATGTACAAAGTTATGTTTTCTATTAAAATCATTTATTTGTTTTTGATAGATGGTCATTTTTAATTTGTCTTCAATAATTTAAAGGAATGAATAGCCTGCTGTAAGTGCTAGGGTGACCACCCGTCCCGCGACTCGCGGGACTGTCCCGCATTGAGGGCTCGTGTCCCGCGTCCCGCGAGAAATTCCCAAATCTCCCAAATGTCCCGCATTTCACACTGTCGTAGAATTCACTACGCAACTCATGGCGCTGACGAACAACGGGGCGCGGGGAAGCGCGGAGATCCCTGGTGAACACTATGTGAATCGCGATTGTAGAACATTGTCTATCCAAGCATAGCGGGAAGCGACTGCGTTCTTGCAGGAGAACTGACGCGCATGCGCCATTGTGCCTCCCTACCCTTGGTGGCAAAATATTGCAAAAAAGACAGGCTCACCAAAAGTTAAAAAAAATTATTTTAATTATTTTCAAATCGTGCTATGTCAATGCAAAAAGATTGCTGTAAGAAGCCCTTTTTTATTTATTGAAGACGACTAAACAAGGCAAGAAAACTGCAACTTGAAACGGTCAAAAATAACAACATAAGGTTCGAAATTCGATTAGGAAAATGTTGGAAAAAATAAGAATCGACAGGAAATCAGAAGCCTTAAAAGATTTACTGCTTCTTCTATCCTTTTGATGCATTGAGTCCTGCTGCTGTCGATTTTATGTTTTCAACTTAGGCCCCTTTGGTCAGCATATGTGGCATGAAAGCTTAAAATATATCACTGGGACTGAAAATTATTGGCTTAATTGCCGCAATACAATTTTCAGCTGTATATGCTTTTGGTCAAGACAGGATATTAAATGCGCTAGCAGAGCCACATTTCGTGGCGTGTGTTGATAAATTTCCTTAAATTGTTACTTTTTCCGTACTGTTTTTTTTTTTTTTTTTAAATTTAAAATTGGGGCAAAAGGCACAAACAAATGTTTCCTCCTCCTGCTCCAGTCTCGGGTTGAAAGGCATCATAATAAATTTCCACCAGTCCGACTGCACACGAAGTTTTTTTTATTTTTGCAGTTGCCACAGTCAAAATATAATACTGTTCTTCTCTTACACCCCCCCCCCCCCCTTCCCCCCCCCCCCCCCCCCCGTCAGCGTGTCCCGCATTTCGCTAGCGGGAAGGTGGTCACCCTAGTAAGCGCAGGTTCTTTTACCTTCGATATTTAGATTACTTCACTCGTTACTACTGATAGCCTAATTCAGATATCCACACTATATTTGAGGAGGGTAAAAACGCGGCCATGGAACTTAATTAAAACGCCGACAATTCTTCAAGACTTGCTTTGTTAGATAAAAAAAAATAAATTGGGGCGCTTAATATATCCGGGTGGGGAAGGCTGCTTCAGTGCATGCATGCATATCAAAATTTTTTTCTAATTACTTAGGTTTGGATCTTATCTCCCTCCTTCTTAATAGGACTGTGTGGGTGCAGTGGTGGCTAGCCTACACGATGAAGTCAAACTTGGACCGGTCAAACCAGCGGTGGTCTCGCCGAACACAATCAACGGGGAATGCAAACCAGGGGCTTTGGCCTATCTTAGCTGCCAGAGGATTGCTCGCTCCGACGTGGTACAGCTGCAGTGACACGCATTTCGACAACGGAGCAGTTGATGAGAGGTACAAAAATAGATTGTAATCAGATATGAAGCAGCTACCGTTTGTCTTCTAAGGTGGCTGCTGCCGCGCTATTCGACCGGGTTGCCCCGTCTGGTATTCAAAATTCTGTTTAAAATTACGAAGAACAGCAGCAGGCGCTACGAGCCATAGAAGCCAATTCGGTGACACGTATGCGCCACATGACCTTTTATGAGAGAGACGGCGCAGTGACGCGCGACCTGGCGCACGGCATAGTTACGCAATATCTTTACGGCGCTGGGTCGGCTGGGGTGGGTCGTGGCGTCCGCTGCAGCCTATCGTAAGGTGAAACGGAGCATAGAAGGCTCTGCCTGTGCCATGTCACAATGCAGTTGCCATCCTTGATGCTCGTAAAAGGCTCGTGTTAAATAAGCCACGGCTGCCTTTCACTCCGCAAGGTTTTGTCGGGACGCACTTATAACACGGCGAGCTTATGTTCTTCTTAAAGGCCGATGAGAAGCCAGAGAGGAAACTCCCTATATTTTTCCTTTCCATTCAAGAAAGAGGGAGACACTCGGCCTTTGTGGGGAGTAGTTCAGACTCGCTCTTGTGGGGAAAGGAGGAGAGAAGAGAAGGAATGAAGAGAAGGAAACAAGGAATCGGTTTTCTGCCTGACAAAAGATGATTCTGTAGGCCAGCCTTTAAAGGAAGTATATAGATGCATTAATACGGAAGCTTGGGCGAGCTGGTGATTCATCTTAGGGTTACAGCGCACAAGATGGTTGCAATGCACTTGGGAGCTATAACCTTAAGATATATAGGTGCAAGCAGGATTAATGCTTGTTTCACCTTAGAGAGGTTCGGAGATTTGGAGACTCCTGTTGATGCAACTTGAAAACAAAAAATTAATTTTTAGAAATATTGCAATTATTATTCAGGTTTCGACAATAAATATTACCAAACCCTGAAGATTAGCTTCTACACAGTTTCATTTGTTTCCGCTGCACAGCTGACTTGTCCCTGAATGTTTCTGGTGCCACGGTGCTAAAAGGTACGGATCTAAACACTTTCAAAGCTTTTTTCTCTATTTTATTTTTTTTCACTGTAAACTGCACTTTCGTCAATGTAGTATTAGGACTAAAGAAAAGGGTCATTATTTTTTTCGTTCCCGAGTGAAATTTAAGGAGGAATGCTCCTCTGGAGTTCCTTTTTTGTAAATTTATCTTTTGTTCTAAGTAAAGAAATGTCAAGAGATTGTGAAAGTCAGAAAAGGCCTAAAAGTTGTTCGACCTTGTAGAAGAAATTATAATGAAACTAATAGTTTTTTACCGAATGTTTTCACGCTCGCTCTCCAGACATTCTGCAACTGGCATTTAGCAAAGAAAAAGGTTGGCCACTATTACTTTTCTAACAATAAACTGGCTATGTCTTGCACCACCACATTACCAATTTATTGCTAGAAAGAAAAAAAGTGTGTGTGATCCAAATTAGCTTAATTGACTTCGCAATTAATGTACCGAACTTTGCACTGCATCCTTTGTCACGACCTGCAAAGTAACTTCGGGATCTGAAGTTGCCCCTTCCTGATAGAATCCACTTTCGATATGGAAATTTTAACGAAATCCGTTTTTGATGACGGACACAATCCGAGCTTCGGGGATCCCAGGGACGACCTTCGGACCATTTGTGCCATCTGGGAGGCGATCGGCTCGCACTGTGGGAACGTAGCTGCCTCCAGCGTCGGCGCAAGTTTCCGTCCCGTGATCGCCAACGGAGGGAAAGTTGCCACACTCGGACGACGTGGTTCCCAAAAGCTCTGTGCAGCAACGCGATCTTCGCGTCCGCTGCACAGAGCTTCGGAAAGGCTCGGTCTCGAGCTACGATGGTTCTGCGTCCCGTACCAACCAGGCCAGACCGTGGCACGGGGCGACAAGGGATGTTGTGCGTACACACGCGCGGCGCAGCTGGTGCGGCCTAGGCGCAGCCAGCAGCGCGGGGGCCCTCCCGGACATCCAAGGAGTTCCCACTGACCTCGGTGGCCTCGGTGCCCAACAGCTGGCCCCAGGCAGTCGGCTACGAGGCGAGACAACTCGGCTGCGCAGGCATCGGGCACACTTGCCCCTCGTTTGTTGTTGCTAAGGCTCGGGGTCCGCTGATACGAGGGCACTGCCGATTTTCACGACCCCCCCACAGATACGGACGACGCAAATCTCGACCAGCGTGAGCGCCAATCGTCTACGGTGTACACGCCACGGCAGTCTAGGCACTTCCGAGGAAACTTGCCCAGGCAGCTCGACCACTGTCACCCTGTCGCCACTGCGCCGACCACAGGCGTCGACCACGGAAGCAAACGAAAGTCGACGACGATCAGTGTGGTTGTTGATTGTGACGACTCGTTTCGCTTGTCACAGATGGAGCCACTCATCCCCAGAGCCATTTAGATCCGGAAGAAGCCTACACAAGCCAAGCCGAGCTATCGATGTTTATTTTGGACTGATGTTTACAACCTTTGCAACCTCCTTGGATGTTTGAGATTTTTGAGAACAAAGGACCATAGAGTTATTCATGTGCGCACATTATAGTAACTCTATGGTTTAGACTCGAACCACTAAATAAAATTAAAATTACCTCTTGGGCTAGTTGGGTACAGAACCCTGTCTTTGTTCTGTCCTTGCCCTTTGCGCTTTTGTATTTAAACTACAAAATAAGCAAAATAAGCTATTTAGTGGCAGTGGCTCTAGCAATGGGCTCTAGTGTGGACCTATGGCTTGGACCAGGCCGTTGGGACCAGGCCGACCAGGCAACACCTCGCCAGCGGGAACCAGTGTCACTGGCGTTGCAAGTTGTAACGCCTCAATCCTTAAAAAAAAAAAAAATTATTTATTATTGATTGTTTAGCGGTCCAGCACTGACCCGTATTTTCATCAAAAGTTATAAGTGATTTTCTCAAATTTTTAATGGTAAAATAAATTTAAAAAAAAAAAAAAAAAAAAAAAAAACGGGCAAGAATGGGCCCTTTATTTCTCCGTTGAAATTTTCAGAAATTTACTTTTGAATTACTGAGTGCTACACTTTGGCGGAGAATGCGGCAATGCAAAATTCACTTTAAAATTATTATTTTCTTATTATTTTTTTTTACATGTAGTTGCAGTTTGCTAGTGTTCAGTCGGCAAGCGAACTGTGCTAAAATGTTCAACTACACCAGCTCGTTCGCGTTCTAGCCTTTTCTACCGATGATCTGAACAATTCAGAAAGTCAAAATAAGAAAATAATAAACGTTAAATAACAGAAATATCGCAGTCAGAGGCGCTTTCCAACCATTGCAACCATTCGAGCTCAAGGTTGGGCTCAGCTGACAATCGTATTAAAGTTCGCAAACACAGGGACGATAAGATAAATACGGCAACAAAAACTGCGATAGTACCAAGAAAACTTATGGAGCCCTCAACAAAAATATAACCAACGTTTATTGTTGACTAATTTTTATAGTTCCGTTTTCTCGGCAGGATGGTACATTTGCATCAAACGAAGATACAAAAAAAAAAAAAAAACAATTACGCACCCTTTTGAAAATGTACATTCACACATTTCTTTTCTTTTAAATATTTGTTTTTATAAGATACAAGAACGTGTCATGTTTTGAGCGAGGCGCGCAGGGGATTTGCTTTGCACACGTTTGGAGTGAGATTCGATAAATATGCCACTGGACATTGCGCGCAGAAACGATAAAATTGAAGTGGAAATTAAAAGAAAATAAACCACGTGAAGTGTAGAAGGCAGGAAAAACAGCCAAAGTAACTTAGGCGTAAGCATTCATGCTTTTCAGCGTGAGTGCATATCGCCCCCGATTCCATAAAACGAAACCGGATAGTGCGGATAGTGAGTCCCCGTAAATTTAATAATCGAGTGAAAAATACGAAAATTTTTCCGTCTAATTCACCGTCAGAAAAATCAAACGAATGCATTTCTAGAATGAAATAAGCGTCGGTAAGTTTTTGTTTCTCCTAGCCCGTAGAAGTTTGGACAGAAGTGCCCGCAGCACGCAGAGGATAGCAGAGTACACGCGCGAAATCGGCTGAATCGGCTCCGTCCATTGGCCCGCGCATGCGCAGAAGGGCGAGCGGATTTTTTGTCACAAGAACTGTTATGGCGACGGCTGCATTTTGTACGTACCGTTTTAAAGTATTTCTCGAAACATCTCGGCTTGCCGAAGGAGAGAACCATTTCAATAATACCGTAAAACCTCGCTCGGAATTGTCGTAACGTTTTTCTTTATGTCCGCGCTTCTGTTTCTGCGGCAAACTTCGTAGTTTGCAATCGCTCATTTTAACCCGTTTTTTTTTTTTTTTTTTTCCTCTCTGCCTTTCGACAACTCGCCAGGAATATTTTCTCTTTGACTTTGAAAAGTAGAAATGAACAGTGGGTCCCGTACGACGAGTTCGACACACGCAAGGTTGTTGAGCCGATGTTTTCAGGGACACTTGTCGCAGTGTCGGCTTTTAGTTTTGGTCCTGCGAAACTTTTCCCTTGGCTCTCTAGGGTAGGGGAAAGCGCGAAGGAGAGGGCAAGGGGAGAGGGAAAGTCGAAAAAAAATCTTGGTTCGCTGAAAATTTAACGCAACATACTTGAGATCCAATTTCAGTGCTCGTAGGCTTCTTTGTTTTAAACCGGGAGCGTTGTGTTTCGCTGGCAGTTCTCTGCGCGACAGTTTGCGCCGCACGAAGAATCGACCAGCAGTTATCGCGCATATTTGGAGACCATTCCCCAGGCGAGAACACAAATCTCTCCAAAACGCAAGTGTTGAAACAAAACTCTGGCGCACCTTGTTTTTCCTCAACTTAAAAACCAATGACAGAGCACAACTTACGGTGGGATGTTTCCTGTAACGGCCAAAATCCCGTAGAGCGACGATCTTGAAAACCTATCGTCGAGTCAATCTCGTCGAGCGCAACTTGTGCCCGATGCACACGCGGCCTTTTGAGCCACCTACGGCATTTGCGTCCACTATATTTTTCGCTGTCGTTTACGTGCTACGCTTAAAACATCAAAAGTATTATTGTTTCGTCGTTGCTTCACCCCGCGAGCTCAAAAGCCTTCCCTATCCAAATACCTCTACACATATACTATCACGTTAAAATACCAGATTTAATTCGATCATTTCTCTTATTAATTATAGTATTCGCTTAGCTGTGCTTCGGCATTTTCGCAGGAACCCTGGGAACAGGGTTCTGCGATTTAGCGTATTTGACACTTATTGTATTGTCCTAGTTTCGAAATCTGAGCATATATTCTTTTGGAAGCTAAACATGCACCTGGATTGGCACCTAAACATTTATTTGGCAGCATGTGCATGCAGTGTGCATCACTCTCACTTGGTGCACTTCAGTTCCACTGGATATTGAGTGCTTTATCCATGTGTTCCGTATTCTTTAGAGCAACATATTTAAGTGAACATTATATGTATTATTTGTATGTCACTGTTCTTACTGTGGAACCATACTTATGTCCTGGTTTGTGCCATGAAAACAAAAAGTACTGGAATGCTAACAGTCATATTTCAACAGATGCTTCAGAAGGTCCGGAATGTGATCACGGCTGCTGCTGACTCTTCCGTGCTTGAAAACAAGAGGTCCTAATTGGGTGGGTATATGGACTCTCACAAAAAGATTAAAACAGAAAGAGGACAAGACACAGACGGGCACCTTGTTTCATGTGTCTTTTTCTATTTTATTCTTTTCGCTAAATGTATACTTATACTAACATGTTCATTACGAATACACACGTAAAAACTTCTGTGGAGGCACCTTCTAAACAAACAACAGATATATCTTTTATAGACCCGGCTTTTCGAATATCATGTTTCCTTACAATCAATCTAAAAATACTGCAAAGTGTCGTCCGCAAAAAAACATCAACAAGCTGACAAGTCTATAACCGATATAATAGTCACTTCCAGGAGACTATATTGATAGACTTGCCATTTTTATGGTGTCTTTCGTGCGCGCTACTTTGCAGCAATTGTAGATCTAAGAGGGCGTCACTTTTTAAGGGGTCTATAGCTAAAAAGAGTATACCAGAACGCTTATAGACCAACGCGCATGACGTCAGAGCCATGCGTCTGTGTATACAAACTGGCTGCGAGTTTGTGAGCGCTCGTTTGCCTCACAAAAATGAGCACCAGAGAAGGTTAAACCTTCATAAGATGGAAAGCTTTAATTAAACGCAGCCCGACCCCAAAATTGAAAGTGGAAATGACGTCTAAGGGAGGGACCACAGAGCCAAGGAGCACCCAGTTTTGAAGGTCTCTAGAGCACTTGGCTGAGGGGAGGGAGGAAAATGCAGAGGGAAGACAATTCTGTAAACAGTGTGGATGGTCTGTCTTTCTTTCTGGCAAAAAACAAATGTGGTTGCAATGACTGTGCTGTCTAGTTAAAGAAAACGTGCTCAGCAACAACTGCATTAATCTTCGTTAGCTAACATGAAATCTGCACAGAACTTTATGCCTGCCAAGCCTTGGATAAGAATGTGTTAGAGTGCTTACAATATTGCTGATATTTGTAGTATATTCGTAATAAAAATACCTTTTTTGTGATGTTTACACATATGTGGTATTAGGGAAGCAACTAATTAGTACACAACTTCAGTGCGCCGCAAAAAAACCTAATGCCGTGGGTGTGCATAAGTGTGTTGTTGAACTGTATGTTTTGTTCAGAAGTTGTTTGTTTACTGTTATTTATATAAGTAAGTGTAAAGTAGCTAATTTCCGTGTGATGGTGTGTCTTTAACAAGAAAAACTTTTTTTCACCTGTGGCTTTGTACACAATGAAAAGCGCTCTGGGTTTCTATACCCGAAATACGAAAAATTGCATGACTGCATGAAGAAACCAAGCAAGGCTGACGCAGTAGAAGTAGTGGTTGACGGCAGTACTGCAGGCAGATGTCATTGCTATTGAGGTAACAGAACAAAGATGTGCAGGGTGATTTGTTTAAACGAAACAGGGGTGCACAAATACACTGAATCTGCCCAGCTGAAAATTCCAATAAGGTTGAGTTGGAATTCTAACTGGTTTTAATTGGAACCAATTGGTTTTAGTGGGTTCCAATTGGAAGCACTCTAGCCAATGGGTCTCACCAATTGGAAAAAATTTTCCAGTTGGAATTTTAATGGGTTCCAATTGGTCCCTATGGGTGACCAATTGGTTGTCCCAAAACCTAGCTGGTACCAATTGGAAATACCAATTGGAATCTAATGGGAATTTTCAACTGGGTGGAGTTGCTATACGTGTCCTACAAATCGTTGATGTAATTGCCGCACCACTTGTGCCAAACTCGGTGTAGCCAGCCTTAAATTTCTTTTATCTTTTTTAATAAAAACCAGCACGCGCTAGAAAATGTTGGTTTCTGTTCCTCATTCTATAGGTGACGTAGGCTAATTCCCGCAATTAATCGGTTAAAGTCGGAAAATCATTCCATCACCCCCTTTAAGAAACTCCGTACAGAACACGCTACGACATTCGTTCGTTGGGAGAGGGTATTTAAAAGCCGTCCACTCTTCCCGCAGTCGCCCCCGAGAGCGTTGGCCGAGAGAAGGACCGGATGGTGCAGACGGGTACCCCTGTCTCGTCGGGCCAGACACAGCCCGCGGAGGGGGCGATGTCCGCACCCGTCGAGGGCCCTCCCCACCAGCCCCACCAGGGGGAGGCCCCCCTCCCCGGCGTCCCCCAGGGCCCCCTGGCGGGACCCCTGGCAGGCCCCAGTGGCACCGCCCTCATCAACCTGGCCTTCGCCAACGCAGACCTGGTGCAGAGGGCGCTGCCTCTGTCCAGCCAAGTGCCGCCGCAGATGACCACCATCACACGTGAGGACGTTTCGCAGTCGGCGTATCTGGACTCCCTTTGGACGAATGTCTCGCTACGGTGTTCGGAACGCGTCTCCGTTCGGGTCATTTGGCGTCTTGTCCCGCCCAAACATCAAAAGGGGTCTCCAAGTGGCAACAAATAATGTCAGTAATGTCAGCCGAACGCTGTCGGGTGTTGCAATCCTGGCGGTTGGCGCTGGATGTCCCGGCAAAAAGTAGGAGGGAGCGCAAGTGTCGCCGTCGTCGCAGCATTCAAACTCCCGACTGCCAAAGCTTCCAGGGACTGTCAAGCTGTAGAGTGATTTGCGGCAGAATGGGCGTCTAACACTTCCACCACCGCTCCAGGATTGCGGCTGCAGCGACAGTGTGACGCTTCCATGATTCCATCAAGCGGAAATCGGGGTCCACTTTTAAAGGTGCACTAAAGTGCTTTTTGAGATGCTCGTTTTAATGTCGTAACTCAATCTATTAGCTCTAAGCATCCTAAAAATCCCGAAATAACATTCGTGCACGGCCGATTTACATTTTAGGAGACTGATCAAAGATTGCAACACTTAGTCGCAGAAGGACAGCAGGCACTATCGAACCCCGCTGAATGTGGTCGAACGACGAAAGGTGCTTGTCAATGTTTCGCGAGCAATGAGCTCTTTCGTGGGCGAGTGGAACTGGTCTGCCACTCGTTTATGCGGGAACCCATTGAACACTCTCCCCCTTTTAAAATTTTCTTATTTTTTGCCAAGCGATTCGGTATGGTGTCAGAAGACGACGCAATCAATATCTTTTTGCTATAGAGTGTCATATATATTTTATAAGGGCAAAAACTGCAACTGTTCGAAACCATAACGTGTGCACTGAGGCTCGAAGAAAAGAGTTGCCAGCAGTCACGTGGCTATCGCTCCCTACTCAGTTTGTAGAAAAGAGAGTGAGCGCCCCTGAAATTGGCCAATTCTCGCCTGGTGGTTTCTGAGCGCAAAGAATATGAATTTCGAGCCACAAATCGTGTTCTGGATGGGTGGTCTCCTGTCGGTCATGTTCAAATAAAAACCCCAGCGACCAGTAATACCCTGTCAGTGTCCCTTTAAGAATGTCTTAAATGTCTTAAATGCACCAGTCGGAGACTCGTTGCAGGCATCATAGTCTCGCTACATTTTGCAGACTAGAAACGTGGCTCTTGCCCTGCACACTTTCAATGCAGAGTGTCCGATACGACTGGCTCCTAGCAGTTTTCTAAAATGCACTTTTCTTTACGTGAGAGCGTCGCAATGTTTTTTGTGTCAGCTTTCGGCTGGAACTCGCATCCTCGCTGATTGAATGCTAGCCAAACGCCGGCCCCGACCTCGCTGATTGAATGCTAGCCAAACACCGACCCCGCCCTCGTGCCCAGTTAGCACCTGCTCTGGCCTCTGGTAGGGGACGTTCGAAGTCCGGCACTGCAGCCATCAAGGGGGACGTGCTCGCATCTACGATGAGAGTGTGCGTAGGAAGGGAATGGGCACTCGCTGCAGAAGAAACGGGGAGGCGCGAAATAGCGGGGTCAAAGCTGAGGCGTACGACAGCGAGAAACGTGAACTTCGGGTTCGACTCCCGCCGCAAACTATCATAATAAGGGCTGTGGTAAGACAGGATGCATCCTGTCTTACCACAGCCCTTACCATGGTAGTTTGCCTCCGACCTTGTCGGGCGCTTGACGGTGATGTGCCAGTGGACCACCCCAAATGGCACTTTGTCGTTTGGGTACCATATAGGGATAGGCACCTCCCGAAGTACTACGCAAATGTAGATACTCCCGTGCAGGGGTCGTTCCAATTTTCTGAGCTACTCTTCTCTGTGAGGCCCGCAGGCTGTGATGTGCAAAACGTGCAAAGCAGGCGTTGGTGCAACGCCGGAACTTATGGCATTTCGTTGTTGTAGCAGTTGGGGGTGAGAGGGGGTTGAAAATTGCCTACGATGGCCTGTGCAATGGCTATCAAAGAACGGAAGCCTAAAAAACGAAAGTGACATTTGTAATTGTTGGTTGTTTATGAAGCTTGTTCCTGACACTCGTCCACGACGCTCGTCTCCGACCCTCGTCCATGATGCTCGTTCGTGAAAATTTTCTCGCAGAAAACGGGTCGTAATCTACATTCCGCCTTAAAACAGAAGGAACACAGCCTCTTGTGCATTGTGGCAGAGTATGTTTTCTCCTGACTGCCGATGTGTCGCCTGCAGTGACTCGGGACATGAGGACGGAGGGGCAGCTGAACCCGGCCGTGCAGAAGCCCATCATCGTCACGGTCTCCGGTCTGCCGGGCATGGTGCCGGTGTCCAAGGCACAGGTATGTGTTTGGTGCTACTCGCTGCCGACCAGGACCATGGGAAAAGCCTGGAGGTGTCGGGCAGCCTTAGCTTGGTGTCTGGAACGCGTCTCCGACTGGTCTGTTTGGCACCCTCTGTCGTACCTGTTAAAATAAATTTTGCTGCTTTAACTTGAATAGAAGCGAGCACCTAGATCATCTTTCTTTTTGCCCAATTGTCAGCACAAGATGGACCAGTAAATTGACTACATAATCTGTCATTAATATGTACGTACACCTTTGGGCACTCTTTGCAACAACTTCCACAAATTCCTACAAACTATGGGAAGCTCACTAAGGACTACCAAGAGGCTCAAATATTGAACAATATCAGAATCTTTCCTGATTTTAGCAAATCTTGTTCTAAATTTAAAAAAGACCTAAAGGCGTTTATGATGGCAATGACGTTTATTTTTAGCCACCTTTACAATTGTAAATTTGTTTGCTTGCCTTAAAAAATTTTTTTTATTTTATGATTTGTATAAAGACTAAATATGGTGTCTCTTTTGTTTCATGTACAACTACCATAAAGTTCCGAGAGAACGCCCACCCCCAAGAATTCGCCCATCCCGTTTTTTCAGGCTAAATATCTGTAACATAAAAATTCCGAAACATAGCCCACCCCCCGATTCCTGTCAGACGTCACGCGATGTCCGACGGGAATCGCGTCTGCCGCACGATCTGCTGTACTGGTACGTCTGACAAGCGAGTTCATAGCAAGTTTCCCGTTTTTGTCCGTGATCTGCACATGCAATATCAGCTCCCGTAACACGCGAGTTGTTGCCGCGTGTATAATGCATTATGAAATGCAAATCTGCTGCATCTGCGATCCACGATATTTGTTCCCGTGAGATGAGAGTTTGTAGTGAATTACCACGTTTTAATGCGAAAACATTAACTGTCATGGGGCGAGCCGATGTCCTCAACTTTGAAACTGCACCAAACGGCACCCTAAATCCTTTCTCCAAGTGGAGCCAGCTCCCAGCTGATCCCAATGGAGCGGAGTAAAGCTGATTGATTTTCGCCTTCGGTCTTATTGGCTGGCGCACGTCGACGAGGCTCCCATTAGCCGCTGCGCGTCAGTTTGAACGACGGCCACCCCATGGCGCTGTGTGTCTGTCAGCGCGCCACTAACACGAAACGTTCAAGGTCAGAGCGGTGAGGAGAGGCGCCTTCTTCTTGTCGGCAGAGCGCGCCGCTCTGCCGTTGACGTAAATACACTGTAGCAAGGGAGCGGAAGAATGACGTACATGGTTTCGCATTCACAACTCATAACAAATGCTCAGGTGTACCTCGAGCCTTTTTGTCCGCAACCTGCATGCGCGATATCGATTCCCGTAACATGCGAGTTGGTCTCGCGTGTATATTGCATCGTGAAATGCGATTCTGCTGCATCAGAGATCGGCGGTATTTGTTCCCGTGGTATATGAATTTGTAGCGGATTCCCGCGTTTTTGTTGGCGATTTGCACACGCGGCATCGGTTCCCGTGACAGGCAACTTTGTGGTGCGTTGCCGCGTGTTTATTGCACCATAAAACTTGAATCTGCTGCATCCGCGATTTGTGGTATTCATTCCCGTGAGATATGAGTTCTCAGCGGGTCTTTCGCATGGTAAAACGCGAATCTGCTGCGTCCGCAAGCTGCGGTATCCTTTCCCGTGACACAGGAGTTCGTAGTTAATTCCCGCGTGTTTATCGCATCATGAAACACGAATTTGCAGTGTCCACGATCTGGAGTATCAGTTCCTGCGTCATGTGGTTTCTAGCAGTGTTTATCAATCCGCTGCAAACCGGTGTTTATCAATAATTTTTGAAAAGTTTTGCTGTGGCCTCCCGAAAGATAGCCAACCCCATGTTTTTCCCCATTTATCTCTTCATTTGGGGTGGGCATTCTTTCGGAACGTTATGGTATGTGTGTGTAGTAGATCTGAATGTTTTGCTTGTTTGTGTACTGGATGTATGACCTGCAAAGGGGTCACAGACCTTTGTCAGGCATTTGTGCTTTTAATGTCTGTTCTCCTTTTGGTTGCTTCGGAAAAAATAAGCTTCAATTCAATCTTTAACATAAATAAGAAGTAACAGGGGCCCTAACACAGATCCTTGCAGGACACTTGAGCTAACCAGTGCCCCCATAAAAGAAGCATTTAAAAAAAAAACTAACTTGTTTTTGAAGTAATCAATGACCTAGTTGAGTAAAGTTAATTTAAATGTTTAACTCTCAGCTTCAAAGGTAACTTAGAGTGCAAAAATATATTGATCCTGGTGGTCAGTCTTAGAAGTTCTGCCAAAGAGGACAAGCGAATGTGAGTGTCGCTGTTGTTGCTGCGTCCCAACTTGTGGCTAGTGAAGCTTCCATGAACTGTGGAGCCAGAGAGTGACCTACAGAAGAGCAGGCATTTGCTCTTTGCACTGCTGCTGCTGTGCTGCCTCCAGGATTAGGGCAGGCAACAGCTTGACACTATACTCCGTTCTACGATAACTTGGCGAACTGTGGAGGCTAGGGCCCCGCGAGCCAATAAGAGCACCGGAGCGAGGCACGGGACCCCATGTTACGTGAGCATTTGTGTCACCACGCCAGATGTGAGGCATGAGCCCCGGAGGAACCGGCTGTCATCTGCTAGCCAAGAGTCGTCTGCTCTGGAACCAACCACCTTCGGACAAACGTCCACCCCGGCAACATATCCGTCCGCTAGAATAGCAAGCGCTTCGGGAACAGTTCAGGACACAACCATACGCTCAATTTAGCCACGAATCTTTGATGGGTGCTAATCCCAGGGCACAGTGCAATGTTTTGAGTGCAAACGGTCGGTTACACGGCTGCGATTGTGTATTATATATAGGAGTTGGGGAATAAAAGTTGCCGCTTTCCCTAGGGCTGCACGGGGGTGGACAACTGTGTGCAGCTGACCCCCATCTCCATTGGGGGCCCTGGGGGTGTCGTGTCCCTGGCCACGTCCCAGACGGGCCTTACCCCGAACAAGATGATCGGGTGCACGGTGTCTGCGGGCGGCACGCTGACGCCGGTCACCACGACCACCATGTTGATGGGCAAGCCCATCACGGTGATCCCGGCCTCCCAGGCCACCTTCGGCACCCTCTTCGCCCCCGTCACCACCCTGGCCGGCAACCAATCCTTTGGCACGGCCGTGCTCACCACGCAGCCACCGCCGCCGCCCATGTCCTCGGTGGCCACGGCTCTCCTGCCCAACAACGTGGTCACGGTCCCCACCGCAAGCATTTCTATGGGGACAGTCTCCCCAGCGGTGTCGACCGTTCCCGTGACCACGGTTGCCATGACAACATTTTCTACGGCGCCGGTTTCTATGACGACGTTTCCCGCGACGACCGTTTCGTCGGCGACAGTCCCCACAGCGAGGGGTGCCGTGCCTGCAGCGTCGATGGTGGTTGCGTCTACGGTGCCGACGTCTACGGTGCCGGCCCCGCTGGCCACGGTGTCGTCGGTGCCCACGCCCATTCCCGTGGTGCTGCCGACCTCGGTGGTGACCGTGCAGAATGCAGTTCCGCAGACGATGACAAGCGGCACGACGGGCGGGTCCGACGCGGACCCGACGCAGCCCGATTTCGACCCGATCCAGGCGATGGAGTGGAAGGACGGCATCGCCAGTCTTCCGGGCAGCAACATCAGGGTGAGCCGGGCGCTTTTGGGGGCTCGCATTAACTTACTGTGGGTGAGACTCTGTCCACAACATAACACCGCTGTGCTCGGTTCACAGTGCACCAATGCGTGCTTGGTCACTAGGCGGAGCCTGTTTTAGTGAGCACCAGTCTTGGAGGCAGATATGTTCTCCCTTTCTGCGACATCAAAAAAAAAAAAGGGTGTGTTTGTATCATAAAGTTAATATAATAATCGAGAGGGAAAGGTCCCATCCATTCACGTCACTTCGGAACGGTGGGTCACAGAAGTCGGAGGTCCTAGTTGGTGGTCTTGATAGGCTCATATTGCTGACAACACCTTAATATATACAAAAAAGCAACAAAACATCACCTGTAAGGTTTGTACCAAGTTCTTTTCTAGCTTACTTTGCCTGAGAATATCGGAATTGCACATTGTTAAAAATAAATACGGTTGACAAGTGCTTGAGCAACTTCAACACATTGGTGCAAAACAAACACACAACTAACCTTTTGCCTGTTTTTTGTCTCCTCTCTTCTGTCACATTCTTTTTTTTTTTCTTTCTCTCGGGACATTCGATGTTGGCACTCAGGATTTGCCACGTTCTGCTCCCTTCTTTACCTCCCTGGTTCGTGTGGAGTGACATCTCTTTGCTCTGGGAATTCGGGGGCTGACTCTTCTGACGGCTCTTGCATCGAGTTTAGGTACTTTCTTCGGTCCATATGGGAGGGACGTACCTCGGGTTGTGCCATTGACGTTATGGGCCGACGTACAAGCTCGGCCAACCCTGTCAGCAACCAAATGTTACGCAGGTGAAAAAGTGACCAGTGCAGTGATTATCTTAAGATTTGATTGCAAAACCGAAATAATCTAACCCTTTGACGGTCATTGATGTACATGTACAGCAGGAACTCACCCAACTTACAACACTTCAGCAATTACAGATTGGAAAATTCTTGCCCAAACACGAAACTGCAAGCATTCTAGGAGCTGCTGCTATCTGTTATGTCAAGCGGTCGCGACGCCAACTGCCGCCACCGAACGAGCAGACGACGCCGAGAGCCGGCGTATTTAGCAGACAAGGAACTGCAGTTCCTTGTTGTTACCGTGCCAGTCGCCGCCCGCAGAACGCGCTCCGCTTTTGAGTCGAAAAGATTGTCTGCTAAAGACGCTGGCTCTCAGTGCCGTATGCTCGTTCGTTGGCAACGTTGGTTGCACCATCTCTTGTGTCCCGTACGAAACGGCGCCGTGTTGTTTGAAGACTGGTGGCGTCGCCGTGTTTCCATAGGAGCTTAGCCTTTTTCTTTCTTAACTTTTTCCTCAGGTAAGTTCGCTCTTTGCAAATTTTACAAAAAAAAATGCACCATCTGTGGGCAATGCCGCACAAAGTCGTAGCGCGATAGGTTAGGAAACCGAATTTTCCGGTTGATTTAGGGGGCCTGCCGTCTCTTTGAATCACCCGGTAGTATTCCGTTGGAGAAAAACCCAACCACTGGGGCACATTTTTTTATGAAAAAAATCCCGACCGCAAAGGGGTTAATTGTTGATGAGCAATTAGAAAGGAGGAAACTCTCCTTATATTCCTTCTTTCTATTTGAGGGAGAGGGAGACCCTCCTTTGTGCAGGGAGTAGCTTGAAGACCCACTCCTGTATGAAGAGGAGGGAAGAGAGGGAAGGGAGAGCAGGAGACTTGGAACCGGTTTTCTGTCCGGGAGAAGACGATTTTGTAGATCGGCCTTTAAGGGAGCACTGATACCCACACACACACACAATTTTTTTTTAGGCGATTTAGTATAGTGTTAAAAATCTACCCAGTCAATATTTTGCTACAGAATGACATATATTTTTAATGAAGTAAAAAAACTCAACTGCTCAAAACCGAAACATGTGCATGGAGGCTTGGAGGAGAGAGTTGCCGGAAGTCACGTGGCTATCACTCCCTACCCAGTTTTTTTTTCCTTTCCTCCACTTCTCGGCCGTCTGAAGCGGACAGTGACGAGGACGTTGTTTGAACCGTTTGTCGTGCGATTATTTTCGCACTTCTATCCCTTCTCCTCGCCGTTCTGTGCTTAAAGATGGACTGGCCAGTACCAGAAACCACAGTTCCAAAGTGGCAATCCCACGTCCATCGCAACGTTAGTCTGTCGTTGCTCCACTATCGCATCATCTAGCCCGCGGTACGTCGCCAAATTTAGGATCCTGTGTATATCTAACTCCTGTGATCTGTGCAACAATTTTTTTCTATCACCGTATCTGCAGCTTCTTGGAAGCCACAAAAACGGGGGTTCATATATCTTTCTATTTTTAATATTGAATGTGTGCCTTGCTGACCCACGACTTTGAATATCTTTGGTATGCACCAGCTTGAAGGGCACGTGACCATGGGAAAGGGTGAGAGCCTCTGAAACCGGCCAATTCTCGGCCAGCTGTGTCTGGGCAGAAAGAATACGAATTTCGAGCCGCAATTTGTGTTCTGGGTAGTTGGGCTTTTGTCGATCATGTTCAAATAAAAACCTTGACGAGCATAAACACCCTTTCGGTGTTCCTTTAAGTAGCTACTAAGGTTCCTTGAGAGTCACAGACATGTAAAAATTCTAAAAAACACCGATTGCCCCAAATTTGGTCAAGCATTGAAATTGTATGAAGTGATTTTATAAAATGTTCAACGAGGTGCCAATCAATGAAGTGACTGGGGCCCACTGATCACTTCATGTAAAATAGAACATGTGTACAGGGGTGGAACGGCTGCGCCATTTGCGCCATTTTGCGCCAGATGCATATGTCTGCGCCATCCTGCGCCATGTTGCAGAAACTGCGCCACAGCCAATACCTCGCGCCATTATGCGCCAGATCGCAAAACGTGCGCCAAGAAACTTTTTATTTTGTCTTGGTTTCGGTTTTATTGACTCGATTGGCAACAATGAGCGCGTTCAGCCTGGTTGGCCTTGCAATCCTTTGTTCTGTTTATTCTCCCTGGGTATCCCGAGTCGGAAGCGCGCGAAAAAACTCGGATTCTAAGCGCCACACCACCTGCGACTGGATTGTTATTCTTCAACCATAAGCGGTTAAGCAAGTCGGCTGAGGTGAGGTCGAGTCGTTAAGCGTCAGATTGCCTGAGGCTCTGCGGCCCGGGATCCGGACGTCAGCCAGTTGAAAACAAATGAGCAAGATATTCCTTTTAGTACTTCATCGTTAGAAGTTGGAACCGCATTCTCGCAAGATAAATCGTGATTTGATTGAACTGAAACGCGGTCCGATCCGAAACCTTGCCGGCCAGCAGCTCTTTTGCGAGTGATAGATCTGCTCGGCGTACTTTAACCTTGCTCCTGCTTATCGCTTCAAATACGATAACTTCGTTAATCGTAGTCTGCTGCTTCGTAATCGAGTTGCGCAATAGGATAAACGCGAAATTTGTTGCCCTGTTCCTCCGTGCAACTGCACGTCCATTGCTTGCGCACGTCACGGGGTTCGCACATATAATTACTATGTCGAGCACGTGTGGGTTGTGCGATAAGCAGTGCTGGTTTGCATTTTGAGCAGCTGAAAGCCGCTCGGAAAATATCAAGGACGCTATCTTGAGAAACAGGGTACTGGCTTTATGATTCTCATTAAGGCTCACCAAGTTTCAAGTGTTCGCATCTGTTACACTGTTATCCCATCTACCTAGGTCCCTAACCATTCATGTTCATCTGTTCTGCTAAGTACGATTGAAATTGCTCCCGTGCTTGTCTAAGACGCAAGCTGAAGTGCAATGAAAACTGATCTGAGCTGCTCCTAGCCTGCTCCAGAACGTAGTTTTAGCCGCTCCCAACCTGCTCCAAAACAGCTGTTTCAGCTGCTCCCGTGGCTGCTCCCAGGTACATTTCATGAGTTCCACCCCTGTGTGTAGATCATAAAGAAAAACATCTAAATAAAATGATCTATATACGATAGATGTCTTTTTTCTTTATTCTCCATGCTTTGAAACTGGGTCAAGAAACCTGGGGCAACGCAACGCTTAACTGCGGTGCCTAGAACTTGTCTTCAGCTGGCGTGGTTACTGTCCTATCTCGCCCATACATCAAAAGTAGTTTCGAAGTGGCAACGAATGACGTCACACGAGCCAGCTTGCCATGTTGTCAGATGTCACAATCCTGGCGGTTGGTGTTAGAAATCTCAGTGAAAAGTATGAGTGAATGCGAGCGTCGCTGTCATTGTATAGTCTCAACTCCTGGCTGCTGAAGCCTTCACGCACAGTTAAGCGGAAGGTTCACCTACAGGAGAACAGGCGTCTGATGGAGGCACTAATTTTAGGACGCAGTAAACACACCAGCCAGACGCATTCTAGTAACCATGCTCGTAACAAAATTCGATGTGCTTGCTTTTTGAGAGGCGTGTCAAATAAATTAGCCGTTCTTGCTGGACTGTGTCACGCCAGTGCGAGCTGGGGGTTTACACGTGCACACCTCTGGAGCAGGGGCCCTCAAACTGGGTCCTCGAACCCCCGTCTGCCTTGGGCGGCAGCCAAAGACCTCCTCCCGGTATTGGCATGGATGCAGTAAAGTAGTAAAGGACCCTGCAGGCCTTGTAAACAGTAATGCATCAGTGGGTGTCTGAGATCTGCTAAAGCAGTGCTCAAATTGTTAAACCACTTTATTAAGGGGTAGATATTGGATTATTGGGAACCCAGTTTGAGAACCCAGGATCTAAAGCTTGACTTTTTCCTCTTTAGTTCCGACTGGGAGAGTTTGGGGTTCTGGAGGTGGTGACGGAGGACGGCGAGGCGCCTCCTTCGTCGGAGGTGAAGATAGCTCCCAAGCAGGCGGACCCAGAGAGCCCTCTCAAGTCCTTCGTGGTGCCCCAGTACACAGTGGACGCAGCCAGGATTGAGGAGCACTCCCCCGCCAAAGGTGCCGCCCTTTGCTTTTTTTCACTCGTTCATCATCACCCCATTCCTTATTCATCATTGCTCCATCACTCATCCATCATCCCCCATCACTTGTCTTAGGCAATAGAAAGGATTGCATGCATGCTACACCCATACCTCGGCAAACCTCACTCATGAGGGCCCTCACTCACCCTCACTCACCCTCATCTTCACAGGTGAGGTGAGGGTGAGTGAGTTTCTGAACCAGGAAAATTCATGAGTGTGAGGGTGAGTGAGGGCCGTGAGGGCCGTGAGGGCCATGCAACTCAGAGCAATTCTAATGCGTTTGAAGCGGCTGCATCCAATCAGGGACGCGAAATTTTCACGTGATACCTCGTGCCGGTGATGATGACACCGAAAGACTTGGTTCTGGTTTGAAATCGATCGTTTTTTTTGGAAATAAACTGTTTCAGAAAGGTGCATTAGTATTCTTAACGAGATTTAAATGCATAAAAACACGTTTATAACGCGTAATTGTGTCTAAATAGTGCAAGAAAAATAAAATTTTATGATGACGATGGCAAATTGCAGCAATTCGTTGCTGCGTGTGATCGCGGGCGGCCCGTGTTGCTGGTGTTGCGACGTAAAGTTTCTGGGCGAAATTGCCCCATCTGAAGCTGGCCTGAGTGGCGTGAGGGCCATCAGTGCGTGAGGGGCGTGAGGGGTGTGAGGGCCGCAAGGGCGGTGAGGCGCGTGAGGGCGGTGAGTGGCGTGAGGGAGGTGAGGGCCGTGAGGGCCGTGAGGGCGGTGAGTGGCGTGAGGGTTATGAGTGCGTGAGGGCCGTGAGGGCCGTGAGGGCCGTGAGGGCCGTAAGGGCCGTAAGGGCCGTGAGGGCGGTGAGGGCTGTGAGGGCCGTGAGGGCGGTGAGGGCCGTGAGGACGGTGAGTGGCGTGAGGGCCATGAGTGAGTGAGGGGCGTGAGGGCCGTGAGGTTCAGTGAGGGTGAGTGAAGGGCTGAAGGTGAGTGTGACTGTGAGGGTGAGGGTGAGTGAGGGGCTGAAGGTGAGTGTAGCTGTGAGGGTGAGGGTGAGTGAGGGGCTTAGGTGAGTGTGGCTGTGAGGGTGAGGGTGAGTGAGGGCGACCTAAAATGCCGACCTCTGGCTACACCACCTCCTTGTACCACATCTTGTTCTGGGCTGTTTTGCGTGGTACGGCATTTTTAAGAGACCTTGCACACGACATTAGACCGGCCAATAATGGTGTTGCTTGTGCGGCATCACATGGGCCTTTAATGTTCGAAGGGCGTGGCAAGGTCCTTGTGCCAAGATGCCCATTTGTGCCTCCTACCTTATTATGAAAATCTCAACTTAGCACGCTCACCTTTGGCAACTCTGGGCAGCACTTTAGCGGAAGCTTAACGGGGCCCTCCGGAGCATTCTGCAATGGTCTATTTATGGCGGTAACTCAATCCACAGGCCCTAAGGATCCTAAAAATCATAAAATTACGGTCATGTGCGGCGGATTTCCCTACTAAAATTGCTATCAAAGTCCCCGGCACGCCCCCCTTACTGAGATGACCCCGGAAAACGGGAGGGGCATCTCTTTACGCGTGAGCCAATAGCAAACTAAGGACTCCGGTGTCATTGTGCGTCACCAACGCAACCGACCGCCGACCCGCGGAGGAATCTCTCCGCACTTAGTGCTCGGCAGTCGTCGTTCGTCGCACCGTCGCGCTGCTACTGCAATACGCAGTCGCAATACACAGATGACTAGGAAAAGTTTGACCCGTTGACGTGGAAGGATCGCAAAGCTGGCTTCGGAGTCGGGATCCACGGGAAGAAGGAACGCTTGTCCCGCAAACTCACGCCTGCAGACCCTCCAGGAACCAGACGAGCCGACGCATCACCCCCTAGCAACAAGCTTGCGGGGAAAAAAACATATAGTTCGCTGGTTTTGGAACGATAATTGCGGACTATGTTTCCCGCACCCCATTCAGTTTGCGTTTTTCTCAAACTCTTAGTTTACAACAAGCGTAAAAAGTGTTGCAATAATAACGTTCGCATTCACCGCGAGATGCAGCATTTCCATTCGGCAAGTTTTAGCGATGGGCAGGGAATGGAGGATTGTCTTCCAAGAGGAAATAGTCCCGATATATTTCTACTGCCATCTGCTTAATAAACGGTTTTGTAATCTAAAACTTTGTATACATATTAACTTGCACCTACTACGCAATATAACAACATAAACAGACGATCGCAGAAAGCTCCGGAGGGCCCCTTTAATGCTTCTTTAGTCTCATCTGGAGTTGGCACTGCTTTCGCCTCGACGGACTTCTCCGACCGTTTGCTTTGACCGCCACAGTGTCCGGCAACGGAGAGGTGGGCCCCGCAGCCCCCGCGGCAGCCGCGGAGGAGTGCCCTTCTCGGGACCGTCGCTCTCAGGTGATCATCTGCTGCCAGTTCTGCAACTGCCACGGGCTGCAGAGCGAGTTTGTCCGGGACGGACACTTCTGCAGCCAGCTGTGCTACGTCAACTTTGCCAGCAGGTGAGCCCCATGGCCAGTTGTGGCCTTCGGGGAATTGCGCTCCTGTAGGGACACCTGGAGTATCCAAATGGCAGAGCATCGCATTCTTTTTTCTTTTGTACACCAACTCGCCATTGGTCACCACCGCCATGTATGGGCTATGTACAGTATACGCCATGGGGCATACAATCCTCGAATATTACTACTAGGCGATATTGTCACGTGTTGACACCGCCATGTATGGGCTATGTATACGCCATGAGGCATACAATCCTGAGATATTACTACTTGGTGATATTGTCACGTGTTGACACCACCGAGCCACCCACTGAAGCAGTGTGGAGAAACGGACTTGCAGAGTGGCGAGTTTTGGGTGAAACATATTTCTCGCTTTGTGTTTGTGAAACGTAAGTCTTTCACTAAAATTTGACGGTGAGGAAGCATCTTGAACTTTTGAACATTATTTCTGCTAGTTAGATACTGTCCAGTTCTGTTCTCTCTGTAATGTGAGTGCTGCTTTAAAGTGGCCAGGAACGACAACGCAGTATGTATGCACACTGGAGGGAAAGGGCACACCGCCGTGCCAATGTCGACCAGGGTCGTACACCGCATATGCTACCGTGTCTCTTGAAAAAGCGTCGGTCACCTCCCGTGGTTCTTGGATCAAAAGGGAGGAGATCATTGTAATGACTGCTCTTCAGGGGAGATGGTTCTTTTCTTTATTATTAAGCTTAAAATGCCTAATCGTCCCTGCAATGTGTCTTTTTTCTTCGAGATAAAAATTGGCAAGAAAGTCTCGGAATTCCTTCATTTAATCTTTGATCAGCAGGCACTGCCTTTATTGGAATGTGCCGACGGGGCATGTGTAAAACGTTGCTGCTACTTTCTTTTTATAAAAAGGGATCATTTTCGTTAAAACAAGAAAAGCAAAATTGAGTGCAGTTGTGTGGGTTTTATTTTTATTATTAATGAACGCCTCAATGTTCTAAAGTGCTATTTCGTAAGAAATAGGCTTAATAGGGCACCCAACCACAGGAAACGAATGCTCCTTATTTTTAACTTCTGGCTCCTGCCACTGCACAAATTGAAGCTTTGGAAGTGTGTTGTGTGCAACCTAACCTCAGCAGGGTTAAAAATCTCAACTCCTTGGGCGAGAACCTTGTTGACCGTGTTTTGGTTTGTGATCGTCGCAGTGGTCTTGTTACTGCGGTTTTATGAACTTTGTTCCATGACACTGAGAATGCAAGCCTTTTCCCAGTGGTCAGTACTTGCCTGACCTGCAAGTAAGCCTCTGCAATGTGGTGCTCTTGCAGCTTGCATTCCTTGGGTTCCCTAGCATTCCATGAAAGACCCCCTAGGTTCACTGGATAGGGAATATATCCAGTTACGTTACGTTCCCTAGCTAGTTTCCCTGCTGACGCGGCAAGATTTCCGCTCTTGACTGCCGGCTGGTCAGCCTCTGTTCTCTGGTCCATGTTCAGGCGTCAAAGATTGAATAACGTGAGCTGTTTCTTGGTACAGGGAGCGCATCAAGCGCAAGGAGGAACACTTCAAGCACAAGAAGCGCAAGTTTACGCCCAATGGGGAGGATGCCGGGGAAGAGGTGGGCCAGAATTCATTCCCTCATTTATTTATTTTATATGGGGTATGGAAACAAAATGTTTGCACTTATTTCTTTGTTTAGATGTGGCCTATGTTGTGTTGGCAGCCCAGAAACACTGGTCTAGACAAGTGTTTCTGGGCTGTCAACAGAAAAGTCGAGAAAACTCATTTTAAAACGAACTGGAAGATTTCAAAATTGCGCCTGGTGGCAGTCTGTGAAGCTCCGTTAGAATGGCGTCACGTCACGAGTGCCTAAGAAGCAGCGCCAGTTGGCGGCACTATGGCTCTCGTAAAGTTACTTAGTCCTGATTGTGACTTGGCAGAGAACGCTAACACACTACATTATATATGTTAAAGCTTCCACAAGGCTTGCACAACGCACATTCCACACCATCAAGATCGTCGTTCTGCCGACATTAGGTAGGAGCTTGATCTGGAGGATGCAAGGACGTCTGGCAGGCCGACCATGCCACCCCCCCCCCCTCCCCCCCCTCGGATGCGCTCTGAAAAACGCGTTTAAATATGGCACCCAGTGTATGTAGCTTGCAGGTGTTCCCATCGCTGGGTACTGATGGTTATTTCTACTTGCTGGTTTATTCGAGTTACTACTTCTGCGATGTGAAACGAACGCTGCGAACCGAATGCTGGTGGCACATAAAATACTGGCACGGCCGTGAATGACGTTACGTGCAAGCTATGCATAGGCCATGGGGCATACTGTCCTCGGATATTACTACTAGGTGATATTGTCACTTGTTGACGCCACCAAGCGGCAACGCTCGCAACTACCGTACCTGTTGTGCAGCAGCCCTTGAAGTCACGAGCGCGAAATGCATTGCGGTTCTCGCTGGCCAATTTTGAAGCGAAAGACAGAGAGCTCGCGGTCATGTCATTTCATGTCCGTAGCCCATTTAATCGAAAGCAAGCTGTTCTACGGCTGTGTAATCTTGAACATGGGGTGTTGATCTTTTTTTTTTTATTACCTAAAGCAGAATTTTTTTTACGTTTACAATCTCGAGGAGTACCGCCTGGTCTGGGCATTAATGCAGTAGAGTAGTGCAGAAGGACCTTGTAAACAATAGCAGACATTCGAGGGAGAGTTTGGCACAAAGTTACACATTAATGGCTTAGAAATACTAAAATGAGAGAAACACTCTCGAGATAGGTCGCAGACATCTGGGAGTCAGGGGCACCCCCCCCCCCCCAGGGTTTCTAGGAAGGCAGTTTAAAGGGGCAGTACAACGGTTTTAATGTTGAAAGAATTGCCAGTGTACATTTTTTATATTGTTCATACAAGCCCGAGTGACCAAAAACGCGTCACCTTTCCCCAAAAAACAGCTATTCTGCTGCGTAATCGCTAGGCAAAAAGTGAAAGCTGCTTACAACTCCCTGTAACGCCGAATTAGAGCGCAGCTCTTGAGGAGGAGGAGGGAAGGGCACTGGGGGGGGGGGGGTTAAACTAACCAGGGGGTCACGTGACCTTGGGGGTCACGTGACCCCCAATGCCGATGATGTCATCACTGACGTCACTGATGACGTCATCAGTGACGATGACGATGCGGGTACTGATGACGTCATTAGTGACGTCACTGATGACTTCACCAGTGATGATGACGATGCGGATGTCGGTAACGTCATCAGTGATGATGACGATGCGGATGCCGGTGACGTCATCAGTGATGATGACGTCATTAGGGGGTCACGCGACATCGGCGGGGGTCACGTGACCTCAGGGGACTCACGTGACTTCGGGGGGGTCACGTGACCTCGGGGGGGGGGGGGGGGGTCACGTGCCCCCCACGAGGTCACGTGACCCCGGTGGGGGGCTCGCGCGGTGCATTATGGGACATTTCCCATGATGCACCGGGGTCACGTTGCCCCCCACAAGGTCACGTGACCCCGGTGGGGGGCTCGCGCGGTGCACTATGGGACATTTCCCATGATGCACCGCACAATTACGCTGACGGCGACGCCGACGCCGCTCAAGCCGGAAACGGGCCCCTAAGAGCTGCGCTCTAAAAAAGTGAAAGCCGTTTACAACTCCCTGTAACACCGAATTAGAGCGCAGCTCTTGAGGAGGAGGAGGGAAGGGTACTGGGGGATGAAGTGACCTGGGGGGGGTCACGTGACCCACGTGACCTTGGGGAGTCACGTGACCATGCCGATGATGTCATCAGTGACGTCACTGATGACGTCATCAGTGACGATGACGATGCGGACTCCGATGACGTCATCAGCAATGATGACGATGCGGATGTCGGTGACGTCATCAGTGACGTCACTGATGACGTCATCTGTGATGATGACGATGCGGATGCCCCCCGAAGTCACGTGACACCCCCAGGTCACGTGACCCCCGCCGAGGTCACGTGACCTCCCCGATGACGTCACCGGCATCCGCATCGTCATCGTCATCATCACTGATGACGCCATCAGTGACGTCACTGATGACGTCACCAGCATCCGCATCGTCATCGTCATCATCACTGATGACGTCATCAGTGACGTCACATGACGTCATCACCCCCAGGGTCGCGTGACCCCCGCCGAGGTCACGTGACCTCCCCTATGACGTCATCGATGACGTCACCCGGCATCCGCATCGTCATCATCACTGATGACATCATCAGTGACGTCACATGACGTCATCAGTGATGATGACGATGCGGATGCCCATGACGTCATCGGGGAGGTCACGTGACCTCGGCGGGGGTCACGCGACCCTGGGGGTGGTCACGTGACCTGGAGGGTGTCACGTGACTTTGGGGGGGGTCACGTGACTGGGTGTCACGTGACCTTGGGGTGACCTTGGGGGTCACGTGACCTTGGGATGACCTTGGGGGCCACGTGACCTTGGGATGACCTTGGTTACGCCGACGTCAATGGCGACGCCGACGGCGACGCCGACGCCGCTCAAGCCGGGAACGGGCCCCTAAGAGCTGCGCTCTAAAAACAAATTATTTGCCGATCTGCAGCCGCCGGTGGCGGCTACGGGAACTAAAATGACGGCATCTGGGGGATACGCGGAAGTCAACAAACCCTGTCCCCCTTCGCTGCTACACTCGCCGTCAGCCCCGTGGCGAACTCTCCTTTGTGTCCATCGCCCGCCGCGACCTTCGACGAGGGTGATCCTTTGAAAGTCGACAATCGCGGAGGAAGGAGCTGGGGTCTCTGAAGAGAGGGCCCAAGGGGGAACCACGTAAACCCCCAGAGACGTCACTCGAAAGTCGGCGTGGAGAGTTGAGAGGCACTTCGACCTTCGATTTGTTTCATTTCTTTTAAATAAGAACTAGCACTCAAAAGATAATGCGGCTTTCGGTTTTTCATTCCATAGGTGACGCAGATTAATTTCCGCAGTTAATTGGCCAAAGTCTGAAAATCATTGCACTGCCCCTTTAAGAACCTGTCACACTAAATCCTTCTTTAAGAGTAGTAACATCTTTCTTTTAAGTGCGTGATTAGGATACATATGCCACAAGAAATCCCCCTCCGACACACACACACACACACACACAAAAAAAAAAAGAGAGCAAGTGTAGTGCATTGTGTCTCACAACGTAAACAGGTAGTTAAAAGTAGCATTGATTTAAAATCGCAAGCTGTGAAATGCAGGTTTTAGGAGGAGGCTTTCTAGACTCGTATTTAAGCATTTCAGGGTCGGAGTGGCGTAGAAACTTTAGCTGACAGTGACATCGCTGTGACCAATTAAATGGGGCACTCTCGCTTAGCTGCCATCCATTGGAAACATCAGGTCATTTGAGAATATGGCTCATCTCTAACGACTCGTATTGGGAACTTTAGAAGCCCTCAGGCTAGGGACTGCAGCTTAATGTAGCGCAGAGAAACGTTATTATTTGGTGAATTTTTTAAATACTATTATATACAAAAGATGAATTCGCTCGAGTGAAAAATGGCAAAGATAAGACTTATTTTTCCCAGGTACTTGGCTTTGCCCACGCATAACGATCAAATGACATGGTGGGGGCTACTGTGCCATTCTATTTATTTTGGCAAAATGAAGGAGATAAATTGAGTTTTAGTTACTTTCTTCCACCAGTTTTTCTGTGAAAATAGATGCCACATTAACCGACTACATTGTTTCGGGATTTCGAAAAAAAACGACGACAAAGACTTAGCTGAATGTTTCTCCATCAAAAAAGCTTTTTTTTTTCTTTTTTTACTTGTGTGGGTTGATACTTTGGCATTTCCAAAGAAGAAATACATCAGCTACGGGCACCTGTAGTAAATTATAGGGAATTACTTTTAAGAAACTTGTTTGTGCGGTCCCTCGAAAGGGCCGACGTCGTTCCATCGGAACACGACCGTAGTGTTCGCCCTGTGACTGCTTGGGCACCCTGTCAGGACCTGCACCAGGAGCAGCAGATCATCCGGAGGCTGGCCTCGGCAGACGGTCCCGCCGAGCCCAGGCGCCCCCCCGTGGTCCGTGCTCCCAAGGCCTTCTCCTGGAACGACTACCTGGAGAAGGAGAAGGCCACCGCAGTACCTGCCAAGCTCTTCAGGGAGGTGAGTGGCCGTTCGGCGGGGAGGGGGGGGGGGGGGGGGGGGGGGGGGGGGGGTGCAGGTGCAGGCATGATTTTGAATTGAGTTCAAATGGAACACAGATTTCATGACAGCCCTGTTCATCTTTCCATCTGCTTCAAATTCAGATGGGTCTTATTTTCATTATCAACTACAGTCAACTCTCAGTAATTCAAACCTTCTGGGGCCCGAAGAATGTGTTTGAATTAAAGAAAGTTTGATTTATAGAAAGTGGGTAAATAAACATCTTTTCTAAGGCTATAGTAATACATGACATGCTCTTAAAACAAATTAAGTTTATTTACAGTGTGGAAGGTGCATGTGGATACTTGTCTAGAGTTGTTTGCACTTTTTTAGTAGCAGACTTGAAAACTAAGGTTTCAATAGTTGGCTTCTTGCTGACTCTGCAGAAAGTGTCGGAGTCTGTGAACTGCATCCAGTGCCTCTGGAGCTGTCACTGGTGGCTTCTCGAGGGCAGAAGCAACATCCTCTTCATCACTTTCACTTTCAGTAGCCCGAATCTCCCTGACAATATCGTCCAAAGTTGCCTCTCTACAGGTGACAACATCATCGTCCACTGCAGCATACTCTGCAAGATCAACATCGAGGCCATGTTCCTTCAAAGAGCTGAGCACTGCATCATGATCTTCGATATCTTGCATAACCTCACTGTCGTCGGAGCTCTCACCGAGGCATTGTTCCTTCAAGAATCCTGCATGGGCAAAGCAGTTAGCAATGGTTGTGGCCTTCACATCATTCCATGCTGCTGCCGGCATGTGAACTGCACACAGAACGTCAACAGCATAAGATTTCTCGTTCTCCATACATACTAACATTCGGGAAAGCACCCGAGCACGGTACAGAACCTTCAGGTTTTTAATAATGCCCTGATCAAGTGGTTGAAGGATGGAGGTTGTATTCCCAGGCAGGAATTCCAAAGTGATTGCTTGCAAGTCCTTGACTACACCATGAGCAGTGCAGTTGTCAAGCACTAGCAAGACTTTTCTGTTCTGCTTCTGTAATTCCTTATCGGTACGGCGCAGCCACTTCTCAAACAGTTCTTGCTTCATCCACGCTCGGGTGTTAGCTTCATAGTCTACTGGCAAGCTGCGGATGCCTTTAAAGCACCTCGGCTTCTTAGATTTGCCAATAACTTGGAGTGATAGCTTATGACTGCCATCCATATTTGGGCAAACCAGTACCGTTAAACGTTCTTTACTTGCCTTGCCACCTGCGCACTTTCTGTTACAAGGCCACAGGGTCTTATTTGGCAGACACTTGAACACCAGTCCGCACTCGTCTGCGTTGTAGATGTCCGCTGGCTGGTAGTCACGCAGGATTTCTTGAAGGCGCGTTTCCTGCCAGCTCTTCGTAACGTCCGTGTTGACGCCCGCCGACTCCCCACTGACGGTTTTAAAACATCAGACCGTGGCACTTCTTAAACTTGTCGATCCACCTATCACTGGCGGTGAAGTCGACAAGGCCCATCCAAAGAGCCAATGCTAGACCTTGTTCCCGAAGAAGGGGCCCACTGATCGGGATTTTCAACGCCCACGCTTGATGGCACCACATCAGAAGTGCCTTTTCCAGCTGAGGGAAGTTTCCTTTTCGTAGACGCTTTCGGCTCGGTGTGAAGTCCTCCGCCTCCTGGCGCAATCGGCTCTTCGCCTTTATGATCGTCGACAGGGTGCTTTTTGAAACCCCAAATTTCGTGGCTACATCTGTCAGTTAACCCCGCGTTCGATATCTCCGATCGTGTCCAATTTTTCCTTCAATGTTAGCGCCCTGTACGGCCCACGCCGCACCATTGCGACAAAGTTTCGGATTGCTATACGGATTATGGCTTCGTCTTTTCCAAAGCCGTTTGTAGCCAGGCATAGGTTGCCAACAGCGTGCGATGAGAGCAGCAAGAATTATTTTGGGGCCCGATTATTGTTCGTCGGTATTTCAGGAAGAAAAAAAAAATTAATAGCGGATGAAATTCTAGCGATAGCCGATTGAATACGAAACAATGTGAAGTTCGAATTATAGAGGGTGCAGTTCGTATTATCGAAAGAAAATGCTATAGTAAATACAAATGGGCAACTAAAACTTCACGTTTTGTTCGATTTACCGAAAAGTATGAATTATAGCTGTTTGAATTACCGTGAGTCGACTGTATTATTATTATTATTATTTTCATTATATTTGGTGAACAAGGAAGACCAGCAAAGCTCTACTATGGTGGCAATGAAGTAATGCCCGGCCACAAGTCAGCAATCCAGAGTGGAAAGGCTGTAGAGGTTGCCGCCATTTATGAGCGACGGCAGCAGCCAGACAACCGGCAAGCCGGTTGTCTGGTTTCCGCTGTCGTTCATAGATGGCGGTAGTTGTCAAAAGTTTCACGTCATCATTTGTTTGCTGGCGGACACGATACTGGGGAAATGAGCCCTTAACAGCTCCGCTGTAAAACTTCATAGCACTTTGTTTACTGATTTATATTGTTTGACCTTCTTTGCAACCGAACATCATTCGCGAATACCTCGCATATGTTTGGAAAGAAAAGTTGGGAACTCTGTCGGCGTCTCCTTTGGCGGGTGCAGCACCAGGGGGTCCCCGTGACGCGCAACGGGTTCCGGGCGGGCATGAAGCTGGAGGCGGTGGACCCCTGCCACCCGTCCCTCTTCTGTGTGGTCACGGTGGCCGAGGTGGTGGGCTTCCGGATGCGGCTGCACTTCGACGGCTACTCGGACGCCTTCGACTTTTGGGCCAATGCCGACTCCGCAGACGTGTTCCCAGCCGGCTGGTGCGAGCGCACGGGGCACCGCCTGCAGCCTCCTAAGGGTATGTCTTGCAACCGCTTTTGATGCATAAGTGCTGGATAGAACACTATCCGGTCAAAGCCACAAACCAAGCAAAAATCAGTCCACTTCCAGCTGGATTATGGAACTGGAAATGAGGTGGCCCGGGTGGACCCAGCTAGAATCCAGCTGGACCCAGCTAGAATCCAGCTGGACCCAGCTAGAATCCAGCTGGACCCAGCTAGAATCTAGCTGGACCCAGCTAGAATCCAGGTGGGCCCAGTTGGAATCCAGCTGGACCGCCTCATTTCCAGTTCCATAATCCACCTGGAAGTGGACTGATTTTTGCCTGGGGTACGTTCCAGGCACCGTAGTTTCGATGGTGGGAAGTTAATCGGCCCCAACGGGCATCTCTGCTGTAGTAAGGCATGAAGATGGGCAAGTCGGTGCGTAAAAACGAACGCAAGGACTAGTAGAAGACGCTGTGTTTGTCTGCGGCTTCATCCTTGCGTTCATTTTTGCGATATTTTTATTTCTCCGACCTCTGCTGTAGATGAGAAATTTAGCCAGTGCAGTATGACTGCTAGCCTGGGGTCTGCAACGTGCTTGTGTGTTGTGCATGTTCCTTTTCTCTGTCCTCGTCTTTTTGTGCGCTGTTCTGTTCACCATGTGCATCGCACTGCATTGACGTGCAACCACACATGAGCACTGTGCTCCTCCGCATCAATAAGGGTGAGGATTGAACCCAGGATCCGTGGGCTCTGCAGCACAAAATTTTGCTCCACATGGCTGTCAATAATGTGGGTTGCTTTTGGGAACTGCTACCATCGAAGGTGCTAGCCAGTTCATAGTCTCGTGCTGGCTCCCCAGATGTGGATAGTTCAGGTTCATAGTTTTAGCTCCTCAGCCGTTGACAACAAAGAGTGTTATCAGTGCCAGAGCTCACTCTAAAATCGTCCCCGAAAATTGGCACGTGCACGTGGCACTCTCAAATTACTTACGAAGGTGCACCGATGCAGAATCGCATTCTTACTGAAGCTAGCTCTGATTTAACTTTTAAAAGTAAAGCGTGTCACGGCCGAAGAGAGTTGGCCGGCTGCCAAACACTTGCGCTGCAAGTTCTGCCAATTAACGACAATGCAGCTGCGAAAAAAAAGATGAAAGGAAACAAAAACAGAAAAGGCAAGAAAGAGGGCTCCGAGACGCTTCGAGAAAACTTTGCCAGCTGCGAAAACTTCGAAAACAAGGAGGAAAAAAAAATCAGTACAAATGAGGACGTGGCAATACTGACACTGCATCGCGTGCCTGGAAGGCTGAGACTGGATTTATTGTTTGCTGCCTTCCTCATAAAACGCATTTTAATCAATAAGTAAAAAAAAAGTGGAAATTTTTTTATTAGTGCATTTTGCCCGGTGAATTTTTGAGCCTAGCTCCCTTCCGTGAAAAATGAGACCAACGCACCAGCCACGGTGAATGACGGATACCAATGCAGACGACAGAGCTGACCAACGGTCACACTTGCTACGCCATCTCACAATAGGCACAGCAAGCAGACGACACATTCAATTGAAAGCAGTCAGTGGCGTTTTCTGCTTACTACACCACTCGTGAGATGGTGCCGCAAGCATAACTCTCGGTTTACTCGACCGTCTGCTTCGACACCTGTTGTTGACTGTAGCAAGAATAGTGGTCTCATTTTTTTCAGGTGGGGTGATACGCCTTCAAAGTTCGCCAGTTGACATGCACCACTTAAATACTACACTTTTGACGAAATTTTGAGATCACTACGTTCAGGTGCCGATTTTAGAGTGAGCCTCGGTATTGATAACTCTCTATACACCTGTATCGAAGAGGCGGTGGCATGACTATCGTTCAAACCATGCTTTTGTGCTCTCTGTGCATCCCTTACTGTCCCGAATGTCTCATCAGGGAGTCCTCATACTGTGTTTCAGGCTACTCGCAGCAGGAGTTCAGCTGGCCCCTGTACCTCAAGGCATGCAGGGCACAGGCTGCACCCAAGCACCTGTTCTCCAACAGGAGCGTGCAGGTAGGCACTGGACTGGGCTGCGCTCTTTAACTTCATCATGTGAAGTGATAAGTTGCCTGAGGGTGCGTCCACGTGGCCCAAATAGAACCAGCAATTCTTTCGGTAAGCATGACATCTGTTCTTGCGTATGCCATGTCATTTCACCCAAATATCCCCAACTGCCGTATTCCCCCTATCTCATTTTTGTCCCTTTCGAAATTCATGCATTGTCACGTGCATGCTTGAAAGTAGTACTGTTGAAATTTACGATAAAAAATCGGGGCGAGTCAGTTGTAACGACGTTTAAATGAGGGAAGCTAGTTTGCCGTGAAATACAGCAACTTGTTGATGAGGGCCAGCTTGGCTGGTGTTTAAGTTGGATAATTTGGAGACTTGGACACGTATTGTGCAGCAGTGGTCAGCCAAATGTCGTCATGGCCTACTTCATCACTTTCCAAGCTCTGTTCCCCCGGAGTTCCCCCCAAAGTTCTTTGATTGTGCCCCACCTGTAGCATTCATTTAAGCGCTAGTATCTGAGTAGCTGAGCCATCCAGGGACGAATCGCTAGTAGGCATTCTTTTGGGTAGAGAAGTTTGTTCTATTTTGCCAGGCATGCATTAAAAGATTTTTGTACAGACCAGATGCTCTTCACACGATGCTTTTTTGCGGGCAATTATTGGCACACTACTGCACTCTAGATCAAAATTCAGAACCCTTCTCACAACATAGAAGGTATTGCGTGTTGCTTCACTGTGACGTTGCACACAGGAACTCGCTCCATATTTAATGCCTCGATGGCATGAACATCATTGCACATAGCATCTCTGAAATAAAACCATGGCAATGCTGGCCCTCCAGCAGGAGTAAAACGTGAAGTGTGCTTCTTTTGCATTTGCACAGCCCAGCTTTGACTCGGCTATTTCACGTTTACCCGTGTGCTCCGAAGCACCTGCTCGTTCTCTTCCCCCGCGCCTCTTGCGCACGCTCTTCCACCAACTATGCGAGCTCGCTCGTTTGGCACCTACGCGAATATGAGGCCGTGGTGGGCTGGACTTACTTCGTCACTCATCGGAGGCCAGTCTTCAACTCGTGTTCGTTCGGTGAGGTTACGAGTTCCGGCCAAACACTGACGCAGCACTCGTGTCCAATGAATTTTCCTACCACATTCTTTCATTGCAGGAAGAGCTATAGGGCAGTTTCACGTCGCATATTCCCGGTTCGAAATCTCTCCGAACTCTGTGTTGTTGAACTTTTGTCTTCTGCCTTTCTACGTGGGGAGGGAGTGTTTTCCAGATCGCTTGAGTACTTCTGCATTGCAGTCATGAACATAAAAGAGGCTAAAACTAAAATTGTATACGTACCATTTTTTTAATATTTAATTTAAGTACTACCCTAGTTGTATGCAAATAGTGAATTTTGAGTTTGAAGCGAATAATGGTTTTGGCCGAATATTTTCTGATCGAATTTCAAATCGCTTCACTGAGCATTTCACTACTGCAACATGATCAAATAAAAACCCAGCTGAACTTGTGAAAGTTGTTGCCAAGCTTCCCCTTGTCCATTTCTATGCTAATTCTAATCTAACCATATTTATTGACTGTGGCCTCTGAAAGTCCAATGCCTACGTTGGGGTGGTAATAAATAGACTATGCATTTGACATAAAATCAAACCTATAGCAATGATCAGCTATACCTAATCGAGGGGATTTATAAATATTCTTGCTATATGGCAAATATATTTTCTTCAATCACGTATGATTAGGGCTCTTTGTTTTCGGGTTTTATTTTCTTGTCAAGGACCCTTTTATCGTCCATTCAAAGACTACGGTGACTTAGTTTCGAGAATTGCAGGGTCAGCGTGATGAACTAAATTATTAGGGGGAGGGCAATCCTAAACAAGGACACTTGGAGCACAATGGGGAGATGACCATTAAAACAAGATAAAACTTAGTTGAAGTCTTATCTTGTTCCTATGGCTGTGTCCCTATTGTCCTCCGCATTTAGAGTTCCGCTTCCTCTTTTGTGCCCCCTATAGTTTAGTGTTCAAAGCCTCCAAAGCCTTCAATGGGTTTTGCCCATTTTCCTGCTGGGGCCATCTGGCTTAACCTTGATTCTGTTTTGTGTGCTTTTCCATTTTCTAAAACAATTAAAAAGATGTACTATATATATTTTTTGGTAAAGTTACGTCAAAATGAAAAGAACAATTCCCCGTTCAGGGAGTGATGTCACGGACATGAAAATAAAAATGCCGTATTTACTCGCAGAATGAACGCACTTTTTTTTCTGAAAAATCGATGCAAAGTTAGGGGGGGCGTTCATTACGCGAAGTAAAATTTTTGTGTCCGTATTTACTCGCATAATGAACGGACCTTTCATCCTGAAAAATCGAAGTAACTTCTTATCTCTTTGCGCGCCGCGCCCGATCCCGTAACCAAACTAAGCTGTGCAAAAAGAAATCCTCTTCGTTTTCTTTTTTTTAGTTCCTTGTTTCTTTTTTTTTTTTGCCGCCTTTCGCAAGTTGTTTTGTCTGCTTAGGCGAGGGCTCTCCGCTTATCTTTCTTATTTCCTTGCGCGCGGCGCGCGACACCCATAACCGAACTGCGCTGTGCAAAAGAAAAAAAAGCTTTTTTTTTTGTTTTCAGTTCGGCACCCATAACCGAACTGCGCTGTGCAAAAAAAAAAAAAAAAAAAAAAAAAAAAACTCTTTTTCTTTTGTTTTCAGTTCCCTGGTTGTTTTTTTTTTTTTTCTTGTTTTCTTTTTTACTTGCAGCTTTTCGCAAGCTGTTTCGTTTGCTTAGAGGGCTTCTCTGCTCCTCTTTCTTACCTCCTTGCGCGCGGCGCACGACCCCCCGTAACGAAACTGCGCTGTGCAAAAAGAAAAAAAAAAAGAAAAAAAACCTTTTTGTTTTTTTTTAGTTGTGTTTTTTTTTTTTTTTTGCCGCCTTTCGCGAGCTGTTTCGTTCGCTTAGAGCGCTTCTCCGCTTCTCTTTCTTACATCCTTGCGCGCGGCGGCCTGCGAACTTAAAATCCAAACTGCGCTGTGCAAAAAAAAAAAAAAAAAGAGCTTCTCTTTATGTTTTGTTTCTTGCTTCCGTTAGATCTTTGCGATTTTTTTTTAACGCCTTCGGCAAGGCGCTTTGTTCGCCCACGCTGCCCATGCATTCGCGACCTCGTTGCACCAGGATAGAAAAGTGCATTCATTTCGCGCTCGTGGGGGGAGGGGGTCAAAATTTTGACGTCCGAGTTGGGGGTGCGTTTATTACGCGAGTGAAAAAAAAAAGTCGAAATTTTGAGAGCCGACTTGGGGGGGTGCGTTCATTACGCGAGTGCGTTCATTGTGCGAGTAAATACGGTAAAACCCTGAAAGGAAAATTCCTTTGTATAATTAACACAAGTTGTCAGGGGGTCCCTGCTTAACATATACTCATATGCATGCCATTTTAATTTTGAAAATTTTAATGCAATGTGGATATCAACATTCACGAAATTTCTGTTTCTTTTTAAATACACCAGGCACGTGCATGCACCATCCCGCTCTGGAAATAAGCTTTCTTACTGCGCACGTGGCTGCAATATTCATACTTTTCGAAGTGTTGGTTGTGATTGGTTAGGCCATTTGGGTGTGCTTTTTACCAAGCACCGATTGACTGCGGAGAAGCCACACCCGTTGAAACAAGCTCCGCCGGTATTGCTTCCCCGCAATGCACCAGTGCTTGGTAAGAAGCGTGCTCACTTCAAAAAGTATGAATACAGTGTAGACCGCATATAACGTATGTCGCGGGAGTCGCGAAAATCTGCACTATAAGCGGTACCGCGCTATAACCAAAACATCAATTTTTCAGGCCAAAATACATGCCATCAGACAACTTACCTTTGTAAAACAATTTATTTTATGTTAGATGAAAAATAAAGCTTAGTTTGAGGAAAGTCTTTATTTCACCATACTTCTCTCTCAAGTGTGTCACACATTTTGAAAGAAATGAGCGACTTTCGCCTGGCACAGCCTTTTAACGGCGTCGCGGGTTGCGGACGGACGTTGCTAACGTCAGAATTGCTAACCCTAATCACTTTTCTCCGGCGATGAAAACACGTGAAAATTCGCATCCTTTATACGGTACGCGCCAGTAATACCTTCAACTTGAGCACAGGCACGAAATGCTCCAAATAAGAAATCCGGGCGATGTTTGAAAACACAAATGCTTAGAAAGGACCACTGTAGTCGAAGTAACAAACACGACGACACGGGCGTTTCTGCCGTTTTGAGAGTGCCGCCACAACATCGCCGCACGAGTAGGTGGATATTCCCTTCTAGTACGTGCTAGGTTATCATAGCGACACACAACGAAAATTCACTGTCAAGGATAGCGCTTTTACGCGGAACGATGAGCGACGATCACAACCGACGCCTTGTTTGCGGACAGAAGCAGCCGGCCCGTGACCGGCATGCAATGCGCGCGAACACTTCTCCTCGACCTGCGATTGGTCTGTCGTTGCGGTTGTTTCCAATGCAGCGGAGGGACGCACGCGCGTTTACGACACGTCCATGCCTCCCTCAGTCGCTATGGCAACTGAAGCCTCCCTCTTCGCTTCTCCCCGCTTCTTCGAGCAACCTCCTTGCCCCGCCGAGTGCAGCTCGCAGCTAGTGCCGTTATCTAGTGTCGCGCAGAGAAGCGTGCGGTCAGCGGGCTGTTCCAGAAACTGCACTATAACCGGTATTTCCCTTCCCGCGCCTGCATTTTAGGCGGTATGTAATTACGTGGAGTTCTATGGGAGGCGAACCGGTGGTTTAAAAAAGCCACGTTATACCCGGTCCTGCACTATAAGCGGTTACGTTGTAAGTGGTCTATACTGTATCGCAGTTCATCTCAAAGTGAATATCGAATAGCATAATATTTGAAACTACTATTCGAAAATTCGAATATTCGTAAAACACTAAACTTAAGACACGCCTGGTGAAAGAAAGGTCGACCCGTCGGTGTCCAAAATATACCACGGTAGAAACTGTCAGGGTGACTTTGAAAGGAAAAGAGGTGGAGTAAGCGTGAGTTTATCAACCAAAAAAACGTCCTAGGCCATATACTTAAAGAGTTCTGTCGTCAACGAAGCCACTCACCGTGCGCGTGCTTTTCACCGACACTGAAAACGTCGCGAAATAACTACTAAGTGGCTGCGTGAAAATAAATGCCAAAAGTGGAAAACGCCGTTCATCAAACTGGTGGAATGTGGTTCACCGGAAGGGAAGAGGCATTTTGTAGAACCGCCTCGTACAAGAAACTGCCGGGAGCAGTTGCACTCTGCTCCGTGTGACGCACCGGGTGGTCTCGGACGGCGGCGCAGGCGGTGCCTCTGGGGGTGCGCGTGGGCATGAAGCTGGAGGCCCACGACCGGAAGGACCCCCAGCTGGTGTGCGTGGCCACCCTGGCCGACGTGGCCCCGGAATCCGGCCGCTTCCTGGTGCACTTCGACGGCTGGGACAGCGCCTACGACTACTGGGCGGACCCCGGCTCGCCCTGGGTGCACCCCGTGCACTGGGCCAAGGAGCACGGCCACACCCTCACGCCGCCCAGCGGTGAGGCCCCCAAGCTCCGGTCCCCGAAAGGAATTGTCCAGCACGAGCTTCCTACCTTCTGTAACACTTGAGCACGAGTTTCAAGCGTGCACGCACAGCCAAACCTGGACGAAAGGCAACACATGCTGGAGGTGTCTGATGGAAGGAAAACTGTGCTGGCCAATTGTGCATAGATGCACAATTTGGCCAGCACAGTATGATAGCACTGGGCAATGTGGCACGACATGGGCTGCATTGATTTTTGTGTGTGTGTGTTGAGATACCTACAGAGGGTTAATTCTAGAGCCTCAAATCCACTTCTGAGCAGATCTAAAAACGTGGACTGGATTCCAGGATTGGTTTTCGGTTCTGGAGTCCATTCCTGTGCTGAAATCCAGTCCTCTACTGAAATCCTGGACCGGAGACTAAGTCTGGACTGGAATCCAGAACTGCAATCTAGGACTGATCTTCAGTACTGGAATACAGTCCCATGCTGAAATCCACATCTGGAGACTAGTATGTACTCCTGCATTTCAACATAGGACAAATTCTAGCGATAAAAAGTATTTTTACGATTCCGTATGTCCTAGACTCCAGTTCAGTCTTAGACTGCAGCCCTGGATTTCAGTAGAGGACTGCAATTCACTCCTGGAATCCAGTTTTAGGTTTCAGTCCAGCCTTAATATGCTGGCCTAGATTTCAGTAGAGGACTGGAGTTCACTGCTGGAATCCTGTCTTAGATTTCAGTTCAGCCTTAGTCTGCTGGCCTGGGTTTCAGTAGAGGACTGGAATTCAGTCCTAGACTGTAGTCATGGATTTCACTATAGGAATGGATTCCAGGACTGAAGACCAGCTATGTGGAATTAGACTAGTATACCGAATTTCCGTGCTGCACTGAAATCCAATGAGACTGAACTGGAACCTAGGACTGAATTTCAAAACAATTCTGGAATTCAGTCCTACGCCAAAATCTAAGACTAGAGACTAGGACCGAACTGGAATCTAGGACAGGACTCGGGGACCAGTTTTCAGACCTGAAATCCAGGACCGGGGAGTAGGCTTGGATTCCGGGACCGCTCTTTAAGGCCGTGGCAAGCGCTCATTGCGTCTTCCTCTGCAGGCCACAAGGGCCCCTTCTCGTGGGACAAGTACCTGTCGGAGACAAAAGCCACGGCCGTGCCGGGGCGCCTGTTCCGGCCGCGGCAGCTGTGCCCCGGCTGGCGGAGGGGGCTGCGCCTGGAGGCGGTGGACCCCCTGAACCCCCGCCTGGTGCGGGTTGCCACGGTTGCTTCCCTACAGCCCCCCCAGGGCCTGCTGCTGCACTGGGACGGCTGGCCTCCGGGGCCTGCCGGGGACTGCTTCGTGGACGAGGACAGCCCGGACATACACCCCGCCGGCTGGTGCGCCAAGACCGGACACCCCCTGGAGCCGCCGCCCAGTGGGTGCACCCGCTCTCTTCCTTCGGCATCTTTTTCTTTTTTTTTTTTAATGCAGAATTGCATTTTAATGGAAGCTAGCTCAGATTTCATGTTTGTCTATGGCATGTTCCCAACCAGGAACCTAGAGGTTCCCCAGAGTACCCTCAGCAGGAGCTGCCAGATTTTCTCAACCGTCCCCGAGTAAAGTCTCTTCTCAGTTTGCACACTATTTTAGCTTACTGTAAACGACTTAATTTTCGCGGGCTCAAGTTTTCGCGAATCGGGCCAAAGCTGAAAATTTGAAATTATTTGCGGGTTCTAATTTTCGCGAATCGAGTGTAGCTTCCGTAGCGTTCACATATTGCCCGAATTGTTCACGGGACGTATTTTTCGCGAATTGTAGGCGATTCGCGAATTTCGCAAAAATTAGCTCCTTACGAAAATTTTGTCATTTACAGTATCTAAGCCACCCAGCTACACATAACTATGAGCCAAACGCTTCTTAGTGTGTCTGTTATTGGTTACAAGCTCTGTAGGCCCCTGAACTGGTCTGCTGCATCAAGGTACATGGAAAGTGAGGGGGGTTCCCCCCTGGCTATCCGTTTAGGCAAGGTTCCTCGAGATTGAAATATCTGAGGACCCCTGGTTTATGGTGTGCATGGCACACCATGTAATGTCACTTGACATTGTGACGTCACGTGACCATCTAGAGTGGTGCCAGTTACATCACTGGCATTACGCCGGGACATTGCGTAATTAATCGGTGTATGTCGAAACAAGAACGTCGACCCACTGTTGCTCATGCATTGCAATTCTGCGTGCGGTGGTTTTATTCGCAAATTGAATTACAGTTGCAAATTTTTAGTTCTTTTATTTAATAATATTGCGCGTTTATTGAGGGAAAGAAATAAGGCACCTAGTATATGACATAGTATAGCCAACACAAAGCACTAAAACAAGGCACCTAAGTGAATAAAAAGAAAAAAAAGCAGAAAGAAACATTGCTAATATGCAAAATTAATAACTGGGTTTAGCAAAAATAAGCTATAGACTCCAGCATTAACATCAGATGTAACTGAAAACCTTTAATAAGGATTTTCATATAAACACTTCAAAAGTGTTAATAACAAGTTACCACAAAGGCACTCTATAAGCACAGAAAACGCTGCAGGAATGTTTTCATTTTGAATATAGCTGTGGGAGGTAACACAATTCGATCATTAATCATGTTGGGAAAAAATTTTGATGTATATGATGTGCAGGATTCGCCCCACATGTTGGCTCAAATAACCGGACATGATATTCTCCTTTGAACCGTCGGTTCGCCGTGTTTGGCGGGAGTCGGTAATAGGGGTTCCCCGCAATATTTCATGTCCCAGTAGACGCAGTAGACTTTGGTATTCTGCTTATTTCTTATTTCCGTAGTGCACAGTGATCGGGAAAGGCAGTATTTTTTTGGGCAACGGATACATACTTCGCTTCTGAGGACGGGGAACAGAAGGAAATTAAAGAAAAGTAGAAAACCGATAGTGGGTGCTAGTGAGCTTGTTTACAAGCAAGCACCAGGGAATACAGTAGAAACCTGTGGCTACATTTTTCGGGTGACTTTGGTAAAAAGTAAAAACACAGATGGTGCAGCAAAAAATGTAAAAAGTGATATTACACAGAAGGCAACTCTTGCGCAACAATGTTTTTACACGAAGTTTCACGGCTGCAAACTGTCGTATTTGTTTAAAATTAGTCAACTATTGTTTCCGCTTTATTCTTGGAAGGTTTTAAAGTAAACATTTTGCTGGACGTCCACCTGGTTAGGAATGATATTTTTTAAAATAATTATAATCATAATTTTTATTCGAGCTGTTGAGTCTTGGCTATGAAGCGAAATGCAAGTTGATGCCGTTTGACAAGGCATCAACAGTCGTCCAGTCCACATTGAAATGCTCTTCTCAAAACCGGAACCTGTGGAAAGTTAGCACTCTGAGCTTGGCTGTTCGTATTTGAATCAAAATGCATTGTGAATAGCATACCACTCGACCAAGTGTCTCGAAGGATAGAATATTCCCACATGCCTAGTTATTTTCCTTCATTGAATTGGACTTTGGATTTGCCTAGTTGTACCGTTCCATCACTAGCCTGGTATTTAGAGCATTGATCATTCACTCTCTGCTTCATTTTTGGCGAAAAATGGGCATAATTGTGACTTGTTAGGACGGCCTACATGACTATGTACAAAGAGAAGATTCTGGTTATCATTGATGCAGATTAGTGATTATTGTTTTCTCCCCGTATCTGTAACAGACTGTGAAGATAATGAGTTCTGAAGGGGTAGGTGAATTGATTAGGTACCAGAATGTATTTATTATTGGCCACTCGGAGGAACAACAGACATTTTGGTTGAACTTATAGGCACATTGAACTCTCAGAAACCTTTTTCCAATGCCTGGATGGGACATATAATTCACATAATGATAGGACACATAATCAAAAAGAATTTTATCAGCTCACTTCTGTCGCGAGAGTTATTTTGAGCTTGGAGCCTTTTCGAAGCATGCTTCTATTTGAAGACGTCAATCCCGAAATCGAAGCAAGTTTTGGACTTGCTCAAATAATTATTGTGAGATAAATATTCACAAAATGTTTTGTCTTTTCCGAGGATTTTTTTTTTTTTTAATATAAATAGCAGTTTTAAAAATAATTTTGTTGTGTGTGTGTGTGTTTCTTTGGGGGGGGGGAGGGGGGCTGTAATTTTGGGAGTTCAGAAAGAAATGCAAAACGGGTTTTAAATAAAAATAAGCCTATGTACGAAGGAAGCATGTGTAGACAGATGCACATAAGAGTTTCAAAGCGGCTCCAGGCTTGTTGGGACTCAGTCTTTCGGTGTTCCAGGCCACCCTGTGGGTGCCAACGCGCTGCCTGGGACGTGTCCCACCCCCGGCTGCACTGGGCTGGGCCATGTCAAGGGACCCATGTTTGCAACACACCACAGGCAAGTGGTCCGCTGTCTTCCACAAACTCTGATACGGTCAGCTTAGAAGCTCTAAATGAGCTACAACTAGAGCTGGGGTTCTCAAACTAGGTTCCGCAGAACACAGGTTCCACGAGCTGGTATCATGGGTTCCGTGAGTGCCCAAATTGCAGTGCACCCCCCCTCTCCCCCCCCCCCCCTCTCCCCCCCCCCCCTAAGTTTAACCTTCTACAAACTCGGCCATGGATTGAGTTTCATCACTACGAAATACAACAGTTCCCCTTCAAAAACACTATCACAAAAGCTGCGTGCAATATTATCAAAGGTATGAATGCTTGGAAACAGGGCAAAGGAGCAACTTCGGAAGCTGCACGCTCGAGTCGGTGCCTCTCACATATGCTCCGTACAACTGGAGTGTAAACGTATATATAATAGGGGTTTGTGAATATTCGGAATTTCGGATACGAATCAAATATTTTCCTTATTCTATACATATTCGATTTGAGAACTGCATATTCGGAAGTTTTCAAATATTCAGCCACAACCGAATATTCGAAAAAACTGCAAATGGTTGAACAGAACTCAGAATATTCGGGTAAATAAGGAATAATCTGTGTTTCATGCAGTCACGTTTGGCCCTGAACATTCTGAAGTATCTCAGAATGTTTATTCACCGAAATCTATACATGTTGCATTCATTATCGGTTCTGTATCTGCTTTGTTTTTATTTTGCATAAGGCTTTTATCTGCCCCACGAGACAGCAGTAGTTTCAGTTTCTGTTTTTATGAAGCAAGCAAAACAATTGCTTATTTGTCTCAAAATATTTATAAATGTTTGGAAATTAGAAAGACAAAAAGGCTATAAGAACATTTCATCGCCATAGATAACAACTCAATGACTAGGTGGCGCAAGATACCGCCTTTTATAAAAAGTGCAGCCATTAGCATCCGTCCATCCGTTCATCACCTACCAGACAAGTACTAGCCTACCACTGCTTTGTGTGTTTCGTCTGGTAATTTGTAAGCCATGCTAGCTGCTCTGGTTAAATGGGTACTCCACCGGTTTTTTCATTGTCTCCGATTTGCTTGAAATTTTGCTAAACTAACCAACAAACATTGCTAAAATAGTATCCCAAATATTAGGTCAAAATATTGTTTTTTCGCGAAGTTATTGAATTTACAGTTTTGGTCTTCACCATGTTTTTCAAACTGAAAGTCTCTACTGGCAACAACAACAAAGTGACGTCAGTGGAAGGCAGGGGTTAACTTTTTGGACTACAGAAGTTGTTCCCAACGGATTTGAAGCAGTTTCTTGGTGTCAAATGAGTGCTTTGGAAGCTCGCTCCCGTATCTGCGCTCCAGCAAGGAACAAATGATTGGCATATTCTATTTTTAGACTACTTGCTCGACTGGCAAGCCTGCCTGCCACTGACGTCACGGCACTGAAAAGTGTGCGAATATTTGAATATTGGTTTTTGCACTATTTTCATTTGCCGATTTCACAATACCTGTTATGAATTTCGCGATGCTGAATAGCACAGTGGAAAGGCTAAAGGCCGGGGAGTCAGAAAATATAGTTAGTTGAGGTAGCTCAAAAAATCGGTGGAGTACCCCTTTAATGCTAGTACTGTCCTTGTTCGAACATGTTCTCGGATTATCATCTCAGCCGCAGTTGATGAGCCAGCAAGCAAGCAAAAAACGAAAGCCGGGAAGCCTTCTCTGGCAGTACCACACAAAACACTCGCCGGTGACAGCTCAGTGCAAGTCGTGTAAAAAAGTGTTCTTCAAACGTTGATAGGAACAAGCACATTGCTCCAAGAGTACCTGAAACAACCCCTTTTGTTGATAAAAAAAAATATTAAAAGAATGTTACGTGCAGGCTGTCAAGGAGTCAACCGACATAATAATATGGTTCAACAGAGGAAGCAGCCCTTGTCGCGGTTTCTTATTACTGCACACATATTCTATATTCAATTCAATATTCGAAGTCTGATTTTTTCTATATTCAAATTCGATTTGTATTCGAAAATTTAAATATTCGCACACCCCTTATTTATAATTATCACCACTGCCCATTCGCCAAAGATGTTTGTCTTTGAGCAGATATGCAATAACAAAGGCAAAGAAACATTGGTTTTACGAAGCAGATTGGTTTTACGAAGCAGATGAATTAAAACATTCCCACGTTTCCTTAACAAACGCAAGGTTCCCCAATAAATCGCCGATGTCGCTAAGGCCCCGTGGGACTGCAGAATGTGTTCAAAAGTGTTTGGATGTCACAAACTAAGCTTCTCACAGGAAAAAAAAAAAAAGTTTAACATAATTTTTATGTTGCAAGGCACAGTTTGAGTTGGAAGTGGTTCCAAAGAAGGCTTCCATTTCAAGACGTCGGCCCGAAAATAGAAGCGTGTTTTGGAACTGCTCCCGACTCAATATGCAATACATATTGGAATACATTTTATGCAACAAATATTGCGACATATATTACGATAAATTTTTTCTGTTTTCAGGGAAGTTTATTTTATGCGATTCGAGTACTATCCAGGGGCACTTAAGATGTGTTTCTTGGGAGTTCAGTAAGCGGGACAATTGTGTTTACTCATGAATAATCCTCGTCCTTGTGCAGTGCTTACGGCTGCCCGTACTCCAAGGAGAACCTGGAGCGAGACGGCCCCGTGCCAGACCGGTTACACGGCACGGACCCTGGGCCTGGTGCCAAGGCACCGGACGCGGAGGTCTGCACCGCACCCCCGGCTGACACCAAGGACGGGCTTAGGTGGGTCTCCGGGACGGCGTCCCTTTTAATTAATTATTAACGCGAAAGCCTATATGTCTCATCGTTCAGTCGTCCTTCAAAGTCCTTGAACAAAAACAGGCATCCGCCATTAAATTGTCCCCCATTAAATTGCGAGCGCTCTCTGAGGCTCCGGCCATTCTCCTACCCGGGGTTCCGTGCAGGCGCTGCCCCACGCCGGGCTGCAACGGCAGTGGCCACCTGAACCAGAAGTACTCGGTGCACCACAAGGCGTCGGGGTGCCCCCTGGCGGAGCGCAGTGCCCAGGGGGACGACAGCAGCCAGGACAGCGTGCAGAGCACCGCCGCCCCGCCACAGGCGCCCCGCGGGAGGGGACGCCCCCGCAAGTGAGTGCGCGCCCGGCTCTCCTTTCGAGGTCGCTTTCGACGGGCCGACTCAACATCTTAACGCGGAAGCTGTGCGGCTGCGGAGCTTTTTTGCATTTTACTTCGAACTACAGGCGTGCAACGAAATTTGCTCGTACTCTAATGCACTTTCCACCACTATATTAGTCTTGATGACATTCCTTTGTCAGAGAAAAACGAGAGAAAATTGATGATGGCTCATTCGCGCCAATAGTGTCGCAGAGTGTGTGCCTTGACGTTCAGACACCTACTCGCGTACAGCGTCGCTCTACCTTATTGCTAGAGTTCTGTGATTTTGGGGTTTATTATTTTTGAAATTGGTGTTTTTTTTTTTTTTTTCTCGGTTTCTTTTTCCAAACAAATTCAATGTTTTTTGGTGTCGATTTCGGGTGTATTATGTAAAAAATGGCCTTTATCGAGGCTTATGTTGAAGAAAACAGGACACAGCCGTGGAATTCGCCAACATCACGGCGTAAGATATAATGATGCGGACACTGCGCGCATTGCAGCTGCCACATAAAGTCCTTTCCTCTCCTTGGTTGCAAACGGCACCACCAGGTGGTTCCTCGATATGTGGCTAAGGGCAGCCTTTCGTGGGCCCGGTTTCCCACGCTTTTCTGTGGGAGACTTGCTTGTTTTTAAAGTTGTTTTCAGAGTAGGCCACGTCATGTGAAACTTGGCACTTCCATTACGCATGTTGCTTCGGTGCAGCTTTGACATTGACCCTAGTTTCGTGCCTCAATGGTGGCAGTAATGGTTTTATGAAAGCATTAAAGTGGAGAGATCTCTGGCACGGTGTTCAAGCCAGTGGCTGTCAAGGTCAGAGCAGATGCTTTGAGCAGAACAAGTGCGTGCCCAAAGTCCGAAACAAACCCCCCCCCCCCCCCCTTTTTTTCTCTTTTTTTCTTGTTTGGTTAGTGGAGACGTTGTTAACATAGGCTACTCGGGCGCACGTCACTAGGACTTTAGCTCATCGATCGCTTGGCAGCATTTGCCGTGCTTTGTTTACTCACATATATATGTGGTGCAATAAAAAAGTCCTGAGACCGATTTTGTAGCGTAAAAAGAGTGGGTAGCACGGTGATGCACACGCAGCAGTCGAGGGCTGGGACCTTCCTGTGTCATTACGCCAAAGGGCATTTATCTGTGAACATTTCAAACTGCGTTACACAAGTTTTTGTGACCACATGCACGAGCACAGTGGCGATTTCACCATAGACTGTAGACCAGAGCAATAGCGAACATGAATTCTGCGTCAGATTCAGCGAATCTAATACAGAGACCTTTGCAATGATTGAGCAGGCTTATGTCAAAAAGCGGTGAATTGTGCAAAGTGTTTTGAGTGGCACTCACGCTTCAAGAATGGCAGAACATCACTGGAACAAAAAGAAAAAATCTGAGAAAGTCGCCCTACCTTCCCCGAGGCAAATATTTATTGGTGAATATAATAGAATTTATAAGCCATAATATATAGAACCTCTAAAGCACTAAAAATGCCTTTACTTAGAGAAACTTTGAGCGCATGCGCAATCACTTCCCTTTACTATGGAGGAGGTAGCCTCTCGGTGACTCTTCTACACCCTCATGCCACAGTGCCTCGTGCAGTTCCTCTGGTTTCAGTCTGATTTTTGTTTGCTTTTTTAAAAATGAGCCACTCCGCACCCAAGCAATTATTCGGTAATGTCTCGACATCATAGTGTAGTGTCGAGCACAAAAACATTTATTGTTTTTTGGGATGTTGATCTGCCTCGAAGCTAGTGTTTGAGTAAAACCAAAAATAAGTAAGGTGTGGGGAAGCAGTTAAGGGGCAGATCTCTCGATAGTCAAACGAAAACAATTTATTCGAGGATGATCATTTAAACTATATTGTTCCATTACCTTTGGCCAATGACAGTGGTTTTCAGGGGAGCATGCACATGGCGTGCAGCCGAGAACAAGTGTTACTATATTTTGGATGAGAGCGACCGTTGGAGTAGGTTGTGTTTTGTGAAATAAACCTCAGCTGCGTTTGGAGATTTGTGTTGTCCTGTCCTTCCGTTTCCCCACCCTCCAGTTTAAGAATGTCGAATGAAAGTTGCACGCAGTTCTTTACAAGAGTGTTGGGAAAGAGATGGGGGATACCTTAAGACCAAGCGTTTCACTGCAAGCCTGCTCCGTGTCCTTCTCGCAGAAACAAGGTGCCCCCAACGCCGACCAGCAATGGACCGCAAAAGGTGTCCAAGGTGGAAGGTGGGTCTTGTACAGTCGCACCCATTTATAACGAAGCCAGTTATAACGCAACAGCGCGGCTGTAGTGAAGCGATCACAATTTCTTATTCCCGCTTGTACTTTTTCAATTTACAGTAGAACCTCACTGATACTTTCCTGGTTTTTACGTTTTCCCGGCCTTTATGTTCAAAACCGCCAGTCCTACGGAGCTCCCATATGGAACACATGTATTGATTTCTTGCTTATTAGGTTTGTCTGTACAGTTCTTGCGTCCAAAGACCACCGACGCACCTCACAAAAGTGGCTCTGCATCAGCCACGCATGCCGTATCTTGGCACCGTTACGCGACACCGTACACAGTCTGCACCACAGCGTCGAAAGTCCCATTGAGGAGAGCAGCGCAGAGGAGCATCAACGTCGATGCTCCTCTCTGAACAAAACTACTGTAGAATCTCGTTAAACGGAAATCGCTTAAACAGAATTGTTTCTTAAACGAAACAACTATCTCGGAGTTGTTTGGTTTTGTATTCATTCAATGTAAAAATAATCCCAATAAACCATCTGGTTTCTTTCTTTTATTATTTTTTTTTTCGTGGGGTTGAGAAGTTTGCTGAAGTAACTCCTCCTTTCGCTTCGCATCCTCACTTACCCGGTAGCTGCTGCCTTGCGGCCCGGCGCTGCCTGGAATGCGTCCCCGACTCGAGCATCTCCCGCATCCAGAAAAGTGGCCCCTCGATTTTCGCCCTACAATGTCGTAAAAGTGTCATGCCGTCGCCGGTCGCGATCCCGGGCACCCTCCGTGCAGCAGGTCGTTCTTCGGGTTGATGGTCAACTGAAGCTTTGGCAGGCCGGAGTTGGAACGCCTCGACGACGGCGACTCTCGCATTCCCTTGCACTTTTTTTTCCAGAACCCGTACGTCCTACCCTCAGGATTGCGGCACGGACGGCGCGACACTCCGGCTGACGTCGTTTGTTGCCACTTGGGGATTGCTTTCTATTCTTGGGCAGAATAGGACGCTAAACATGCCTGTCAGACATGTTTCAGGCAGTGTAGTTCTACAAGAAAGAGTGTAGGCAACAGTCGAACGACACATAAGACATTCCAAATAATTTGAAGCTCTAGGAATGAGCAAAGCTCTAAAAATGAATGATGCATAAAAGGTATTAAAGTGTCAAAATGGGACTCCGACCTTGTGACGACGATTAAAGCGGGCCAAAACGAACGATAACCTAAATATTATAGTCGCCGAAGCACGGAGCCTTGCGAGTACTGAATATCCTAATACAACTCCGCAGTCAATCGGACAGTGGCACGAGCAGATAAGAACACTCAAGAGCGAATCACGAAGCGGGGGCCATGCATCTCTTGAGCCGTCGGCGACTGCGGCCGTACTCGTAGGATTTGGGGGGACGTGCTCAAGTGTTTCCGGGGCCGTGAATGATGTCCTCGGATTACTCAATTTTGAATTTTTTCTTTCCGCTACGGGAAAGTTTCTTCTAGGGACAAATCGGAGCACCCAAGGTGCACCGCAAACGTTAGGAATCGGACGATCGTATCGCTCGGAGATTCTAACGGATGGACGTGGGTTTGGAGAAGCCACTGTGGAGAAAGTTGCCAGACGCGTCTACTCTCTTGTAAAACCCCGTAAACCCTTTGGAAAAATTGGACGATTGGAAACACCATTTTTACTCAACACCTAAGGCTCGTGTTATTTCAGAATAATGTAAACGCCGAACGAAGGATGCTACATTTGCTTAAAAAATTTATTGAAAGTGATCGAGATTATTTTTTTTTTTCTAAACTTCTAATTTTGTTTTACATTTGTTTTACTTCAACTTGCATCAGCACTGCTCGTGGTGACGAGCTTTACAAGGGTGGAAACTGCCAAATTCGCCGGGCCAGTAAGCGTATCCGAGGACCAACCGTTGACATGCCTCGCGCATTTCCACGCAGGCTCGGCGGCCACCAACACACTGCACCGGTGCGTGCACCAGTCAGTATTCTGCACCCCCGGTGGCACCGCCTCCGCCCCGCCCTCCGCCCCTCCCCCCCGCCCCTCCCCCCGGCCCCGAGAAGTCCGTGTGTTGGGAGCAGCACTCCCGTCTGCTCTCCCACCTGGACCTGGTGTCAGGAGCCGTGGTGGCCGGGTGGTCCGTGGCGCAGGTGGCCACCTTCATCGGCTCCCTGCCAGGCTGCCAGGCCACTGCCAAGATCTTCAGGGACGAGGTGGGTCCTCGCCCTCTCGTCTGCTTGCAAGACCCAGTCTGGAGTGTGTCTATAAAACATGTTTCAGTAGTGGCCTTCTGGAACATTTGTCTACTGGGCTGGGGACCACAGTCTGAGCATACGCTTTCTCCAGAATACTTTCACGGCCCATCTTTCGCCTGGGTGCTAAGAGCTGCATGGAAAGGTATATGCATCAACCTTTCCGCAAGACGTTGTCAAGGGTGGCATAGTCTCTGCAGTGCCGTTGAAAGCACAGGTCCAAATGAGATGCAAGACGAAGCCTCTTGCTCGCACATCAGTGCGGAGCTGCAGCACTGTAGAAACTGGTATAGTCGGCAAAATGAAAGGGGCGCGTGACAATCACATGGCTGGCACCACTATAGGTCACGTGGTTGGTGCCGCTATGTGTCACATGGTCACGTGACGACACCGTTACATCTTGTGGTGCCGCTTGATGTGGTCACACGACCACGTGACATGACGCCGGGTCACCCGACATCACCAATATGTCGCGGTGTCATGTGACACAACATCGCTCGATCAAGTTTTATGCGACGTCGCGCGACACCACAAAATTGTGTAAAGCTGCATTGCAGGGTTGGTATTGCATAACCGTGTCGCACCAATGACGTCACGTGACCACAGATTACTGAATTCAATGGAAATAATGTTTTGCCCTATGATAGCCCTGCAGTCTGCATTCCACATAACTCTGGCTTTATGCATAGGATCGAGGAGTTTTGCGCCGCATCGTCAAGGCTAGTGGAGTTACCATAGCACTGTACTTGTACGAGCTTTTGCTAATGAGATGCAAGCTGAAACCGCATTCTTTTAGACAAACAGTCTAAAACGCAGGGCATGGCAACTCAAGCATCTCATTACCACTCCACGTCCAATGCAATTCTGAAAATTGACCGACCAGAACACCGAAGGGCAAATGGAGCACATGGAGAGCGAGTGGTGCAAATGTGGGAAAGGAAAACTCTACCCTTTTCACTTCTCTCTTTTGTTGGTACAACAACCCTTTGCCTTGCACTTGTGCCACCCTCCCCACTCTTATGGGGAGCGATGTCACGCCAGGAACACGGACAAAATCTGAGTTACCTTTAGTTGTAAAGGAGACGATTAGCATCGTGTCTGCAAGTACTAAGTGTGTCCCCTCTACTGTGGTGAGTCGAAGAAACGGAAACTTCTCTGCAAGCGTGAAAGGTCTTCTTGGGGGGTGTGCTAGTTTGTGAAGAGTCCCGAATGCTTTTGGGAGACTTGGAAGGATGCGTGGAGTCTAATTTGTATGCCAAAGGGCAATGTTTTGTCCCTTGCTTGTTTTGTCCGTCGTGGAGGTTGTAGGTGTTGGGTCCCGTGGCCAGGTTGATGTTATTTATTTTGACTTTTCTAAGGTGTTTGACCTCGTAGATCAGAATCTCTTGTTGAAGAAGCTGTTTAATATGGGTCTTTCTTCGGGTCTTAGTGACTGGTTTGGCAGCCACCTTTGTGACCGCTCAAACATGGTGTCGTATTTAGTATGAAATTAATATCCTGATGTGTTAGATTCCGGAGTACCACAAGGGTCGAACCTTGGACCTTTGCTTTTTAATATTTTTATAAGTGACCTTGCAACTTGTATCAGTAACTCAAGGATGCTACAGTTCGCTGAAAACAAGAAAATTTATTGTAGTATCCGCACATCTGCCGATCTTTCTCCCGTAGGGCAAATGTCATTGTTTATCCCTATAAACTGCACGACTCAGACTTTCAAGATGTTCAGTTGTATGTGACCTTGGTGTTCTCATTGACTCACACCTCAATTCTAGTACCATGTTTCGAAAATTATGAATGATTCCTTTTGCATTTTAGGTGTAATTGCACGCATTACCCGTAAATTTTGCAGTTACACCTGCATACTGCACCTATTTCGGTCGTTAGTTTTGTCAAGGTTGAACTTTTTTCTGTGTGGAATTCTCTGGGCGTCAGTCAAATGCTAAGGTTAGAGTGCGTACAACGACGATTTGCAAGAATTATCTATGATCGCTCCATTGGATGGAGAGTTTTTTTATGATTACGTGTCTCTTGGCTGCACTTAGTCTTTCGCCTCTTTCAGATAAACGTCTAGTTCGCAACATGTTTTTTTATATAAACTGCTCAATGCTGTTATTGATTCCCCCGTTATTGAGTGAAATATTACTTCATGTCCCCCTGCGACGAAACCGGTCTAGGGTTTCTTTTTACCCTTTTAGCTTAGAATCTAGTCCTCCATTAACTTGGATGCAGACCATGTATGACGAGTGTTTTAATCCTGACACGGACATTTTCACTACCCTCGTAAGTTCTAAAAAAAATTGTAATACTGAGGCTCGCTCTGTACTGTGAAAATATTTTAGTGTGATTGTCTTCCACTTCGTGCAAGTGTAACCCTCCCAAGGCCTTACCAACTGTTTAAGGCAGAATAAAACGTGGATTGATCGATTGATTGATAACAGGGTTTGTCGCTGAATAAGGTCTCTGCTGCCATCGGAGATGGTACGTTGTCCCTCTTTTTATGCATAGCTGTCGTCACGATGCCAGTAAACAAACGTAGCACGGGGGCGAGAGTTGTGACCTTTGCCCGTGCGTGCGCAGCAAATCGACGGGGAGGCGTTGCTGCTGCTGGGCCAGGGCGACCTGGTGCGCACGCTGCGGCTCAAGCTGGGGCCTGCCCTCAAGGTCTACTCCTGCATCCTGCGCTTCAGAGCCACCTCCAGCCCGGACTGACCGGAGGAGGGGGACGCTTCGGGGCCGAGGACTCGCTCCGGTGCCCCACGGGGGGAGGCGCGCTAGACGGGACTTGGGTTTGCCGTAAATGGGACGGCAGCTATTTTTTGCTTCCTTCCAGACAGCCAAATATGGAAAAGGAACTCTACATAATAGAGCGAAATAATACTGCCCTTGATCGTTGAGGAGACGGGGATAGGGACAGAAACGTCTTGGACGTGGCAGGTCCTTCGTCGGTCTGATTAGGTGACTGTTTTTTTTCGGCGTGATACAGAAACGCTCGTCAACAAGTTTTCATAAAAACACTTACGAAGTGAAAACTATATAAATATATCACTGTGGTTCGATCCCAGACAATTGAAACGATAGTAAACCTGATATAAAAGTAAATTTGAAAAGTCGCACACTTATTTTGATAGAATTTTGTGGGCTCATTTGATCTACCTGCACCTGTGAAGAAAAGTGCAGGGCAGTATACTTTCTTCCAGTTGAGTTTTAAGATAGGCTGCACTCGTTTGAATACTGCGGTGTGCAGCTGGGGGAGCAGGTAAACCGGATAGCCAAGTTTAAGCTCAAAAAGCTCGCCCGTGAACAAACCAGATGCGCGAGTGATGCAGAGCAAGAAAAGTGCCTCTCACAGGCTGTGTTCTACCACCAGTGCGTCACGCCTGTTGTGCGAATAAAAACTTTAGCACACCCCCACGTATACCACGTGCTTCAAATATTTCTAGATTTGACTGGTTTAGAGGTTTTAGGGTGACGCTCAGCAAGTTTCTCATTAAGACCATATGTTTATTTTCATTAAAAGGTTAATTAATGAGTTTTAGTGATAAGACTCATCGTGAGGATTGTCCCCTTTTATCATTTCCTCCAGGCAATATAATGCCTGCACGCGCCGAATTTTTCTATCTTTTGTGGCTCTTTTTAAACTAACCTGTCTGAATTGAAATCGAACGCCCCGTATATGAATATTGTGATCATAAATTAATCCCTAGCTTTATCGTCGAGAGCACGCCTGATGCAACTTCCATCTCTGCCACGAAGGAATTTTTCCTTCGGGCTCAATTTCCGTGTTTAGTGTCAAAGTTAGGACTGTGTTTCCGTTCTAAATAACATTTCCTGTTTGGCTGTTACGGGGGAAATAAACGCGTTTGTTGCTTTATTTAAGCAGTCCAAGTCCCGTTTGGTGCACCTTTACATTTACGCTCTCCGGTGCAAGTGTGGTGCGGGGTGCAGCACCGTACGAAAACTGGACGGAGCTTGCGCCGTGGATGCTTCGCTTCGGAACAGCAAGGACACTTTGTTACGTGCCCGGCTCTCCGTGTGTGCATCTCAACGGCAACGACGGTGGCTCGACGCCTCCGCATGCGGTGTGCTTTAAACAAGGAGGCTTTCCCGGGTTCAAGCAATGGAACCTGTGAAAGGACTGTCAACTACAGCAAACTGTTTTCACAATGTCTGTGCTTTTCAACGAGTGTTGTTTGCAGTGAGAATATACTAACTTTCTTTTCTCGAATGCCTGCGTCGCTCTTTGCCGCTTTTAATGACGCCTCCCTGGCGGTTGCAATCAACTACGCATTCAGAGTTTACCTCGTCGCTTGTAGCGAGCCCCTCGATACAGATTGCATTTTGCATTTGTTAAATTCTACCAACAATCGCTGCAGGTGACGTGCTTCGTGACCGAGCTCTACAAAAACATGGCGACTTGTTAGCTCAGTTGGCCGTTTCACTGCCATTTTCCAACCGCGCAAAAAATGTACCTTGGGCATAGAGGACTTCTCGTTACATGCAAAAGGAAGCGCACCGAGGATTTGGACGAACAAACTTACTAGCTGTGCCGCCCCCTGGCAAGCCAATGGCTCGCTTGCAATGCCCATATTTTTCCCAGTCGTTTTCAGTTTTTTTCGCACACTATAGGGAAACCCGTTTAGAACGAACCCACGTACAGCGAATTATTGTCGATATTGAACTCACGAAAAATAAAAATAAAAATGCATGTAAAAGTAGTTTTTATAACGAACAACATATTGGCTATATCAAACTTCCCTGAAGCCCCCCCCCCCCGGAATGCTTTCAGAAACGTGCAAACAATCGTCTTCTAGTCTGTCCCTTTCCCAAAAAAAGAAGTAGGAAAGAAAAGATTCGAAAAGCTCAAGTTACGAACAAAATTGAGCGAAGAGAAGCATTCAGAAGGGGAGAAAGCTAAAAAGTGAAAGCCGTTTACAACTCCCTGTAACGCCGAATTAGAGCGCAGCTCTTGAGGAGGAGGAGGGAAGGGTACTGGGGGGGGTCAAGTGACCTTGGGTGGGGGTCACGTGACCTAGGGGGGTCACGTGACGATGCCGATGACGTCATCAGTAACGATGACGATGCGGATACCGATGACGTCATCAGTGATGATGACAATGACGATGTGGATGCTGGTGACGTCATCAGTGATGATGACAATGCGGATGCCGGTGACGTCACTGATGACGTCATCAGCGATGATGACGATGTGGATGCCGGTGACGTCATCAATGATGATGACGATGCGGATGCCGGTGACGTCATCAGTGACGTCACTGATGACGTCATCAGCGATGATGACGATGCGGATGCCGGTGACGTCACTGATGACGTCATCAGTGATGATGACGATGCGGATGCCGGTGACGTCATCAGTGACGATGCGGATGCCGGTGACGTCATCAGTGACGTCACTGATGCCGGTGACGTCACTGATGACGTCGTTAGCGATGATGACGATGCGGATGCCGGTGACGTCATCAGTGATGATGACGATGCGGATGCCGGTGACGTCATCAGTGACGTCACTGATGACGTCGTTAGCGATGATGACGATGCGGATGCCGGTGACGTCATCAGTGACGTCACTGATGACGTCATCAGCGATGATGACGATGCGGATGCCGGTGACGTCATCAGTAATGATGACGATGCGGATGCCGGTGACGTTATCAGTGAAGTCACTGATGACGTCATCGGGGGTCACGTGACTTGGGGTGTCACGTGACCCTGGGGAAGGGGTCACGTGACCTTGGGGTGACCTTGGGGAGTCACGTGACCCTTGGGGAGGGGTCACGTTACCTTGGGATGACCTCGGTTACGCCGACGGCGATGCCGCTCAAGCCGGGAACGGGCCCCTAAGAGCTGCGCTCTAAAAATAAACCTGTACGCTGTGGGCACCCTGGCGGCTCCCCAGCCCAGTTGCCCGACTGCGAGGCAGGAGTGCCGAACTTTTGCCGCATGGCGGCGACGTCACGCCAGCCACATGCACATCGCGTGCGCCACCTTGATAAAGCGCATCAGAGGCAGTGCACAGGGAGTCACTGCCTGGACTCGGGCACCGGTGGTAACCATGTTAATCGTCTCGTTCATGTCCCACTATATGTAGTTTCTTGTTGTTGAAACCGTTGGCTCCGTGTTATTCCTCCGGGTCGGGTATGCAGCAAGGCAAACCGACCACAATGGCGCCCAACCGTGGTATGCTACCCACTCGCAGGAATTTCACGGGGCTTGGTTTTTTCTTTCGGTAAGCTTTTTTTCCCATACCCCGTGTTTCCTATCGTTGTTTCGTGCTTCCGTCATGTCCACGTTTGTTGTATTGGCGTGTTTGTGACTGTGTCTTTGTGACTGCGGCAATCGTTTTGCGCGCTTGTGTTGGGTTTTTGGGGGCGTTTCTTTTTTTGTGCTTGCAGGAATGCTTGCAGGACGCAGCACCTGGATGAAAGTCTGGTCCGTTACGTTGCTCCGTTGCTCCGCTTGAAAGTTGGTCTGTTGCTCTTGCTTGAAGAGCAAGAGCTCTTCAAGAGGGCGGACCCAAAGTCACCAGAATCGGACAGAGTAGTTCGGGTCAGAAGACAGTGTCACCCCAGGTACCATGGCTACCTGATCAACCGCACCTTTGCGACCCTTGAAGAGCTAGCCCGGGGCGCCCGCCTCATCGAGGAAGCTCTTCATGCCGAGCGGAACTACATGCCGCCGCCACCAGCCAAGTACGCGCTCGAACCGGCATGCGCATGGCAGGGCCCTGAGTGGACTGTCCGAACGAGACCTCCCTTCCCCACCATGTCAACCAGGAGTGTTGGCGTGGCATGCATGGTGATCTCCCGTGCGGGATAAGCATATGTTCGCCTAACTCTCCCCGAGAGGTCCCCAGAGGTCGCAGCGAGGCTCGTGAGGGTTTCGGGCGGGGGTCGCCACGACAGGTGGGAGGTCTTTGGCCATGCCCTATTGTAAGCTGGGGCCCAACGGAGATCACCACTCAAGCGAACCATCTTCATCAGTCTGTTCCTGCAAGTGCTGGCGAAAACTGGCACGGTGCGGTCGCAAACCTGCAGCCCAGCAGCATTGACCCCCGCCGCAACGGAACAAGCCCTCCCCACAACAGCCAGTCGCAAGCCTGGTGGAGGCCCTCCCATAGTGGTTCCTTATCCGATCACTGGAGGCGGTCCGACGGGCACCTCGGTGCGGGTGACCTAAGCAGGCAACTGTCGTCGGACTGCTGCTACCACTGCGAGCAGCCCGGCCATCACCGAAACCAGTGTCCAAGACTTCTGGAAACTACAAGCAAGAGGTGGCACGAGACGGTGGCAAAGGGCCGGAACCAGAACCAGGGAAACTACTACGGCCGGCGACGCTGCAACCAGACAGCCACTCGCCGACGGCCGTTGCAGTCCCTGGAAGCAGTGAGGCCGTGGCACAGATTTCATCGGTATGTCGAATCCAGCCCGAGCCTAACATCATTGAACCGCACATGACGATTTCACTGCTCGATTTTCCCATTGCCGCACTTTTGGATTCTGGGGCCGCTATCTCGCTCATAGGGGATTTCGTTTTCGAACTCTGCAAAGCAAAAAAGATAAGCCTCCGGGAGTGCGAAACCCGTTTGCAGCTAGCTTCTGGTACAGCGATAACAGCTGGAGGAGCCGTGAGGCTGCAGATTCGGTTTAATGGAAAGAAGCGGCGTCTGCAATTTCTTTATCTGCCAGGACTCGTGGTACCTGTGATCTTGGGCCGAGATTTCATTACAGGCGAAAGCAAGACGCTCGACTTTTCTGGTGGTGGATACCGGCTGGGACAACAACCGGAGCCGACTCCGTTTACCAAACGGGAGGACTGCATCCCTAACCCGACCACTGCAGCCCACTTCACCACGGTGCCAGACGTCTTGCCTGTCGGCGTTCCGGACCGTGATACCCCGCAAGCTACGTAAGCTTTTCATCCGATACATGCATGACTCTGCCTTGGCAGGACACAGCAGTGGGAGCAAGACTTAGGAAAAGTTATCCCAAATTGCTACCTGGCCAGGCATGAGGCAATATGTGCTCCGATATGCTCGTAGCTGCTCGGTGTGCCAGAAGGCAAAACCACATGGTGGTCAACCCCCCGGTCTCATGCAACCAATCTCGAGTCAGAGCCCTTGGCAGAACAGTACAACCAGGGCCGACGTGACTTGCAGTTCGAGGTGGGAGATTTTGTACTCCGGCGTACTCACACACTGAGTGACGCCGCTCGAGGCTTTGCAGCCTCCCTCGCCAACAGGTGGGAAGGTCCGTTTCGCGTGCATAAAAAGTGCTCATCGCTCACTTACAAACTAGTTCACTGCGAGTCTAGTGAGGAAACCGGACCTATTCATGTCACCAACCTTAAACGATTTTTTCAAGCAGAAGACGAAGATTCCTCGCAGGGCCGGAACGACACTGATGGCAGTCCCGTTCCGGAAACCCCCTTGTCTCCACCAAGGCGACGGTATAACCTGCGACGTCGGTGACACCAAAGAGAGAGGAATCTTTTTTTTTTTTTGTCTCCTTGGCCTCTCTCGCATTTTGGGGGTAGTTTTCTACTTCCACGGATCTGCCCCCTTTTCAATAGAGGGGGGAGAAGATTGTGTAGCCACCTCAGATCCGTTATTTCAAACTTTCTGGAAGGGGTGCGAAGATAACGTCAGGCTCAACCCTCAACTGAGCCCCATGTCGTCTGCTTCCTTGTTTTTCTACGAAGCTGGCCCTTGGACAACACCGTCACCACAGCCGCCACCGGAACGACACGGCGGCCGGTCTCATGGTGGACCGGGCCACCAAGGACGTCGGCGCACCAGGGGCGGCCCAGGGAACCATATGGACCGCCACCACCCTCTACAGGATGGAGCGGCAGCTGGCTCAGATCAAGGACCACATGGAGAGCAGCCACCTGCTGGAGACGGTCCAGAGCAACGAGGTGGCCGCCAGTCGAGCCTTGAGCAAGGAGCTCAAATGACAAGCTGGAGCTGACCGAGCCGCTGCTCTTACGCTGAGCACGCGTCCACCAACTTGGCGAGCGCGACCTCCAACGGGCCATCGCGCTTGTTCAGCAGGCGCCGGTCAGACTTGCAACGCCAGTCCGCCCAGCAGCGCCATCCACCCCCTGACGCCCACGACATCGTCTCGGTCATCAACATGCCGGACGAAGCTTGAGGGGGGGGAAGTGTGGGCACCCTGGCGGCTCCCCAGCCCAGTTGCCCGACTGAGAGGC